TTTCACTGACCAGTCTGAGAACAGATAGGTGACCTATATTTAGATGACCTATATATCTTTGAGGGTCATGCCAGTAATTAAACTTTCTACTTTTATGGACCTTTTCATTGGGGTTAATAGTGAGATGCAAATGATGGGATTTTACTTTGAACCGTTTAATAAATCAGTAAAATGTTATCATCACAACTTCGTCTTCCTTCCTTGGAATCACTAGCACAAATTTCAACTGCTGAGTAGTCATTATATTTTTTCAAAAATATATATATACCTTCCTTTTTATTTAGCATACAGGTTAAATGAAATGCAATGCTTTAATTTCCCGATATTTCTTAATTTTAAGAAGTAAATCTACCTATTCTGACGTATTACAGTGAAACACTTTTTTCAACAATGTGTAATTTCTCTGTTTTAGTATGTAATGTTATTTAATATGTTATCTTCATTAACGGAAAATTTGACTAATAAAATTTTGGAGAATGAAAAATAATTCCGTTTGAACATAAAAAATAACCATTAAATGAATTGTGTTGCCAGTAGTGTGTATCGATTTTCTCAACTTGTAGTGTGAAAGCATCCGGTAAACTTCCAGGCATACAGAGGATGAAAAAAGTCATTTGTTTACTTGATACTAAAATGTGGTGGTTCAAATCGATTAGAGAGATCATAACCACATAATTTAGCAAATACAAGACAGCAAATAGATTCTTGAATGGGATTACTCCCCGGAAATATCATCAAATGTAATGGTTTAATATATCTGAAGTGTCTTACTGGTACTTTGATTAATCTTGTATTCAAAACTGTCGATAACAAAATGTTACTGGCAACCTGTCTTATTAGTTCAAGTTACAAGTATTGTAGTAACGATAGTGATAAGGTGATACCACACGTACCTAATGAGAAAAGAAATAATAGACATTTTGAATGAAACATCCTTAGTCCGGTGAACGATGCCTCGGAAAAGGAATTCAATCATAGTAGAATAAGACTTGTTCAAGTTCATGATGTATGGGTCACTGTGTACAAAACTAGCTATACTCATATATTCAGGTGTTCTCTCTCATAATAAAAAAAATTTACATAAGTCCTGCATAATGCGTTTTACTGAACAGTTCATATGAATAAATTACATCTCGTCCCCAAGTGGTTTTTAAGTTGAGTGTCATCTGCATTTGCAAATACTAATTAATTTTCTACTGATATACAACTATGGTATGTGTCAACTGCTTATTTCAGAGTGTTGCTTGTTATATTGTTTTTTCTTAAAAGGTTTGCAATTCTTTTTACTTGGTACGAAATATAATACGTCGAACATTAGCTTTAATTTCTTTGCATTTATCTGTGGAGTTCGCGCTTCGAACAACGCACTTACAACTCCATTAAAAGTCATTGATTAGTACCATCAACCCCGACAACAGACATAAGCTCATAGTGGACAAGGTTCCAGTAGTCGTCATTTGAATTTTAATAGAGATGTAACCTAGTCTATATGGAGCTCTGAATGACGAATTTCAACGAATATGCAACGCTTTTTTTATGCATGTAACGCTTTTTACAGTATCACTGGAAGTTCACTTAACAGTATTAGTAATTGGTTTAAATAACTCAATAATAACAGTATCTATCTTCACTGTTTCATAGCTTATAAATACTGCACACAAGTCTTCTCACCATCGTCGTCTCTTTTTTGGTTTTATTCTTTGACTTTCAAATATTATGGGCAAGTGAATGATTCAAATAATCAAAAATGTAACATGAAACGGTGGAGTAGAATTCAACTCATGAAATACCCAGTAACAAGAATATAGAGAGGAGCCTAACCTTCTCTTTGTTATCAAATATTAACCCCACTGACTTGTATAAAAAATATTTTTTGAATGTGTAATTAATCTAAATTACACAACTAATGTAACTGATAGAGATTCTTCGTGCTGTGAATTATGACTTCCACAGAAATTGTGTAACGCCTATTTGATTCATGTAATACAAGGTTTCGAAATAAGAATTTACTGGTATTAGCGTAGCTAAGACCTCACCCTTTAAACACTACAAACTTCATGTGTTCAATGAATTATTTGCTTTGAGATATTATTATTACTATTCCTTTGAGTTCCGAGTGAAATATAAGGCTTTAACAATACATCTCCACTTTTTACTATGCTCAGCTGTCCTCTTCAGATGGCTGACCCCACGACTGACCATAAACTGTCGTCTCCTCCTCCTCGACTCACAATCTCCTCCAAGTGACGACCCATTCGTTGCTTCCCACTCCATTGGGATTCCACTCGAGCAGTGGATGGCCTGCATTGCTCCCGATGTTGTTCCACGACGTCCATTTCCTCCTACATATTTTCTGAGAAGTTGGATCTTGGTTGGTTTGATGCCAGCCAAAGTTTCTTGTTGCTAATTGTTTCTGACCAGCCGGTCATCCATTTGATCTTCAGTATGGAGTCAGCCATCGAAGTGGGCATCTGTTGATAATAGTCTGCTGTGTCTTGTTAGATATCCTATTCGTGACAAGCAGTGTAAGTTTCTGACTCGTATAGAAGAACTGACTGACTGACTTCTCATTTGAGTTGAACAGAATCCGAATCTTGTTCTTTCGAATTTGTGATATAAGACAATGTTAATTATAGTATTTATTGCAACACTACCACTAATTTTTAAGAATAAATGTTATGCTACTTATTAATTAAAAAAGTAGCATACTCTATTTGTGGAATGCAGTATTGCTAAGTTTGCATGCTACATTTTCCATTTCCGAAAACTATATTTCATTTATTTTATTCATATTTCACTTTACTAATAATAATTTTATCCTATTATTGCGCTTAGGATACTGTTTTAATATTCACTTTCTCTTTAATTTTAAGCGTTTAATTCCATATTAATTTGTATCACACAGTGAAACAGTATTATTTAAGCGTTATTATTTCAAGCGTTTGACTTTATTCACTACATTTCCGCCTTTTTCATTTGAACAGACTGCCTTTGATAACTCCAATATTTTTTTATTTGAACCAAAATCCATTTGAGTTTCAATTTTGTTAACAAGAAAAGCGTTCAATGCTTTGAAATATTGCGCTGCTTAATCAATTAGTCGCACGAACTGTTGAAAATAAGAAAATGTGGATATTGATTGTTTAGAGTCTTTAGGACTGTTGAATGGTAACTGCTGACCACATATAAAACAACTCATTAGTTTGACATGATAATCAATCTTAAAATTTGAAGATCTTTGGAATGGTTTCGCCCACTGTTTTCCTTATCCAAAATCTATTATTATCGGAGTCATTGTCGATTGCGGTATCCTAACTACGTGATGAATTCTACTTAAAAATGACTTATAGTGTACCAGCGTAATAATAACAACTTGATTCCCCTGAGGTCACTATTTTCACTTTTTTAACATCTGAGGCTTTGTTCAGTCAGAAACAGATTCGTTGCTTATAAGAAAGCTTGGTAAATGCTTAATTAATTATACACCTTCAGGTCTCAATAAATCTCTTGCCATGATTTATGACTGAAGTGAAATGAAATGTATTTTTTAAATAATGTTTGACATTCATCTAATGACAACTTGATCAAGTCTAAATTCGAGATATCAAAGACGTCATCTAGTCAAAATTATTGAAGTGTGGGATTTCTACCAACAGAAAAATGTAAATTATCAATGAAGATAAAATTCTCCACTCACAATTTAGTGCTTTATAATCACGGTAAATACACTTCCTGCTGAATGTTGGAAGGAGTAGGTACAGGAGAGTTTATCTCCACTCATGAGAATGGTGAAGTGCAGAAGTCTGCAGAACTATTATCAGAGTTGAATCTTTTGAAACAAAATGCTACACAATCATATTTATATCCAGCAAAATAGTCTGAAATATTTTCAGTTGTTAGGAACATCTCAAACCATATACCATTCAGTAGGTAATGGTGATAGTCAGCAGGGGAATCCAGGATACGCACTTCGCTCCTTTCAGAATACTATCATCAAGTAGCATAAGACTAGTCGAATACGTTTGAATGGAAACAGTTTGAATGATAACAATAATAATAATCAAATAAAATGTGTTGACCTTGAGATAAAGTATGTTGGGTAATGTAATCCATAAGTTTAAGTCAGAAAACGGAAACACAAAAATATCACTACTTATATACTGACATAACCTAGTAAAAATTATAATTGAGGAAAAGACCTCAGTGTTCCTTAAGTGAAATTAATCTGAATATTTCGAAACTCTTTCACTACTATACTCAGTTCAGCTATAAGACACTTAATTTATTTACTTGTCAAGTTCCTGTATCAACTTCACTGTTCCAAATCACTTTTTATGATAAACTAAAAATAAAAATACTTCATATTGTTTATAAATGTCCAAACCAAGTTCACTTTTAACGGTTTAAAAAAATTTGGGCATTGGGTATATGATATTCATTATAATAAAGGTTTTGTATTTCCCAATGAATGAAAAACAAAACGATATTGCTGCTTTTACTGACGTTTCGCTATTTAATGCTAATAGCTTTATCAAAGTATTATTAAACCGGAATTTACAAAATCTCAGCATATATATAACAAACAGTTAGAGGGTGAGAAAATAGACATAGGTCAAGTTAAAGGGACGTATTGAAAGTAAAAATAGCAATGAAGATAACTAAACCAAATAACAAAGTATGTCTGTTATGATATCAAAATAAAGTTTACTAACTTGATCATCGTTCGTCTGTCTGGGGGCATTTTTAGTTGTCAAGTTTGTGAATTGGTAAAGATAACAAAACCACCATGTGTAGATTGTTGGATTTGATAAGTGTATAAGATAATAAGAGCAGCGTGTGTTTACATAATGAAAGTGCTTATCACATTCGTGTTGGTTTTGTCACTATTGTCATATTGTCATATTGTTTAACTCTCAATTATGGCATCATATAATCAATGCACATACCACTTATAATTGTAACATATAGCCTACTTAATAAAACTGTTGCTTCGATTTCAGGTCACATAAATCCAGAGTTGATAACAGACGAAAATTATTCCGGAAGCTTGGATACAAATCAGCAAATGAGGTCAGTTTCATATAAAAATTTTAAGATTTCAGCTACTTTTAATCCTCTTCAGTAGTCACAGTTGTAAGTAAGATTTTTAAGTTTTGGTTTTTTCTAAGTTGATCTTTTTTAAGTTTTCTGGGATGAGGAATAAGTAAATATAAAACATATCACACTTCCTCTCATAGACACCTCCATTATCTTGTATGCTGACAGTATTTATCAATTTCACTGATTTCTCATAGAGAAACCATCTAACGAGTAGCTTTACTCACCATGGGATAAAGTTGACGGTTTTCGATCCCATTATCAAGATGCATAATTCACACGGTATATTTCAATTTTTCATATAGTTTTCACTGTTAGGATTCCGTGTGGAACATAATGCTTCAAGCTTTCAAGTTTCTGTAGAGTTATTGTTGTCTTTTACGAGGTGAGGTTTCTAGCCCCAAGCTTACTACCAGCTGGGAAAGTAATCAAGATTTAAAGGTGAGTCGGCTGGAAATCAAACTTGAGTCTCCCACATGGCTCGAAGGCATTCCATTATTTGATCACAGCATAAAGTGGCACCAAAGCTAGGAGACAACAACCTTTGAAAATCAATAAAGTATAGGAAAAACGTGTGTGAATTTGAATTCATTTTAAATACTCTAGTCACTTTAATATAAGAGAAGTATTTTTTTTAGCAAGCATGCAGAAAGTGGTCGTATAGAAAGTTTGGTAAATGAGAGAAATTAACTCGTTATTCTAGCAGATAATCTGTAGTAATAAAATACAGGCAGTAATCTTTTATCAATGCTTTTAGTTGCTAAAATTCATCGATTAGTATTTAAAGACTATCAAGTAAGTTGCATTACTCAATCTGTCATTGAAAATACTGGGTTTCATACAAGAATTCCCTTCTATAAATTTGAACAGAGAAAGAACAAACATTGGTGTGGAATAACATGGATCCGTTTTATTTCGTCGGTTCTCATCATGTGCACACAACCTATAGTCTTTAATAAATAAAAGTCAGCGTAAATTGTAACATGGTTTGCCATCAACAAGCATATTATGGGAGAGTCATGGTGAGGTAAAACATCAGGATAACAAGGTAGCTGAAGAGTAATTATATATTTATATACCTTGTTAGAAAGAGTTTTCTAGAAAATTATTCGGCAGATTTGTTGTTAGGGTGGTAACGAAAAATTAGTAAAAATTACATAGTTAGATAAGAAAAGATCATAATTTGGTGTGCAAGAGGTCAGATGGAAAGGTGATGATGTAATATGGTGACTAGAACTTATAAGATCAAGAGAAATTATCTCTTATGGGAGTCAAACAGCGAAAACGAGGCGACGGGGGTGTTGAAAAGATAAGTTAATGAAGTTAGAAGACCAAGATTAATTAAGGGATGAGTCACTAGGGTAATTGGAGTCCAACAACAAATTCCTTTCGGACACATAGATCAGGTTTCAGCCGTTTTATTGCGATGGCCTCAGCAAACCGAAGAAGACCTGTGCAATTTTGTCTGTTAATTATTTCAAATGATGCCAGCTCATCTACTTGGTATCCAATGTCTGTCAGTTGGTTGGTAACTGAAGAGCTTAAGCTACTTGACCCATTTAACCGGAAGCTTCCTGGTACATGTTCTAAGGACCTGTCTTAGGCCCTTCTTTCTGATGTTCCGATTTAACTGCTCCCTCATATACATGTGAATTGGTATATAAAATTGGAGGTAACATATGAAGGGTACTTGTCGATCTTCGACTGCACCAACAAGTAAGATGTTCTGAGCAGCGAGATTAGTTTTGCTGGGCAGGGTTGCGCTTAATCTTTTATTTATGGTCCTCATAGTATCATCGCCTAAGAAGTCGAGTTGGATGAAAACTAACTTCTTGCTGACCGTAATTTCATCAGGTTTCTTACGTTTACGCTGACATTCATTAATTCAAGATTGTTGGTTGTATGCAGCTGATGAGAACCAACGAAATAAAATGGATCCATGTTACTCTGTAAAAATGTCTGTTCTTTCTCTGCACAAAAATACTGGGCGATTGATTTTTGTGATATTCATGCACTTGACATGTATGCAGACAAGTTTTCGATAAATATCTAGTTTTTGAGCGTTGTCAGCTTCGTTCATCACTACCACGCCTGAACCTTCATCTGGTCTCAGTAAGATGATATCTTCATTGCTTATTATTGTTCCCTTGGGTTCCCAGTGGAACATAGGGCTTCAACTGCACGCCTCCACTTGATTCTGTCTTCTGATGTACTCTTCACTTGCATCCATATTAGTCCATACTGTTCCAACTCTTCTTCACACGATCTCCTCCATGTCACCCTAGCACTGACGTCCCACTCGCCGCTTCCCTTTCGGGTTCCACTCGACGGCCTGACGTGCGATGTCACCCAGCGGCCTCCTCAGCGATTGTCCAATCCATCTCCACTTTCTCCTGCATATTTGTTGAGCGATTGGTTCTTGCTTTGTTTGTTCCCATAGTTTCTTGTTGGTGTTCTTTCCGGCCATCTGATCTTCAGTATAGAACAAAGACAGTTGTTGATTAAGGTCTGCAACCTGTTGGAAATATTCTTTGTGACCCGCCAAGTTTCTGATCCGTATAGAAGAACTGACTAACTTGACGTTTGTATTGAAAATCCGAATTTTGTTGTTGAGTGTTGTTGAGTGACGAAGATTTCCAGATTGGTTTCAGGTTGATGAAAGTGTTTCTCGCCTTCCCGTCTGACTGTCAGCAGCTGACATCAAATTTAAAAGTAAATAAATTCAATTTTTTTTATTGTACCTACTGTCTTAGTTTTATTCTTCTTAGTGAAGTGAGACAAACTTACAGATGGAAGTAAAGTGCAGTGCTACCTTCTAAATTCCTAAGTGTGACAAGTGCCATCAATCGATGAAACAACAATGTTCAAGTTTTCAGGGCACGCATCACAGTTTCCTGACCTTAAAATAATTAAATGAAGTGAGAATTTACGTACAGTAACTTACCTTGTCAGTGTATTTATCTTCATGTAATTTTATGCAAAGAAAGAAGGGCATGCAATATTCTCGTCATATCAAATCTCCAGTTTTATTATTGTTACCAGACTTAATGAGTATTCAAGTATTGGTCTGTAGGGATTTGATTGATATATTACAGGATTTCATCATGAACTAACATCAGTTAGAAAACCACTGGAAATCCTTCAGGAAGTACTGGACAGCGGTTTCGTCGGCCTAGTTTGGGACTCTTCATTAGTACCTACCCACTGGGGTTCTAACCGAAAACCTTCTGGTCGTGACCAGTAGGTAACAGCAGGTCAGGCGTGAGCACAAATACTGGCCGATGACACTCGCTAGTGTTCGCCATATCATGAATTAGCAGAAGTTCGAATTCACGGACCATTGGATAGGGTTCCAGTGGCTTAATGGTATACGAGCTTGCCTTCTAACCGGAAGGTCCTGGATTAGAACTCTGGTGGTGGGTACGTACTGATGAACAGTCCCAAACTAGGACGAAACTGCTGGCCATCCAATACTCCCTGCAGGTTTTCCAATGGTTCTCTTACCGATTTTTATTCATGATGATTATTCATGCATGCTCAGGGAACATAGATTATTATTTAAGTGAATTATGTGAAGTGGACAGTACCTATTGTCCTTGGAATTATTATAGAACGCCGAAGATATTTTCACTGATATAATTACTCTTAGACTCGTAAATGATAATGAGTGGAGCTTTTCGCATTAGTCAGAACATCATATTTATCCTGGCACCACAACGAGTTAATCAGCATATTATTCAAGTGAATTAAATGTTATTTTACGCGTAAACATAATGATGATTTGCATTCAATAGGTGTGTGTGGTGTCAAGCAAAATAACCATTTAATGATTACGTCTACCATGATGGATTTCATCACAGTTCAAAGACTATGACGCTTTTGATAAGCAGTCTGAATCTTTAAAATTATCAAAATACCTGTCTGTGAATGGTCCCAACGACCAAGTGTTGAACGTTTCTATCAACATTCATTCTATTCAGTAATTATTTCGCTAGCAAGGGATGAACCCATTTTATTGATTTAAAATTAGTTTATAGCTCATGCAATTCTTGTGAAATGAAGTGTACACTAACACTACTACAATCTATTAAAAAAGTAGTAGGATTGCGTGTGTCACTGATAAAATTAATCGGTAGTATATGAAGTGACATTCATTGGCATAAAAATTTCAAACAGTGGACAGATAGATTTGACGTCAAGGAGAGGGAATGAACCAGCATTGCGGCAGAAAACTGGAGATGCAAAAAGAAGACAAAGAAACACAATACATGGAGCAGAAGTAACACAACATGAAAGATCTGTGCAAATGACGATTTTCATTTAATTTTCCTATATAGAGATATCAAATTGCAAATGAATATTCCGTTACCAAGTTACTTGTCTTCCACCGTTACAGTAGCAATCAATGGTAATTTAGTTTGTAGAGAAGGAAATAAACTGCATTCAGATGTACATGAATTAAAATTCAATCTCTTTCTAGAAGAGGAACAGGAAAACAGAAACTTAAGTAAAGGCACCATAAGTACAACTACATTAATAATACTTTAAATGTAATGACACTTCAAACTGCACAAAATATTTAAGTTAACAAAATGAACTACTGCCTGATAATTAAGCAAGTGACAGAGCTCCATTGAATTTGTTGGAAGTTGTTAAGCTGAACAGGCCATCACTCACGTCAAATACTGATCTCTCTTAATTGCATTTCAATCTTCATACTGTTTTAATGGCACAGTTTTATCTTGTATACAACTTTAATAATGGAATTCGACAGTACCACATACAACTGAGTATCGACGAATCCATTCATATTCTGTTTAATAATAGAACAAACTAATACAGAGAGCAACATTGACATGTTCTGTAGTCTACAAAATCAAAGATAATTAAAACGACCCAGAATGCAAATCACAAAAACGATTAAACATTAAGTGACCTGTGACAATAACAGTGAGATAAAATTTATTTAATCAAATAATTGCTTGTTATTTACATATTTATTCAGTTCAAAGTATCAAAGACTTAGATAAAGTTCAGAAAAACCATTCAAACAGTATATTTATTGTTGTTGTTTCCCTTAATTCCTAGAGGAACATGGGGCTTCAGCCGCAAGTGTCCATTGCGTTCGGTTCTCTGCCGACATTTTCACCTGACTCCATGTGTGCCCACATGCTTTCATCTCCTCTTCAGATGACCTCCTCCATGTCACCCTTGCACTGACGACCGACTCGCCGCTTCCCATTTGGCTTCCACTCGAGAGTCTGGTTTGTGATGTCACTTGGTGGTTTGCAATCTGGGCAGCTTTCCCAGTCTCATACATAGTGCGGACGTTCCATGTCCCCACACAGATTTTTTCTTTTGTTGCAAGGAGACTTATCATACTGCAGTTTCTGTAGCAGTTTTGTTTACTGGGTGGGGTTGCTAGCCTCACACCCAAGAAACAGTATATTTAGCGAACTGAATGTTTGAAAGCAACAACTGTTTAGTAGCAGAAGACATAAGTCTGCTGGGGTAGAACAGGAAGGTTTCGAAGTAGACGCTAACGTTAATGCTGAAGTACAGAAAACCAAAAATGTATTCCTGCAATGAGTAAGAAAGATTTAAATTATAGGTAACATGAGAGAAAGAATTAATAGCTGAAAACTTTGCCAGTAATCTATATGTCTTCTTCTCTCTGGCATTTTCATTATGAAGAAGCCACCTTTCGTAACAATACACATGCATCACATTTTTGCTATTTTAAAGTTTCATTCAACTGTCCAATTGAAATGCATACTTGAAAAGGATATTCTCTGGTTGAATAATTGAGTTAGAAACAAAATATTAATTATGTTTTGTAAACATTTCATCAGATAAGAGAGTTGTTTTTCAATCAAAACAGTATTATTTTGATTGTCTTTGCCTTAACTCTATGTATAAAATTCTTTTTTCATCACTGCCTGTTTGTGACATTCAATGGAATGAAAATAATTCCTTAGAGGTAGGAAACTGCTTTTTCTCCCAGAAGCTTGATATATATTCGAATATGCAGATTTCGCATTTTCTCCAGATATCAGATTCATTCCATCAACAGATTTTATATGTTATGGAGAAAGATGGGAATTTAATAGGGATAAATATGAGGTCAGTAAATGAAAACAGAGTAGATAAACAGGTTATTAAGTGTTTACAGGAAAATTACCAAATAAGCATATATAAATGAGCAATCTGACAACTAAAGCTTATGTAAAGTGTAATGGAAATGCAGGGTATTTAAACTTCAAACCTCGTTTAGTAATCATAGATTTATAAACATTCTGTTATATAGTACAGATTAATTACTCATACACATACCAGTGACTGAAGCAGGTAGCATACTTTACCAACACATGCCATTAATGTTCTCAAACGTTTACAAACTGACAGAATTATGAAAGACTCATCACTATGGATACCATTAAATGACGCAGTGTGGATAAATTTTTTGGATAGATATGGAACCCATCTGTTTCATATGTTTTCGTCAGATACATGTAAGAAAACAAACGTAAACAGAGAAGAAAATTATCTTCTCGAAGATTCATTTTCAAAAGCTGCTGTACAATCATAATTATATTTAACAACGAATTCCTAAGACAACTAATCAGATACTGGTAAAATTTGTCTTCGAAAACGCATTACGTAACCTGGATGGGGTGACTAATTAGAAATTAGAAGAAAGGGCATAAGTTGGAGTGACAGTGTGAGAAGATGGTTAGTCAGTATGGTTTTGTGGAGTGGACAAGAACTAGTGGAAAGACAATGAAGTGTTTTTATAGAATCCGTATGAAAACGCAATGTTATTAATAAACAGTAATAGAGTGATAATAAAATATGGATGATGAGAATAATAATAATATTAGTACACTTACATAGTAAAAAGAAGCAAAATTATAGTGAGAACGTTTCTCTGCCCACTGTAGGGCGAGTGAATGTGAATAGTGCTTTTGAATGCAGAGGTCCGGTTTCATATCCCGAATAGCCAGTGATTCAGCTATGTACAAATGGCGTTTTCGAAGCCCTTTCGTAAGACACTGAGGGACACTGTGTGGCACTTGGAAGCATTCAAGCGGAGATGCTTGATGTCCAGAGTTGAAAAGGTATATATATATATATATGTATATCCTTGTAAGTTTACGAAGCTAACTGTGAAGACTGTTAACATGGATAAATAAGCCAATTTATTTCTTGGTAAACCTAAGGAAATCATAGAGAGTCAAACGAATTGATACGTTGAAACCTATTCCAATACACTTGAGTAAAAGCAAACATGTGATTAGAAAAGCGTAGAAATACTTCAGTTCTCTAGCTTAGGTTCTACATTAGAACATCTAGAATCGTGTTACTCTCACAAAGTGGCTAATGCCATGTGTGTGGACGTGTGTCCAAAAATTTTGATTGCAGGAGTTGAACCAGATATGTGCGATTGTGGTGAAATTCTTGCACATATCATTTTTTAGTCTTGTGACTTTTCTTTATGTAGACCGCAGTGATCAGTTCAAAATATATGCTTCATGGATGGATGCCTTGGTAGACCACAGTTATCAACTTCGAGTTATTATTTTTAGTTACAGCTAGCAGTGGAATCCAAGACCCACTACCCATCCTTTTCGGGTTTCATCAGCTGGTTGTACCTGCTTTCCAGTACTGGTATTTCCCCTGAGAGTGTGACACACCTCTGGCTGCACCCAACTCAAAAGTTCACATTTTTTAAATATTTATTATTTTATTCCTTAACGTTCTCATCGAAACATAGGGGTTCAAGCTAGAGCTTTAAAGTTTCGTTAGCAGTGATTTGCATTTTTACGGAGTGGGGTTGCTAGCCTCATGCACAACCTTTTGCGTTTACCAGATTGGCAAGGTTTAGAAGTGCGTTGGCCGAGGATCGAACACTAGACGCGTGGCTGGCTGGCGAGCATCCTACAGCTGAACCACCGACGCACATGTTGCATTATTTTCGGTTGGAAAATCAACTCGCCAAAACCAAATCATTTTCATCAACGAATTGAGTGGCATCTATGTTGACTTTAAATGTTCATTCACCTTCAGTGTACTTCACAACTTTACGAAGTAGATTTCGATGAAGTCATTTAGTTCGGTGTAGAGATACCTTACGTAAATTAATAAGAGCTCAGATATACACGATGTTAAGTCAAGTTAATTTACAGAGAAAAAACTCTACAATTGTAGCTAATTTTTCTGCACATTATCATCATAGTTGCTTTCAATGGGATTTGTCTTACTCAGCAGGAATGAGATTCATTCTCACCACTTTTATGTCATATTTATTTGCTGAAATCTATTCACATGAATGTCATGTTATTGGTGTTTTTCACATACACATTAATTTGTATGTTTCGTCAGAGTCTTTGTATTATATTATATGTGAAGACTGTATATTGCTGTGAAATCAGACCATATACGTATAACCTATATGTCTTATTTAAATAAAGATAGCCATTTAATACAAAATTCTAAAATGCATGTCTCTCATGGTATTATGTGTCCACAATATTAGATTTGTCTATTTCATCCTCTCCAATTCAATGTATATTTGATCAAGTTGTATATATTATGTACGCTTGAGTCTACGCCCACCTAAACCGCTTCTCTCAACCCCAAAAGTATACGCATGCCCATCTCTTTCTTCTTTCCTATCCTACAGTGAGTTTCTATACGCAAATGCATCTATACATCTATGCCTGTGTGTGTATATATATGTATATAGGATACAAGTTTTCTCCCTATTTTTGTAACCCATAGACTAATAGAGTATGGCAACAAAAGCAAACTTATCGATTAGGAAAAAAGAAGTATAGAACCATGGGAAAAATGTCAGGTACAATGAATTTTCAATAGAATCATAAATAAAATAACTTTTTCTCAAGTCTACTTTATGAACACAATTCTTGATGAAGGGAATAACCTGGTCTGCTGCATACTAGTTTATCTAAAACAATAATAATGTCAACATTATTGTGATTCATACCACCATTCAGTAAATACTCTGCTACTGATTCTACTGATTAACGTTCAAATCATAATTATAAACTGACTGGGTAACTGAACAGTGAAACAAGTTATTTTGGTTAGATTATAATTCCATTGGTCGATTTCATTTTGGTTGAGTAGTTACATCTATCAAGTCAGTTGCAAATCCATTTTGTATTTACAATTAATAATTATATATATATATACTGTTAGAGTAATTAGTAGATTAGTTTTCAGTGTTTATTCGAAATTCACTATTACTGTTAATAGTAAAATCAATAGTAATAATAGTAGTATAATAAGTATTCTCATTACATTTCAATACTCAGATGTACTTATCAGAAAATACTTCAACACTGAGTGAATCCAATGGATTTATTAATAATGCTGGAAGATTTCGTTCTGAAATTGGTGTAATCCCATGTAAAAAGGTAAAAGAAACGTCACCTGGACATCCTAACTGTGTATCATTTGACTCATCCTTAAAAACAAAAGATTCACCATCTTCATTATCAGAAAATCGTCTGTCAATGTTAAATTTTGAAGATAAAGTCAGTGACGATCTGATTAATGAAGACGTAGAGGGGAATAAGGATTATGAACGCATATTTGCTTCAGAAAAAGTACAAACTACGGACAGTGAAGCCAGTCTGCGCACAAATAAATTCAGCAGTAATCTAGCACTTGATAGTTTCAGGAATACATTAACACCAACAGTAGCATCGCAACAGTCAGAAAAACGTCAACTACAACAATCCTCCTATGATACTGGTTTAAACCAATTATGCTGTCCTACAACTCAAACATCTATATCTATACAACAGTCTCAGTCATTTGGAACAGGAACAGCTACTGTAACTAGTTATGATGATAACGATGAATACTTTTCATTCGAACATGATACAAGTGCATTTTATAACAGTAGCACTGGGAGTAATTTCAAGTCGACAAGTACACCATTGCATTTGGAAAATCCTGAACGAGAGACACGATGGTATTTCAAGTATTTTCTTGGCAAATGTAAGTCATTATTTCTTGTTCTATTGTGTCAATTCTGCTAATCGAACTGTAATCCAATGATATTGCTATTATTACTGACTCGATGTTATTTAAACAACATTAATGTTGTTAATAACACTTATTTATTCACAATGATGTGTGCATATATAACTATAGAACCTGATAATGAAGTTATCGAAAAGAATATTCTTTGTTCAGTAACCATCATTTTGGAAAAAATTTAATGGGCATTTTTAATCAGTTTCAGTATTATTAGAAAATGCTTAGGACAAACGGTTGAGATACTCCGCACATGTATTTTTTAATTTCTTCACGTTCCTAGTGGAACATATGTCTTCATGCTAGTGCTCTGAAGTTTCGTTAGCAGTATTTTCTATTTTTATGGGATAGGGTTGCTAGCCCAACCTTCCTTCTTTACCAGTCTTATCACCAGCTTAGCGAGGTAAAGGAGTGCATCAGCCGGGGATTATTCAGTATATGGTGAAAGTGATTAAGAAGATCCATTTTGAAAAGCTACTGGGACTGATGTTGAAAATGAATGCTTTGATGGGTGGCAAACATTTGGGTTTGCAGAGGGAAATGAACATGTAACTTGTTTCTAAACTTTGGTCACTCATTTATTATTATTATTATTTTCGTATTACCGTGAAGTATGTGACTGTTGATAAAGGACACTTAAGGAGATGTAGATTCCATGGCTGGTTTCCTCAAGATGCTATAGCCTGTGAGTGACACAGTTCGAAATAATTCTCAGTAGGATTAACCATTTATGACCTCATAGACTCATTAAATCCTCATAATTCTTGTACGCATTTTTGTTCATTATGGTTTCTTTGCAGTTTGTTTTACTATATTTATGTGTGCTTTTATGAAGTGTGATAAATTGAATTACTTCCCTTCTACGCTAAGCTCTACGTTGAAGATTCACGTCATTTTAACGATGAATCAAGGCTGTATGAAGACTTTGTCATCATTCGATTCTAATATTTCATCGTTATAATAATCATCCAGTGGTTGGTACACATATATTTTCCTCAAATGAAAAAAGATATAAACATATGCTTCTGTTTAAAGTGAATCGAAACTCGTAACAAGAATATCCAGTTTTCGAGGAGAGCATTTTATCAGTCAGCTATGGCTTTGAGTTGCAAAGGCCAAAAAGTGAAGCTTCTGTGAATTCGCAATGTAACACCACCACCACCCAAGAACTTTAGGGATTATCTATCAACATATTCAACTAAACAGACCCACCTATTAATTTTTATTAGATCTGAAATCAATCATTCTCGAATGTAGTCAGTATTGAGCAGTATATTAGGTTTTAGATGTCAAATTTATGAGGATTGTATTAATTCAAATGTAGATCTTATTCTGAACCAAAATCATCAACATGTACTACTAAATAGAATCAGATCAGGACGGAAAAACTATCCAATGCTCGCTGAGTTTTGTTATTTCTCTAACATATTTAAGTTTGGGACTAAATCTTTAGTGAAACGTTAAATTTTTATGTCAGATTGTTAACTTACGGGGAAAATATCTGTGATAACTGCTTATCTGTAAATTTGATTTTAAGCGATTTCTAAAATGAACGAACAAGACAATAAAATGTTTTAGTTGGTTATTAATAAACTGCAATTCAACCTGTAGGTTAGAAGAAATTCATTAAGTCATATAAGAGAAAAAGCTTTTAGCTATGTATATATATATATGACTTAATGAGTTTATTGATAACCAACTAAAACATTTTATTGTCTTGTTCGTTCATTTTAGAAATCGCTTAAAATCAAATTTACAGATAAGCAGTTATCACAGATATTTTCCCCGTAAGTTAACAATCTGACATAAAAATTTAACGTTTCACTAAAGATTTAGTCCCAAACTTAAATATGTTAGAGAAATAACAAAACTCAGCGAGCATTGGATAGTTTTTCCGTCCTGATCTGATTATATATATATAGTTTTTAAGGAATTACATCCGGTGAGGGAATTAGATCAAACGTGTGAATACATGAAATAATAATAATAGTATGAAGTGCAATTAAAATACTTGTGATTGTAATCATAGTTTAATGTCAAGTGGCAAAATAATCAATGTCGTATATAGAATAACACATAAGGTGTATAGATGTTGGAAAAGGGTGCACAATTATAGGATTAGTAGGCGAATATAAAATGTTACATAACATGGTGTGAAATTTGATACGATAGAATTCAATATTGTAAAAACAAAAAAATTGATAATTTTGGATTTAGAATGACAAGTGGGACAAGCGCGAACAGTTCAGAGTGAGAATAGTAATAATAATAGTAATAATCTTAGTAATAAGGGAAAGGTACATAGAATAACTAAATAAACAAAATAAATAAATGTCTATCCCTCTACGGCCAAAGCAAAAGTAGGGATTGTACATACAGCTTCTGTACACAACGGTCTGGCTTAAAGTCATGAGTTGCCAAGGCCTCCGCTGTCTTTAGAAATCTGTAACGAAGACAACGAGGCGGGCAAGTTAGCATGGATTCTGTAGATGATCTTAAAATTATTGTCAGACTTGGCAGATTGACAGGAGTCGGTCACTTCCTTTCTCCCTTGTAAAACCATGCTGGAACATGTTATCGTATCCTTGCTCCACAACAGCAGGTGAACTGATAGATGCACATGGAGGCCGCCAGACCCAATCGCCTAACAAAATCAAATTGTAAGTGACTTGGAAGACATGTAATAAACATGTAATAGTGAATAGTGAAAGTCAACTGAATTGATAAGAATAATAATAGTGATAACGATAAAACCTGGAAAATAATGATTAAAATTTAAATCACTGCAAAGATTTTCTTCTTCTTCACTGAAGACCATGATCAAAATCAGGTCAGAAGAAATAATTATTTTACTATAAATTAAACCTGAAACAATAATAGAGAATAACGTTTTTCGAAAGTTAAGAAAGATGAGATTTCCTTTTTTCCCCTCTTTTTCTGAAAATTCAAATTCAAATACTGTTCAGAAAAGGTTATACCCTGTTACTATATATAAAGTCTAAATCGTTTACCTTAAATCGCCCTTAATATGGAAAGTTAACATACTGATCACCATTAATCATAATTACCACTATGTATTTCAACATAAAGAGATGTTATTTGGTGGATAGAACTGAATACATAGATTTCCGGACTGTTTGCTACCTAGCAATATTATTAATAATTGATTTATTCTCGGTATAAAATGTTTTCACAACACACAGAATTCGCAGAGTAATTTATTGCATAATATTTTCTCTTCATCCAAAATCTCCAAGTAAAATATTAATCAATAGTATATTGCGTGAATCAATGCTATTCTATCTGAAGCATCAATCCAGTCCTTCGCCTCTGAAAAATGCATAGAATCACTTACATTTATTCGCCTTTGTGAATTTTGAATAAGGCAAGAGTAACAACTTGTGCAGGAATGGACATGGTGTCTACTAAAACAGGGGTAATTGAACTGCCCATAGCAACACCATCATTTTGCAGTAAGGAGTGTTTGAACTGTACATCTATAGCTCACATTAGTAGTAGGTGTTTGAATTCCAACACTTGGAGTGGGAGGTTACAACGTTTACAAATAATATCGACAGTTTCATTGATTGCGATCCTTGTGAACAAGCAGCTAATATCAAACGATGTCATGAACTTATTTGAAACGTTCAAATAGTTCAGGATGTCGGCGAAATGAAATGAATCTTTCATGGTTCACATAGCTAGCGGTTAAAAATAGGTTCCAGCTTCTCTACAAGCCAACGAGCAACTTTGTGCTGAAACGAGTTGATTATAGAAAGTGGAGGTCTCAGAAGGACATGTCCTTTGTGTGTTTTTGCATGACATACACGTAAGACAAGCGGCACCCTTGGAGCTTTAAATTATTGTAAGCATTTCTGTCAATTAATTTCTTCTTCAGGAGATCTCTGAATACATTTGTGATACGTATTCCAAGCTGTTGTTCATATTTTTTTAAATGTCTTACAATAGATTAAAAGCCAACTGAAAATGTGTGCAATTATATTTTGAGACCTATGTACACAATTGGATCGTTAAAATAATAAGAAATATTGAGAATTCCATGCATTATATTCGACAGAAATTTAGGTAGCACAGTGATTTAAGCAGTTCGCCAGAAAACACAAATTACTTGAAAATTTGTCGTCGTGAAATTACATGTGTTAGGTGAAATCCGTCTAAATATAAAACTACAGTGATTTCAATCAGATTCGCAGAAATGATTTACCTTATCATTTCTGTAGATGTGATGGAGATTTGTACTTCATTTGGACGATATTGGTATGGTTGTGTTCTGTGAGCTAGAGGATTGAGATGAAATAGCTACATCAATAAGTTTCCTTTAAATGATGACTTGTATGATATGATACGTAAACGTTTGTTTCAGAAAATCAATGAATCTCAGTATTATTTATCTATACTTTGATTGGACACTAGTTAATAACTAGTGTAATGTGTCTAGTCCTATCTTTGTTGCAGACTCAATTCTACCAGTCTAGTTTGCAATGTGGCCATCATTCTAGGTGTGGATCTAAATCGAATCTCAGAAAGGAGATGAGTTCCTTCAAGACTGCAGATACGCCTTGCTGACTGGTGAGTGCCAACTAGCACGAAACCTAGGTCCCGACTGCCTTCAACCATTTAATATTACTCAGCTCTTCTTTCAGTCTATTATGATAGGTTTGTGCAAACTCGCTAATGGATACACTATGGTGAAACTATTCTTCAGTTAGAATGCTGAAAAAGATGTGACATCAAAAAATCACTTCTACCAGTATTTATTAAGTTTTTGTTTTTGTTTCAGTCCATTTACTGTGTACAGATAAAGGCTTCCAATATTAATGTTATTAATGTCACTACCCGGCTTGCTAGTTTACACTTACCATCCCTCTATTAACGAAACCTATGATATGAGTTGAAAAATTATTTATAATCTGATAATAATAACATCTCTATTCTGGACAGTATTTACAAAATGTACAGAAATTTCAGCAGAGTTTATTGCTTGATATTTTCTTTTAGTATAATGTCTTCAAGTAAAATATTAACTGACAGTATATCCTGTGACACATTTCTCTCTGAGCTGAAGCACAAACCATTCCATTTTGATATATCCGTTTTGTCTCCTTCAAGAAATCCACAATGTCTAGTAGAAATCCAATTGTAAGATGTTCAGAAGTACATTCTGAGACCGAAGGACATAACTGAAGAACAGTTATCTCAAGTATTGGAACACGCTGCCATTCACAATCAGGCCTTTCCTGAAGTTTAGTAGGAACTTGAGAAACAAAAATTTGTAAACAATTTAAATACACATAAGAGTAGATAATACCAATAGAGGTCATATCTCAACCGATTATACCAATGGATGGAAGATTTTGGTAGTCCAAGTTTTAGGCAGTGTATAAAACAATATATACCAGCTAGTTCGTCCAACATGAAGCCTCACTGAAAAGTGAAATTCATTTGTGTCAAGTTTCCAATTTTGAAATTATTATTGAAAGACTGTTTGTTATAACTTGACAATAAAAAGCTCCACTTGAAGACCGATTCCTCTATTGAAACAAATTTTTATTTATTATTACTCAAGTTGAAAAATGCAAAAGTCATTTTGTACTGATTACTGAAGTAACTGATTTTAATTGGCAGTAATGTCCTGAAATGTTCATTTAATACTCTCAAACAGTTTGTTATCAAGCAATGAAATGTTTTTTAGGATTTACTCATGAACTGATATTGGTTAGAGGACCATTGGAGAACCACCAGGGAGTACTGGACAGCTGTTTCATCCTAGTTTGGGTCTCTTCACCCACTGAGGTTCGAACCCAGGATCCTCCGGTTACAAGGCTAGCGAGGTCGTAGACCACTAAGCCACTGCCTGTGATTAAACAGCTGTCCAGAACTTATAGGTTGTACAGTGGTCCTCTAACCGATGACAGTTTATGATGAAATCCTATAACCAATCAAATGCTTGCAAACCAACATTTGAATGCAAGTAGAAAACTGTTTTTGTGGCCATATGAGCTACTTATTGAATTTAGTGCTCGTAAACATTACTGCTAGTGTTTACTGACAAATTTTCAAAGCATATGACTTAACTTGTGTCTCTGGCAGAGCCGTAGAATGCCCGCCAACCATACATGTGGTTTGGAGTTCAATCCCCGGCAGATGCACTCCTTTACCTCACTAAACCAGTAATAAGACTGGTAAACAAGGAAGTTCGGGCATGAGGCTAGCAATTCCGTTCCGTAAAAATAAAAATACCACTTTTACAGAGACTTCATAGTTCTATCTTGAAACCCTATATCCCAATGGGAAAGTAAAGGAATAAAAGAAAGAAGAAGACCATCAATAACACAAGCAATTTCGCTCAACAAACTGTTCTTTTCGATAGATGTTTTTACAGATTTATAAAGCAAGAGCACTAGACAGAGTATGATGTATATGTGTATAATGTAGACGAATGTTTATTGTAATAAGTTATTACACTGAAACTTTTTTGGAAAATCAAAATGCGGTTTATTTTAGTAAGTCTTCATCTTCCAAATAATTAACAGACAAAGTACCTCAAGTCTTCTCAGGTTTGCTGAAGCTATAGCAATAAAACCATTGAAGCCTGACTTATGTGTCCAAAAAACATCCGTTGTTGGTGACTTTGGTGACTCACTTCTTAGTAACTCTTTGTTTTCTAGTTTTGTTAACTTATCTTTTCACTCCCCCCCTTTATTTTTCGCTTGACTTTCTTAAGAGATAATTTTTCTTGATCTTCTGAGTTCTGCTCACCGTATTACATCATCAACTTCTCGTCTGAATTCATGTGCACCGAAATTTCGATCTTCACTTATCTAATTCCGTAACTATTACTAATTTAAATTAAAACAATTAGTCCCTTTGATAAATTTGAATAAGGCATTAAGAAGACAAATTTCGCGAGATGATATCTTCATTTCGTAGTTTCTTTACAACCGCTTTACAACTAACATGGTTAACAATAATACAATAAAGATCATGACAATTACTCAGTTAAATAAAAACAAAAGTACATACTAATGACCAATCATATTTAAAAGGTCATGTAGTCCATGGTAGGCTAAGATTGAAGTCTATTGCTTTTGTTACCACTCCAACAACACAACTGTTAATTTTTTTTCAAGGAACTCCTCTCTAACAAGATATATACATATATGCATGTCGTAACACTTTAGACACCTTGTAAATCGCAACACTTTATTTCACTAAGACGCTCTGACAATATGCTTGATAATGGACAAAAGTTTGAAGAGAGAAAGAATGAACATGTTTGCAGGATAATACGAGCTCGTTTTATTTCGTGGATTCTCATCAATTGCATACATCTTTTTCATAATTACTTTGAGTTATAGATAGAAGGCATAAGGAACATAATTCCAGAATTTGATGTAGATAGACATGTTATTCGGTGTCAAAAACAACTAATTATATTTAGTGGAATTAGATAAGAGGGGTAAGAGTTCAGATTTCTATTGGAAAACAACACAGATTGGTTAGAGGCATATTACAGGGTCAGGGTCAGACAAAAGTTTGTTAAAATTGTACACTTTTTTATATTAGTAAAGAATTTAGGTTGTACGCAGCTGATGAGAACCGACGAAATAAAGTGGATCCAAATTATTCTGCGCCTATGTTTCTTCTTTCTTTGTTCAAGCTTATAGTTATCCCTAAAATTTATCATATGAAACCTTTTCTTATCTATTTACATATGGTGTATGGCAGCAGGAACTAATGATCACCCATCAGTTAATCAGTAAACTTGGCATCATGAAATGTTTTCTGTCACTTTACACTGTCACCATATTGATATTTTAAAACAATTAGTTCCTTTTATGAATTTAGATAAAGCAATAAGATGTAATTTGTCTGAATCGTGTAATGTATTTGCGCAACACATTTCGAACAATCTGATCACACACGGACTTGTCATAGGAATATATATGAAATTAATAAAGAGGTAAGAGATGAGAAAATAGACTTAGGTCAAGTTAAAAGGACATGTTCAAGGTCAAAATAACAATGAAGATCACTAAACCATGCAAAAAATGACTTCACATCCCACTGTATTTACCAATTTGAATATACGTGTGGACACATACATAGGGAGGACTCATCGATCTCTGCAAGTAAGGGCTTCAGAGCATATTCTTAAAGGCTCCAGAAACAAATGGAATCTTCAGAACCTATTAACGGTGAGAACAGAAGACCTAGGTCTTCTATTGCGAAACATATTATAGAGACAGGACATAAAATTGACGTTAACAGATCTTTTAAACCTACCTATAAAACGTGTTTGGGGCGTATCCTAAAGTTTGTGGAAGCCCTAGCAATTAGAAAGTTTAAGCCACCTTTATGCGTTCAAAAACAATTTGTCATCACATTAAACCTTCCTTGGTAAATTTTGTTTTGATACCATAGCAGATGTACTATTACCTCTGCTATTTGGTTTAGTGGTCTTCATTGTTATTTTGACCTTGAATATGTCCTTTTAACTTGACCCAAGTCTATTTTCTCACCTCTTACCACTTCATTAATTTCATATATATTCCTGACAAGTCCGTGTGTGATCAGATTGTCCGAAATGTGTTGCGCAAATCCATTACACGATTCAGACAAATTACGTCTTCTTATTGCTTTATCTATATTGATACTTAATAAAAATTGTCAGATACAGTTTTCCAAAATCTTCGCAATTGATTTTTAATGCATAGTTTCTGCTAATACTTTTGATTTTTTTTGGTTTTATTTTGGTTATAGCTTGAAACCACACAGTATTTTTGGTACAAGTATGGAATTTTCAGCATGTGATATCGGTAGCCTAAATTTAGAAGGCCGACCATAGATATCGGGTGTGCGTCGGCAGGGGATCGAACCTCGGACCATGTGCATGGTCGGCGAGGATCCTAACCACTGTGCCACCTGCTCACATGATGATGACAGATGCCTGTGCCAACTCAACAATAACACTTAGAGGATATTATCACAAGACCGTTTGTTTTGCATCTTCTTACAAAACTGACTTATATTCAATAATATCATGGCATCTGAGTGCTAATAAAGTATTTGTCATTGTTAAACTATGCGATATTGCTAAATGGTCAAAAGCAGCTTCTTAATTATTACGTATCTGATATATCTCCGTGGATTTTAGCACAATATGACTACATATAAACGGTTTCACTTTAAGAAAAAAATGAGTATAATGAAGTTCTCACTGGTTTATTGTTTCACCTATATGAGGGTTACTTTTGTATAGGAAATATTACTGTAGACTTTACGAAAACTGCAGCATAACGGTTCGGTAACAATTCTTATTAATTCTTTCTTCTTGACTTATATGCATAGATCATCAACTGTATTGTGGTTATCTTACCGAACGTGATCCATTTCTATTGGCTGTTGCTAAAGATGATATACAAACTTATGGGATTAGTCAGTATCGTGCAATTCTGTGGAGAAAAACGGTAAGTAATCCGAAGAGTTTTCGTGTCACAAACAGTATTTGGTGGAATATTTTACATGCCCAACAGGATTTCAATTTTTTTTAAATTTCAAAAGGCCTTCTCTAACCATTTTTAAAGAGCGGATATTAACGTTATGAGAAAACTAAGCTCCACGAGAATTTCAAATTACAAATATGTAGAGATTAAAGACTACTCTTTCTTCCAACTAAGTATGTGGATCGAAATGGAGACAAAATATCGATTTCGTTCAAGTCACTAGTCGAGCAATAAAAGCATCTCAAATATTATTACTGACATTTCTTCAGTTAGATTTCTCTTCTGACTATGTTTTTTTGAAACGCTGGCAACATTTTTCCAAACACTTAGCGAAGTAATGCATGAGTGATTATAAATCATACAGAGCAACTCGGAAACTGTCGTAGTGATTAAAAAGGAGGGAAGTTTGTCGTTTAGTCAGTAATGTAATCAGTCACCCTTTTCAGACTGTGTACTCAAAGGTGAAATGGTCAAAAGTCCTTAGTCGAATACCACATAGTGCCAGCTGTCAAACGTCACACGGTAGAGTGCAAAATGTTCAGTTTTCCACTGATGCACAGTCAAAAGCTTCATACGACATTATTAAAAAGGCGACGGTCTACTAAGGAAAAAAGCCGTAGTAGATTGGCGGAAATGACCACTATATTTTTGTGCAGTAAATTTCTATTATATTAATGTAAATGAAGAAACTTTTTCAAATACTAAGAACAAAAGAAACCAATTAAAGTCACGCGTGATTTATGTTTCTGATATTGATGGGGTTTTTGAGCTGTATATTTAAATTGGAAAACTTCTCATTGCCCATGTAGTCAACAGCTCCAACGCTAACTTCGAAATGAAGTGAGCATTTTCAAATGTAGAATAACCGGCGTTCCTGATGGATTTGACTGTGATTCATTGTCAACGAAGGCTTTTTTGTGCTTTGTGTTCACTTGTATAGTTTTCTTAAAATGTTTGACGTTTAGACAGCATCATTTGTTTTTCATTAATTGATAAATTTGATCGATATAAATATGAATCTCAGCTACGTGTTGATATGAGTAACAGGCTTCTAGGATTTATCCTGCTCTTAGGTATTTCCTCTGTTTACGATTCTTGTGTTTCCCCCACTTGATCCAATATCTTCATTTATCAACATTCAGTGAAACGCAGAAACACAGATCACGTCCTTCGACTGCTGGTTCATACCCATGGATATACAATGACGCGGATTTTCAATTTAGCCAACATACTGCTTTTCATCATCGATGTAATTTGTCCTTAAAATGATGTTGGTCTTAATTTGGTATCTACATTAAAACTTTGTAAACTAAGGGATCCGGTTTATATCTACCAGTACTTACCTACTGGGGTTAGAACTCCAATGCACTAAAATCGTGAAATGGTAGAAGTTAAAACTCATGGGCCATTGAGTTGAGTCGCATTGTGTGATGAGCATTAATACGCTTGGTAGTTTGCTTTAACCGATTTCCATCCTAGTCAGTTTGTGAGCCTACTGTTCTATTCACGATTGCCAACAACAACATAATACGATACCACCGAACCCGTGACACAAGAAGAAAAGAAGACAGACCGTTAATATAAAGAGCTTCTACTGTCTCGAATCAACAGAGGAGAAAGTTGATAGTAGTTGCATGTATATATGCTTTAAATGGCCTTCACAGACACTGATTACATTGATGGATTAAAACAGTCAACAACCAGAAAGGATTCCAAGGACATAGTTGTGGGGTGGGGGGAATACAAACAGCACTAAAGATAAGTGTAGTATTTCAGAAAAATTAGGTCTATATAACACAGTGACTCAATGGTCTACGTGCTTGCCCTGTAACTGGGAGGTCCCGCATTCGAATTCTGGAGGATGTGTACAACAAATTAGTCCCAAACTGGGACGAAACAGCTATCTTATACTCCCTGGTTTTCAGTGGCTCTCTACCTCATATCAATCTGTGGTCAAACTTGAAGTTTTCACAGTACAATGAAAAACTACCACTTCATTTCTCAGTTTGTCCACTAAACTGTCTCCTGTGATTTATCCCTTTATAGTAGGATTTGGTCAAAAGATTAGAAAATATTTATTTTCTGTCATCTCTGAGATGTCAGAATTATAAATTAATTTGAAGAAAACAAAAAATGTATTTTTCAGAAAACTAGAAAGATTCTGTGCAAATCTGTTAATATTACAGAGGTTTCTTTCCATTTCATTTTAAGATAATTTATGGGTTTATATTCCACACTATGTTTGCACGATTATTTTAAGCTTTTTCTGTTTCATAAAATGTCACTAATTTCCCTACTTATTCTGCTCAAAAAAACATACTTATCCTGACATCATTCTTTAAATGTATGTGTGAACGTATTTGTAGTTTCAAGTGTGAATTAAGTTAGATCTCATATCTTATAAAAGTGGTGAGTGTAAAAATGATGCAGATTTTCAATTTTTCAAAAATTCTTACTGACAAATTATGATTCATATTCATCATGTAAATTAAAAGGATAAAAAAGCAGTTAAATTTAACTTGAAATGTTGAACTAAATTGCTGTACTGAAGTAAGCACAAATGCTGATAAACATCACCGTTATAGATTGTGAAGGACGTCCGACGTTCTGAACGTTTTCAGTATAGATTTTATTGAATACCAAAATCAGTTAGAAAATCATTAAAAACTACGGAGTGATGGACAGCGGTTCCACCCTAATATGGACTCCACGGATAGTGCCAATGATCTTCAGTTCATGAGGTTTTATTGGGCGGAAATTCAATGACCCACGAATTCCTTATCTGTGTATTGTTATTTAACTTATACTGACAGTTAAATAGTTTTTTTTGTTTACATCGTGTAAAAGATGAGTAAAAACTTAGCAGATCAGATTGCCTAAGATGGTCTTGAACTAACAAATGGTGTTCACTGTAACAATCTCAGTTTCTAATTCTGATCCAACTTGTGTTATTTTTTGGAAATTCAGACATTATTGCACCAGAGTATTGAAGTCATATGAATCGACATTTCATTAAATTCTATTTCCAATGTGTTGACACTTATATCTAAGCAAAAAAAACCATTTTATTCTCTATACTTTCTTTCTTTCCTATAAACTATAAGAAAACAGGAATTATCAAATTCTTCAAGGTTATTCAATATCATTTTTATTTCATGTGATTTCCACATCACTGTTATTCAGTGGAAAACAAAAAAAACTAAGTGAGCAGTAACAACAACAACAACGAAAACAACAAGACTCTATATCTTACATTCACATGATATAATCAGAAATTATGAAAATAAATGTTGATTTATAAATAAATAAGCAAATAGATAAATAATACCGGTTAAGGACTTCAGAATACCCCATTCGAATTAACACAAAACTGTTTACTAACCGTCTACTTCATAAATAAAAATGAACTATGCGTTTCATCGTTGAAATAAATAGAAAATTTGAAAAGAAAAAAAAATGTTTTTTAGCTCTCACAATGATACCAGATAAATAAATCCTGAAAGTTTATCATGATTCCATTACATGTAAGAATCTAATTACTAGTTATAACATGAAAATATTATACATTTCTATGTCATCAGGAAATGTTATGCGAATATACACAAAAAATATTATCAGAATTTCAGTAAAACGCAAAATACAGTCTCCTTTAGTCGCACTTGTAGTTGTTTGGTTTCAGGACTTCATCATGAACTGACGTCGGCTAGAGAACTAATGAAAAACATTCAAGGAGTACTGGACAGCCAACTGTTTTGTCAGCCTAGTTTGGGACTCTTCGTCAGTATACACCCACCAACAGGGTTTGAACCCAAGATCTTTCGGTTACAATGCGAGCACTTAGACCATTAGGCTACTGGGACCCGACCCAATGATCCATGAATTCCAACTTCTGCCGATTCACGATATGGCGCGACGACTAGCGAGTGTCATTGGCGAGTATTTGTCCTCACACTCGACCTGCTTTCCCCGCAGGCCACGATGTGTACGTGTTTGATTTTTTTCGTAACTTCAAACATATAACTTCTTCACATTACAATTTTTAACCATTCACGTCCTTGTGAATCATGGGGCGTTTGATAGTGTTATTTAATACTACTATATCCCAGAGCGATACTCTGGTATGGTATACTTTTACAACCTGAAGCTATTTAAAGTGATATATGTAGTCATTTCGACCGCATAAACAATATCAACATTATGGCTTAAAACAGTCTTATGAGATATACTACTTACTTACAAGGTTAGTTGCTTTACTAGCTGTATCAATAAATATTACTTTTAATGTTTATTTACCTGGAAACTAAAGTCAGCTGATTTCTCTGTATACATTTATAAGCTTTCTATTGTTTAGTAAGCCTATTTGAAAATGTAACATGAAAATATTCTAAATTTTGTTGGATCACTTGGCATAAAATCCAAAATTTTCATAAAAACGTTGATTTATAGTGTAGCTGTATTCAGCTCATTCAAGCTTTTGTGAAGGCTTAATGGTGTTAATTGCCTGTGAAGCATATCTTCCAGATTTCTATGTTCTTACTAATTAAACAGGTTTCGCGAGTGGATGTTACCATGGTGGTAGCCAGCTGATTTTGATGACTACTTTGTTTAATCTCTGTTCAACAAATTGACTTTGAATACCATTCTGATACTGAACATGCTAATTTCACTGGACATACTTGAATTAACAAATATACTAGTGGGCGTAACGAGATATTAATCAGAAATTCACTTGGGAGAAAGTAGTTTATATTCGCACTTATGCTGACAGTAATAATAATAACAGCTTTATTGTAGACAGTATGTTAACACAGTACAGAAATTTCAGCGTGTTTAAACCACAAAATATTTGCCCTTCATACATGATCTTGAAGTAAAATGGTATTCGACAGTAGACTGTGTGTGATGCTGTTTTGTTCCATCTGAAGCAATATCCAAATATCTACGATATTTTTACCTCATTCATGTTAAGAAATGCTATACATTACAGCAAGATAAAATAGTGTGCTATTTCATTTAGCGATCCAAAACAACACAGTTAGATGATTAAATGAATAAGAAATGAAGAAGAGTTAATGCAGTATTATACCGAATGGAAATTTAGGCAGCTCAGTAATTTAAGCAGGCCGCCGACGATGTGCGTCTTCTTATTTGGAACGGATTAAACTAACAGACATAAACGTTTATTAAGTTTGACTTTGTGCGTCAGTGGTGCAGTCGTAGAATGTTCGCCTACCACGCATGTGGTTTGGAGTTCAATCCCCGGCAGATGCACTCCTTTACCTCACTAAACCAGTAATAAGACTGGTAAACAAGGAAGTTCGGGCATGAGGCTAGCAATTCCGTCCCTTAAAAATAAAAATACCACTTTTACGGAGACTTCATAGTTCTATCTTGAAACCCTATATCCCAATGGGAAAGTAAAGGAATAAGAAAAAGTTTAATATTATTCAAAAGAAAATAACAGTAAATAATGTTTAGGTGCATTTATTTTATGTGATTTTGAAGATAATAGCCATAAAAGTTTGACTGAGTAAAGATATCATGCTTCATGTTAAGTATAACGTGGGTGTAAGTATAACTTCAAATGAAAACTCTACTTTTTTTAATCACTTTTTAATCTATTCTGAGTGATTTCGAAGCATAAATCGTAGCACAATGAATAATGCCTTTTAACTTGGTGTTGATGGCTTTGAGTTATGTTCAACATATCAATTCGCTTGAAGTCACATGAATATCTAATCCACAATGCCCAAACTTTTTAATGATATTAATTCACATGAATATCTTGTTATTGAGAGTTAAAAGTACCATACATAGGTTTAAGATAGATTTCTTCTTTTTGGATGTAAAGATTTTTGAGTCCAGATTCACAAGATAATACAGAGCAAGAGTATTTAAAAGCGGGATGAGAAATCCCTTCCCGTAGTGTTAAATACAGGTAAAAAAGGTAACCAGCTCGAGGCTATTTGAAAATATGACATCTCAAATCACCACCCATTACATCATTAGTAGTCTTCCAATACAAGGTAATTCCAAATATTTTGACTATCGATTAAAAAGTAACTCTTAGAATGCATGAATAGTTTTTCCCAAAGTATTCCGAGATAGTCATCACTCATCAATAATTCATGGTTATCATAACAAATTTTAATAAATTCAAAACATCACTTCAGAAACTTTTTTCATTTGAGTAATAATAAGCATACTGTGTAAGAAAGACTGCAGTATGAAAACAAAATAACAATCTATTCTGAGGCATTTGATCCTCAAGTGTCAAATAGCAATGATCAACTCAGGATATTTTTATTTTTTCAGTAAAGTGAGTAATAAAAGAGTAATTATTTCTGTTTTAGATTGATGATGGCGCTGAATAGAACCTCGTTTTCTTCAAAATCTGAATATTTTCACCTAAATCATCTATTGATGAATAGAGATCATAGAAACAGTCCTAGTCTAACGATAATTTAGAGGTGTAATTCGACCATAAACAATTAAGCCAGAAGGCTAAATTAAACATGGAAACATTCTACACTAGTTTTGCTAGTTCTGATACAGCTAGGAAGACAATCAGTTGAGTTAAAATTCACCGTTTGGAAACTGAACAGTTCGAGGTAAAAAGTCACCTCAGTTTCCTTTAGAAACTCAAGTAGGATATAAATTATCTTAGCAACAAAATGATGTGTCATTAGAATTGTAAATTTTAGACAACAGATTTAGTTAATGGGTTAGACACTAAAATAAGACTAAGTAAGCAAGCTGAATGACATAATCTAATTGATGCGGTTTAGTAGAGCTCAGCTAAAATTAAAATTCAACAAAAGTCATCGGGTGTACAATTAGGCAGATTCATCATCGTATTTCCGCACATCATCCAGCATGGTTAAGTAAGGGACAAACAAAATCTATTCGTAGGTAGCTCTGTAGATAGTGAACATAAGGTTGACGTTAATACAGCATTTAGAATTATTTATCGCATTCTTACTAACCTTAATTTTGCTTTACGAAACAAACAGCTGAAGCAATAGGAATTCACTTGAAGAAGCCAAATCTGTGTTTTCAGAAGAAAACTGTACAGCCACTTTCCTTACCTTGGCCATCTTTACATGAATGTATAAACTGGACTACTTCGCCCCCCCTCACCCTAAACCTTTGAAATTATTTTAATGATTATAATTGTTCAGATTATTTCATTATTTTTCTGACTAATTCATCTTTAATTACATGTTATCTTTGTAAAATTATTTTATTCTTATGACCACTTCAGCCTTAGTTACAAGTTATCATTGTCCAAATTGTTTTGTTTTCTTTAACAATCTATTACGCAATCAACCTGTGCACACGCTTATTCCTTATTTACTCTTAATTTTCCCAAAATTATGCATTATTCAATCCACGTGTTGTAACCATTTCTACCTTTTAATTGTGCGTATTAATTTTCTTTGTTAATTACCACCCCACTGATATGTTGACACTGACTAATTATTGTTAACAAACATATCAGTGCCACTTGATTGGTAAATTGTTGTGTATTGTAAATAAAAATGTTATATATATTGCAGTAGAACCAGAGATGAGGATCGAATTGAAAAGTAAATATTTCTTCGCTCAATCCTGTTTTCTAAAAGTCAAGTTAACAACAGCGGTGGTAAGGGTAGAGATTTAATAAGGGGTGGGGGAAGAAAATATTATACATTTAAGAAATAAACAAGCAAGGAATTGACGAATACACAACTACGTATTTCGTGTTAAGATAGGTCAGGTCCATTGTAGATTTAATGACTGAACAAACTTCTTCTTTTTTATGCAGAGTTCAGGTCTTAATATGTGAATTGCCATTGCTTCTGCGGTTTGAAGAAGTTTGATTCGTACTCTTTCAGCGAGATTCCCACTTGTTCTGTAGATAACTTTGAAGTTACTTTGTGGGTTTGCTTGGTATTCAGATTCGATCAGGTGTCCCAGAATAGAGCTTCTTTGGAACGTATTTCCTCCTTGATAAAACCGTGAGGGTAAGTGTTCGATGATACGTTTGGATAGCAAATGCAGGGTACGGCTGACATACCTAGCTCCACACGAGCAGGTGAATTGGTAGATGCACAGTGATAAGACCAACAGTAGTAGCTTATGCTTCATGTTCACGCGAATCTTTGGTTTCATAGAGAAGGTTAGTCGGAGTTTAGCTTTGAAGAAGGTTTTCTTCAGTGAGCAGGACAGGCAGTTTCTCAGTATTTCTCCCGATGAGTCTCCATTGAATTATAGATTCAGGTAGAGATTTTTGGAAGCAAAACGTGTAGGTGATTATAGTGGTCTAGGTTTGATAAACTGATTAGTCCAAGTGATAGCGTCTGTCATAAACGAGTTAAATAGCCATTCGGTGCCCAATTAAATCGAAGAGTACTCATTCATGTCGCCTAACTTTAAATTTAGATAAATATTTGTTTGTCTTTGATAGTGTTTTATACACTGTTCACCTAAAAACGACTTGTTCAATACTACAAAGTGATTTTCTATTTTTTTGTAACTTCTTTTCTATAGGGAAGTCAAAAGTTGTGTATTTCCTACAATCCAACAAATGCGTTAACTGCAAAGAAGGTTTTAAAGTAAGTTGTTAAAAGCCCGGCTGATCTTGTTAGGGAGTTAATAAATTTTTGTGTTTTGAACTTTCTGTAACTACCGGACTGATTTTGCAGGGCAGATACGGTAGCTAAACGCTCAGCTTTCCACTTCAACTAGGTTTTGGACCGGCTAGTAAACTGGCAAACTAGTAAAGTAGGCAGAGTTCTTCAAAACTAATGTGAAATGTGTATTTTTATGTGTTTCACATTAGTAAGGCTTCACAGAATTTCTTCTTTCCATTTATATGAATTATGACATATTTAGGTGGAGAATCGCTCTTCAGATATGATAGTGATTACTGAAAACGACGAATTTCCTTCAACGTAAAAGTACTGTACCATATTGCCACTTATTTTCTAATTCTGTCATCTTTTTATAATTTCCACAAATGTTTCTGAGGAATACTGTAGAAGTAATAATTACAAGTGAAATAGGCAGCTTAATAATATCTTAATATCTTTTCTCACTAGGAAAAATAAATGCATAATTAATATTTGGCGGAAAATTCTGGAATAATTAAAATCTTATGTTAGCGTTTGGTTAAGATAAGTGTCACTTTTACTGAAGTAATTCACGTGTAGCACCGAAATGCGGTAATTAGTTTATTGTCAGCTTTACTGGTCATAAAATACAAGAATCCATTAGGTATTATAATAAACTAACTGAAATTACTTGTACCCTTGAGAGACAAAATACTGATCAGATAATTTCATGGGCTCAGTGGTGTAAAATCTGTTGAATAATTTACTAAATTTTTCACAAGATAACTTTATCAAAATAACATTCGTTATGAAAGCATTATCTTGCATATAAGTTTGAAAAAGTGACACTCAATAAGGTGTATTTCCGCTGTTATTTCAAGATCACAAGAATGTCAGAGACTAGTTTAAAAGTACAGTTTTCTTACATGGCATTATGTTATCTTACGCTTAAGTTTTTGGGCAGTTGTACAGGGCTGATGATAGCGGCACATAGATTAATTATTTGATAAAGTGTCTCCAGGTTTGCGTATAATAAACTTAATTATTTGTGAATAAATATTTAATGTGAAAGCAGTTCTTAATAACAGTCATGTACTTTTTTTAACTACTCTTCAGCTTTTTCGATATCCATCGTGTAGAAAAAGGACCACGGGAAATTCTTAACTTTGAGGTTCAAAAGGATGCTCTCACTCTGGAAGAGCAAGAGGTAAGAATAAGTACCGAATAATTTAGGCAGTGTATTTAAATATCCTTTCATTTCACCTACAGAATATTGTCTTCATGAAACTAAAGGGAAGATGGAGTAAAACAGGTGATTTCGTGAAAATTCCTTCTACGGGTTGCGTTCAGTGTTTTTTAGCGTACCAAAGGTTTACGTACCTTTGATTTCACTTCATGCTATGAAGTTGCTGCGAATTAGTGACATCTAATAAAAGTTTTCAGTGGTTCTCTAACTGATATCAACCCATGGTCAAACTTCTAATAAAAGTGTATTGCATACATTCTTAGTGACGTTAGATGGTTCCAGATTGTCTGTAAGAAACCTTCTTCCTAGGTTTTTTGCTGTCTGGTAGTAATCAACGAAGAGTATCTGTAACCTTAATAGATTTTATGTCCCACTGACCTATTTGGTTACTTCGTAATCACCAAATGATATATCTCTTACAGTCTACCTAGTTAATAGAGACCCGAATGTCTCATTAGTAATATCTTTGACCGCGAAAATGGCTGATTCGTGTCCTACTGTGAACTCATACAACACAGACATATACCTATCATGTTAACATGCCAGTTGAACTGAATATTTATTTTGAGTTGATTTCCAGGATTTATTCTAACTTGAATCACAGTATATTTCAGGCAAACTTGATGCTAAATTTTCTTCGCTGTTTGTGCCTTTTTCTTATGACTCAATATGGGAATATTTCGTTCATTGAAGAACTGAGGACCCTGTGACAGTAAAGGAATTGGACAAATTCCTGCGTTTCTCTGTCAAGCTTGCTGAAGTTAACACGGAGCTCAATTTTCTGAAACGATGCATCGATAAGCATGAGTATCCAAATCATTGCTGGAAGAATCTCCGCCGGAATCATATTTACCATAATGATTTTACCTTATTATTGTTATCACACATAAGTATATTTAGACCATGTTATCAAATTAGTCAAAATAATACATGAATTGAGTGGCGAATTCGAAAATTTACACAAAGTAAAATATGTCAAAATAACATGTCAATCTGAAGAGCCCTAGTTTTCTATAATTCGTCGGAAATCCTTCTCTGATTTCAGTTTAGAAAATGCAGTCATTCAGTATTCATCTTCATTATTTGCTTATCGAAGAGAAACAATCTGTACCTTCACACGATGATCTATTATAGATATGAAGTAACCATAAATGTGACACCTCGACTGAAGTTAGAATCTTTGTCGACGAAACCCCTTACTGCCTTGATACACTGACACACCTAATAAACTGTAATGAGAATAGAAGCCAGTAATACACTGCAGCCAACTACAAATAATAAATCCTGAATAAAAGTCATTGATGTTGTCACTAATTTTGGACGTTTTCCTCAAACAAAATTTTGATTTAGCGTATATTAAATATTTATTTTAAGAATATACTTATTATAATGTGTGCTGAAAAACTGAGTACACATACTCACTTAAACATATCATTTGTTTGTTTGTTCACTTTTAAAGGGATCTGTAAATTTCAAGTTTGGAGTACTTTATTGTATCGAAGGCCAAACATCAGATCAAGAGATGTACAATAATGGTAAGTGTCTGTTTTCTTTTTTTACAGTTTTCCTGTTATATGTGTTTCATTACTTTCTCATGGTTTCATTTAAATGTGTGAAAACTTAAGAAAAGTGTTTTATGTAATCCGTTATAACTACATTTAAGTAAACAATAGGTGCGTACTGTCGACGAGTCCCAAACTAGGCTGACGAAACAGTTGGCTGTCCAGCACTCCATTGCTGGTTTTCAATCGTTCTCTAACTGATATCAATCCATGGTCAAACTAGATAAACAAATCGAATCCTTACAAATCAACTCTTGAAAACAAAAATAAGCCTTTTTTGCTTCAAATCCCTCTCTAGTAAAACTTTTAATCTCACAAAATAATCCAATTACTAATTTCTGCAATAATAATTTTTGTCTCTAATTCAAATTATACGCTCAAATCGATATAGAATTTTTCTGTCTTTCTCAATTTAGTTGGTCAGCTAAAAATACAAAGAAATAGAATTGTAAATGATAGTATTATTATAACGATATTATATACAAAGGTGATACCAAAACGATATGCTGTACACAGCTGTTCTGTGACACTGTTCAAGAAAGATTCAATATCTCTCAGTAATTTATTTTATGAAATTTGTGGTGCAGAGAAAAATACTATTCAAAATAATTTGAAAAATAGATCCCGCTCTAAAGTTTGTTAACAGCCACTTAAAATTTCAGCTAGCCAAATCAATTCAAGATTCGTCTATGTAACTGCACTTTAAGCTTATACATCAAACAAAACAACTCGTAATTGTACTTATTCCCCTTGATGAATTTGAATAAAGCAAGAACAAGAGTGGTTTGTACAGAATAATATGTTACCATCATAGCTTATTTCGTTGGCTTCTCATCAGCTGCTTACAGCCTAAGTATATTACAAGGGTTATGTACAGAAAAGTTTTAACATACTTGCAAATTTTTCGTGATGTCAGTTAACAGAAAGTTCCGCAATTAGTGAACAGCGCTCAGAAAATTGCGTTAAATGGTTTTTACGCAGGAATTTGAAGTTTAATCAACATAAATGTATGCATACAATGGTAAAGAAGTTACTTAAATAAGACGGGAGATGCGTAAGATGCTGTGTGACTAATAAATCAGATAACAATGTACTGAGTTCAACTCAAATTACAAAACCAAGAGACAAGCAAAATTACACTATGTCAAGGCGGTGAGGTTAGAGCCAAAGATTACGTAATCAAATGAAAGAAAGAATAAAGACATCCATTTACCAGGGCAAGGAAAGACTAATAATTGCTTCTTTCTGAACACATAAATCTGGTTTCAAGCGTTTGATAGAAACTGCTTTGGCAAACTTGAGAAGAATCGAGCTCCTTTGTCTATCGATAATTTTAAAGGATTTCGCGATTTCCACCTCATGACCCGTATCGAGGAGATGTCTGGTAAGAGAGTTTGTTCCCTTGAGACACAGGCTTTTCGGCACATGTTCAGAAAATCGGAGGTGTGCCCTTTTTTCTGTTCTCCAGATGCAACTGATAGTAACTGTAATTAGCAATACTATATGTCTATCATTTCCGTTGATGGCGGCTAGCAGTAAAATCGAAGATTTCCATTCGTCCTGGTTCAGAAGTGTTTGCTGGATGTACCAACATTCCATGTGAGTGAGGGTGTTCCCAGTGAGACTCAAACGCAGCGTTCGTTGTTTCAGACGACAAAAAGGACCAAGAGATAACCCTGAACTCCACTGCTAGTCACCAGCAACCCAAATAAATTCATGCTATTACTTAGACTTCATTGAAATGTCACCAACGTGCTAAAAGAGACTGAGAATTTCGGTTCAGTATAACCGATCGACTGGAAATGAATAACTAACCTTTAAACAAATATGTATACCAATTTAACATAGTCTGTGAGGAATTGAAACAAGTCCTTTGATTACATCTTCAAAGGATATAACATACTAATTCCTGTGAGAATAGGAATTTACACAAACGAATAAGCACATCCAGCAGATGAAAGAGTTGCTAATCACCAAAAATGTCATATATAAATGGCTAAATTTAATCACATAGGAAATGACTGAAAATGTAGACTGATGACTTTTTAGAAATTCGAATCAAAATGTTTTCTGACAGTGAATATTCAGTCAAATGAAATGAATTGGATAAAAATTAATGAAAAGCATTAACTATCTGATCTCACTATGAGACAAACATGGCCTAAGTAAATAAACTAAATAATGGAAAATCAAAAAAAGACAAAATCCAGAAAAACATTTCTGAAAAGAATTTTGTTTCTCTTCTGAATAAGGATATTCTTTGTTAGGTTATTTATTGAGTAATTTTCTAGTAGTAATGTCCCAGTACATCATCTGGAAACCAACCCCCAATAGTTGAAATATTCTTATTCAGCTTCCTCTATAGATTTATTCCAAGTTGTCAAGTTGTTACCTCACAACCGGATCTGATAGTTCATGGTATTAATTTTGTATAAAGTTTAATCCAGCTGCGTACGTGACAAAGACTAATATTATGATTCCTTAGATTCCGACCAGAACACAGGTCTTCGACGGCACATGGCAATTTTATCCTGCTTTTCTCATTTGTCCATACACTCTCATCTTTTCCTGAAACAATCTTCCCATTTCACCTCCTGGACTAACGCTCAACTCTTTGTTTTTCAATCTCAGTGTCTAGCAAGCGAAAGAGGGAGCCTGTCCAAAATGCTTTCGATGACATGCGAAGTCTCTTTACCACGTCGAAGAAGTGATTTGAAATTTGTATTAAATATCGACATGTTTTCTTTTATGCTTAATGCAGTAGATTTCCGTATTGATTTCAATGTAATGAAGGTCTGTCTGGCTTTTCTGATCCAGGCTTGGATATCTCCATTCACACGGCATATAGCTGAAACTATGACACCCAAATAAATAGAAGTCGTAATAGGGGATTATTCAACTAGTAATTTCTTTAATTAGTTGTTTAACGGTCAGTCATACATATTCATATGTCAGCTGAAAGTTTTGTTTAACCGAACGACTAATCCGAGCATTGTAGAGAAGCTTAACGTAGGTGTTTTTTCTTAATCAAACATATTTCTGCATGAATCATTTAGAAATAATATTGTTATCATAGTTCATGTAACTTTTGTTATTCAAGTTATTTCGTTTGTATAAATTTGGCCTGACAGTTTGAACAGTGCTATTTTTATCAACTGAATTGTTATATCACATTTATTGTGAATACAACATGAGCATTTATACAAAAAGTGGATGTAAAAACTTTAGGGCTTTTTATTGACGATCACTGTTTCTTCAACTTAAAGCTTTCATAGTGTTTCTTTTGTCTTTATTTTTATTCGCATCTTTCAAAAACATATGGTGTTTCCAGTTATATATATATAACCTATTTGCGTCACTGGACTCATTAGAGTGTTAAAAATGTTTCTATAATGATAAATAGACGAAAGTGAAGTGTTTTTATTCCCTAGATCTATTGGTGGTGAGCATATGACTGTATGACGTAAGGGAATGCATAAGTAGAACTAATTCTAATTCTGAAGCTGATTTAAATTTTGTTACTACCACTAGTGAATAATTTGGTAAACTAACATTTACAAGGTAACCTCAAAAAGATGACTTTGGTGTGTTTGAATCATTTTTTAGTCTCATAAACCAGTTTTTTCACTGGTATACTGGACATTCATATGCTAAATAATAATACCAGTTGGTAGTGAATTCAAAAATATAGAATCTTCAAGGCAGTATATATTCTATATTCTTTCCTTTCCCTTCTAGCTCTGACTGTCTTTAATACCCTTATTTCTTACTGAACAGTCCCAAAAAACATTCTCAGGTATTGATATGTAACGATTTGATTGATGATCAGATAAAGGTAGATTGCATCACGTACGGGCATCCGTAAGAGAATCAGTGGAAACCCCAGAGCACCAGACGGTTTTCCCATCCCAGTTTGAGACTCTTAAACGTGCCCGCGAACCTACCAGACATCGAAACTATGTTTTTTGTCGTATACTCTTTATGTGGGACGTCCATGCACATATTCTTTAATTCTTTACCTTCTGATTAGAATATGGAGCTTCAAGATTTAAAGTTTCAGTAATGGTGGTTTTACTTTTTATGAGGTGTGGGGTTCCTCACCTCATGCTCAACGTGCCTTCTTTCCGGGCATACTACTGGAAAGTAAACTAGGGGAGGTTTAAGAGCGCATCAACCTGAAATCAGATCCAGTATCTCACAATTCAACGGCTGATGCATATTCCTACGTATATAATAAGTCTATCATAACCCTACAGTAGAAATTGTAGAAGGATACTTATGTACAACTTTCGGTCGAAAAGATTCTTAAGCGCTTTAATATAAGTTATAATCATAAATTAAAGGAATTTACCAACAACAAAAATTTAATTCCCAAATGAAATTTTCCTTCTGTCTCATTTGCGACTACATTGTTTTCTATGTATACGATTTAATGCAGAAAAAGGAAGTGAACAATTTGAACGTTTTGTTAATCTTCTTGGGGAAAGAATTGGTTTAAAATCATGGGATCGATTTAAAGGAGGTTTGGATACCAAAAGTGAGTTGGAAGTTTGAATTTAGTTAAATTGGTTACTACTATCTATATCCATTTTTGGTTTATATAGATGAAGTTTATGCACACATTTTTTAAGAAACAGTTATCACCTTAAGTATGTGTTTTCAGTTGAAGATCAAAGTTTAATTAGTCTGAACTTTTTTTTAAATATTAAGTCATTTATGTATATCAGTGGATAGGCCTCCTTTACTGAATGACATTAGATGATTAGCTAATGAAGTGATGGAAATGTTTCTTTAAGTAGAGAGATCCATTCATTTGCTGTAATCACTTCATACGGATATCAGGACGCTTATTAAGTACTAAATAATACTAAGTTATGTACAAGGGAATGATGTGTAGCTTCATATTTCTCTAAATAACTAATTACTTCTTTCAACCTGAAGACTGACTCGGTAGTTTCCGAAATCAGTTAATTTTAAAGTAAAAATCTCTTGAAAATGTCAATACCCAAACGTACAATACAAATAGAACATTTGTTCTGCATTTTTGAAACCAGTCTATGATTTTTAAGCTTAAATAAGTGGACGATGGAAAGAAATACTTCTAAGTTACATAATTGTTATCAATGTGGGCCGAACAATTTAGATTTCATAGGTATATGACAGCGAGATAATGAAGAGGTTAATAAATCAGTAATTTTGAGCTTTAACAATGAGCTAGAAATATGTTTCGTGGTTTCAAAAGACTGATTACTAAATAAAGAATTTTCTTTTCGATAACTTCTTCATCAAGTTCTACAGTTACATGCATCCATAATAATGAAAAAATAGGGTTATTAACAACATTAATGTTGTTTAAGTAATATCGAATCAATAATATGAATAAATTATAGTTCAATAGCATCTTTAAGTGTGATAATATTCATCAACATAGCACTACATCGAATATCAGAGAAATAAGGAGAAATAATAATACAGAATTCATGAATTTATAGACTCGACAGAGGGCTCGGGAAGTAGTAGTGGTTGAACCTGTTTCATTTGCACACAGAGCACCGATTGTTTAAGGCGGATTGCAACACACTCTGCGGTTTGAGGTATTTACTACCTGGATGATTTTGGCAATTTATTTGGTACTCGATAAATGATGGCGGGTTTAGACCAGGTGGTCTAATATCGAACTGTTGATGTTTTTGACTATATGTTTATTTAGCCACACCCATAAGTGTTCCCGACTAAGCAAGAAGACTCAGGTTCCTGGAGCAACGGCCAATATAACTCGCTCTGCAAACGAAGCTGAATTCATACATATAATTTAAGGTGGCTAGTCTAGTTATTTCATCTTTTAATTGAGGAATCACAACCGGTCGTGGTGTAGAAACTATGACTTGTAGTCTGTCAGCATTAGAAGTTCTTTGGACTGATTTCGTAACTTCTTCGTAATTATTTCACTAGTTATGTTGCCCTTGAATTGCAGTTGTATGTATAAAGGCTTCTTGTTTAAGGGTAGTATGTCTGGGTAGTGATTTTCGATCAAGGTATCATATAAAATCCTTAGTTCATCTTCAGCTGCCTTTTATAAGCACATAGCTCTAGCCCTGTAGCTGAGGGTCCTTATTAAATTCCTTTCGTACTGGATAGGAACGAAGCTATGAAAATGTGCATATTGTCCTATCCATGTGCTTTACCTATGAAAATTTCTCTTTATACCACCATCTGGTTTTCTTGTAAGGAGGACATCCAGGAAGGCAATTCTATTTTGGGACTCCTCTTCACATGTGAATTCCATAGCAGAATGTACTTCATTGAATTGAGTTATTACTGTGTTCCTGTTCGAATCATTATCACAAAGAATAAAGGTATCATCCATATATCGGCAATAAAATGATAATTTTCTGATAAGGTTGTTGAAAGGTCCATTTTCCAGTTTACTTAGAAAGAAATCTGCCAAAATGGGAACCAATGGGGAGCCCTTTGCCACTCTGTCTCCTTGTTTGTAAAGTGTGCCATGAAATTTGAAACTTACATTCATGGTACACCTTAATAACAATTCTTTTAGGATTTCTGTCGGTATGCCAATATTTATCGAATTGTTGTGCACTTGTTTACATATGTAGTTAACCGTTTTTATACTGGAGGTACATTTGTGAATAAAGATGCTATGTCCAAAGATACCATGGTTTTATCCTTGATTTTTATATCTCCAATTTTGTCTACAAACTCAAATACTTTTTTTACCCTGTGCTTCACTATTTGTCCATGCTAAGGTATGTTCAGTAATCTATCTTTTAAAGTTTTTTAGTTTGCTAATGACTACATACTGTTGTATGTAGTTTTTGTTGGTATTAATTAATACTCAACACACATAAGGTCCCAGAAGGCTTGAGAGATTACTAACATGAAGTTTACAAAAAATATGCGACTCGTTACAACTTTTTCTTGTGAGATTAATAAATTGTTAAAATGAACGTTGAGAAAACAGAAAGCAAATCTAAGTGACACACGTGTATAGTATTCTGAAAAGGATTTTTACCTATTGTTTTCACTTGTTTGATAGTGAAACGCAGGGCTGAATGAATATAAAACAAGCAGGGTAATTAATGCTTTTGGACAAGATATTTAGCGGGTGAAATAATGACAGATTATTCATCATGGTATGCAAAATCAAAAAGTTAGATAATGGTTACAAGCAACAGAACAGAACTTCCCTGCTGTTCATTAGGCTGGAATTCTTAACAGGTAAATGATAACAGAATGGTTTTCTAATACACCAATTTCCTTCTTCACTGTACATTAGTAATGATTATGCACACTTTTGAAGTTGAAAGTTTTGTACAGATTCGTTTTGTAAGACTAAATGCTAACGGGTATTCCAAATTCCCACATGAAAAATCATTGAAAACATCGTTTAAAAGCACCAGTTTCTGGTGGCTTGTTATTTTTTAGAGGCTAAAATGAATACTATTGAATCACACAGTTGGGTAATTCAAACATCGCTTAAAAACTCTTAAAACTTTGATTTCCATGTATACATTTATTACGAAAATAGCAGTATAGTGGAATATTGTAATATAACTAACAAAACAATGATCTATGGTTGCCAATAGTGATTTCGTCTAATGTTTATTATTTCAGCAAATACAACTGGCATTGATTCAGTATATACAATATATGAAGGTCATGAAATCATGTTCCATGTGTCCACCTTATTGCCTTACTCAACAGAGAATCGACAACAGGTAATTCAATTCTTTTGTATGTGTGTATTTCCATCAAGTTATAATTACATTCAAAAGTCTTATGTCTGTCCAACTGAAAGCGTCTTAAACGTAAATCTGTCTTAGGCTTACCTGTAACGAAATTAATATTATTGATATTTTTGATTGGACACTAGTCAGTAATTAGTGCAATGTATCTAGTCCTATCTTTGTTGCAGACTGAATTCTATCAGTCAAGCTTGCAATGTGTATGGATGACGGTGTACAAGTTCACTCTGATGTAGATCACAGAGTTCTCCGCTTAACATATCACTTTCGCACAGTATTATACTGTAAAAGCTCTGAAGTGTATTTCTCAGAAAATGATACTACTATTACAACTACGTTCAGAGGGTAAATCAAGCAAATCGCAAGTGGTTGAAGAAACGTTAATCTTCATCTCACATAGTATGTTGGAGACAGCTGTTATGGCAAGAAGCTTGATTAGCTTTTTTTCATTCCCTTTTATCTGTGCAACACTAAATCTCAATGTTCTGTTGCGAACATGTTAGCAATTAAAAGGAACAGAATAAGCATTGCTACAGAGCACATGTGTATATATCAGAAAGTTACTATTATTTAACAAAATCATAACTCACTCTCGACTTGATTCTTTGCTTCAATTAATTTAAATTCATCTTGGAAGTCTATTAATATATTACGAATAACAATAATCTGACGCCATAAGAATGCACCTATTTACTAAGGTAATACATCCTTGAACAAATATTAGACTATGGAAAATTTTCCATTTATTTTTAAATATTGAAGTAATATGGCAAAAATATTTATTCAGGTATTTTTTTAAAACATTGGGCAAACAATACCCTTTTCAATAATTTTCTCTTCCCGCTCTACAATTAAATATACATATATATGCTTATGTACATATAATATTCTAGAATAATTGTCATTAACAATATTGGTGTTTTTTTCTAAATAATATCGATTTATTAAGATCACAATGGAATTACCACAGTTCAAGAAAGATCCATAAGTCACAATAATAAGCATAAAAATGTAATACCAAATAGAGTATCACAAAGAATTAAGGCAATTTCCACAACAAATTGAGGATCATTAAAAGCTTGATGACCAACGGGATAAGAGCAATGTCTGAACCAACTTCTTTTGGATACATAATAACTTAGGTTTCTTAATGTAGATCCCAACAGCCAGTGTCAGCAATATGTAGTACACGAACTCTCAAGAAGGTAAAGTTAAGATTAGTTGGTACACGGTAGATGAATTTGAAAGCGGCCTCGTTAACATCAATCTTGTGTTCTGTATCCACGAAATGAGATAGAATAGGGTTATGCATGGATTTTGTTTGTCCATTACTTAACCACTGTGCAGGTTGGTGTTCGGAAATCTGACGATAAACGTGCCTAATTGTACGGCCTGTGTAACTGGCTCACTCCACAGGAGCAGTCAAATTGGTAGATGCACATAGAAGAGACGAATATCAGGCAGTTTATCTTTAACTCCCGAAAGTGAAATAAGTGTGGTTTTGGAGACACAGCATACTGCAGCTCTTTTTACCACCGTATTCCTTAGGCGTCGTTTAATATCTCACTGATGTTATCCCCGAGGAAGTGATGTAAGAATGAGACCTTTTTCGAAACTGTTGATTCTTTGGCCTGCCCGCCTTGAATTTTTATTCATATTCTTACGGATGAATTTTTCAGGGTAACCATTCTCACTCAGCAACTATTTAATAATATTAAGCTCTTCATTTAGACATTCATCACAGCAGAATACTTTTGCTCTGTGAACCAAGCACTTTATTAGATTCCGTTTGTTTTTCAAAGGCACGAAGCTGGAAACAATGAGTATACTGACCAGTATATAGCAAATAATTATTATCATGTTATGAAGTATTTGCTGAGAAGTGATTGACCACAGTAAAACATTGAACTGCAACTTTCTGATGTAGCATAGTTTTGAAGTTCATCACAATTGCTACATCAGGTATACCGACATGTTTGGATCTTTAGCAAATGTAAGTGAATTTACTAAGCCCTTGAGAGGATTTTGAGAGACCTCTGGAAAGCAGTGGATTGTGCTGAAAAGTATCGTTTTGCCATTCTTAGGGACCTTCAATTTTAAGCGAATACCTCAAAAGTGAATTTTACAGACTGAATGTAGATTTTAAAAGTAGAGCTTGAATTAATAATTTATTTCTTGCAATATTGGAAAAAAGAAACGAAACACTGCTGGTAGATTAAGATCTTGTAATCATAATTTAAAATCCATTGGTGACTGCATTTCAAAATGACTTGTGAATAAAATGCACCTAATGGTTCTATTACCCTGCTGGTTATGGTTCTATGTGTTACAATAGCGTAGTTGCTTATCTATTAAACATCTTAATCCAATATGAAACAGATATCTATAGCTCTCTAAGTTTTGTGGATTGGTGATTGAATCTATCCTGGCCTCGAATAAAACTGATTTTCATCTAATTGAATGTTTATTCATGTTATTCAAACTCTCTAATATATCTAGACTTCTTTTTTATTCGATGTACAGAGAGTATGCCTAAAACTCAGAAGACATGTGCTATGCTTGCTAAATTATAAACCTTCTAATGTACTCACAGTCTTTATGGCTGCTGCTGCTAATAATAATACTAATAATATTAAAATTGGCGTATAAATTTCTAGAGCTTTTAATCATATAGAACAGAAAGGAAAAAGGAGATAATGCATCTCAATTTCCTTTTATTTCTCTTCAAAAATACACACTTCCACTTCAATAAATAAAAGCCATCTATTATTGATGTTTTTAAATGGGAAGGATGTTAGTTAGGTCAACTAGAAATGATACAATATTCTTTTATGCATAAACTGAAATAAAAAAGAAAACAAACAAACAGAATAAATAAGACTGAAAGTTACTAAATCGAATCATTGAGTTTACGCTCTCTTTTTGTGTGTTTTTTTAATGTTTTTTTATCTCGTTTTTGTTCGCTTTCTTTTTCACAATAATCATAGTCATAAAGATGATATCTATCTTGACCTTATTAAGTCATCGTTGTTTTCTAATGATAATGACGATGATGATAAATAAAATAATTTAAAAGATTGTGAATAATTCAAGTGAAAGCTAAAGCTTACTTCACTAAGATGTATATGCTTCAGATTTTTGAATGCTAACCTAGATTTTGAAGCGCTTAGTTAAAATGTTTGAACTATGTTCTCATCCAACTCTAAATAGCACACATAGTAAACAAAAAAACTATACTAAAAGAAGACAGAATCCCTGTTTGTAACAGTGATTTAGAATATATGCTTCCATTAAGTACATGTTATATTAGAGACATAATTTTTTTCCTTCACGTTCCCCAACGGAACATAGGGCTTCAAGCTAGAGACTTGAAGTTTCTGTAGCCATGGTGTTTATTTTTACAGGATGGGGTTGCTAGCCTCATGCCCAACCTTTCCTCTCCACCAGCATTTTTCTGGCTTAGCGAGGTAAAGGAGTGCATCGGCCGGGGATCGAACTCCCGACCATGTGCATGGTCGGCGACCGTCCTAACCGCTATGCCACCGATGCACTTAGAGACATATATATATACTTTATATATATACTAAGCGTGAAGTGGTCAACTTCAAAGTAGTTTTAAACTGGCTTTTGACCACTTAATTGTGATTATCGATAAGCCTCAAAACATCTGAATTAGCAGTTTCCTATCAAGCAAGTGGAATTAATTTCCGTTAACTCTAATTATCGAGTTATAATCATTTTTTATTATTGGTAAACATTTGCCCCATCATGAAAGTTCAATAACAAATATGTTTCTTATTTGATAGCTAAGGATTACAGTTAAACATGCTGTCACTGTCAGATTTCCTTGTACTTAGGTATAGTAAGTGATTCATTATTTCATGGGTACGACTCAACCCGAGTGATACTAAGGAGTCTATAGGTCACAATGGCAGACAGTATCGTCAGGTGATAATCATCACTAACAGAAAACTGTTTTACTGATACAGTTGTTGGCTGAACTGATATCTGAGTTTGAAACAGCCAGTCATCAATAAGCACAACGTAACACGTTTTCGAGAGTCAGTATTTAGTAATTTACTAACAAAAATATGACCTAAACAGTTTATAAATTTGTACCAATGGGTGTAAATTTGTATCTATATTCCTTGTTACAAAATATGATATTTTGTCTTATTCCTTTGCGTTCCCAGTGGGTCATAGGACTTCATGCTTGAGCTATGAAGTTTCAGTGGCAGTGGTGGTTTTTATGGGGTGGGGTTGCTAGCCTCATGCCTAACCTCCCCTATCATTGTCGGGCTTACAACTGGCTAGGGGAGGTCAAGATGTGCGCTGACCAGGAATTGAACTCCGGACTACATTCATGGTCGGCGAGCATCCTACTGCTTAGCCAGTGAAGCACAAAATATGATATGAAAGTCAACTATCCACCACTGTTGTATGTCAGTTACTTGCTAGATCGGGATTAACAAGTGTGATATTATTTTAAGAAGTATTCTATAATTTTGTTTTTCCTTCAAAACTTTGCTTCACTCGACTTCTTATCTCTTCAGATTGAAAGAAAACGACATGTTGGCAATGATATAGTCAATATTATATTTGTCGATGGGTGCCCACCAGGACAACAACCATCATGGACTCCCTCCATGATGAGGACACATTTTACTCGTATCCTTTGATCTGTTCTTACTACAAGTTTTGGAGTGATTCAATTAATCATATGCAAAAATCTAATCAAGTCAAAAAATAATTAAATTTTTATTTTGTAATATATAATTTTCAGTCTCATTGATTTGTATTAGTCTGTTTTTGTTGACTTATGAACACTGAAACAGATGTCACAATATGGCCACCAGATAAGTTTTGTTGTGTAAGCATCAGTAACATCTACGATGTACAAAATGCTCACCTCGGTACCACTCAGAGAGCGAAATGCCGTTTTCAGATTCCAGTGGAAATATTCACAATGTAATAGACGTGTATCTAATCAGCTGTACACAAGCAACATAGCTTTGTCCTTCTAAATTCTTCTAGAAAACAGGAGATTGCTTGCTTATACTGCTTTATATGATTTACTGAATAACATCAAGAGGCAGAGGTTAATGTGTCTTACACTGACTGACAAATGAACATGAATATTTAAGGGACTGGAATAGTTCACTGTACTTTTACTAGTCAATTAAACTTGAATTATGCATAATCCACGTTTTTATTTACCTATTTGAGTTGTGAACAAAAGAATCGGTTCTATAAATTCAATTCTAAATAATCATCTCTGTAAGTAGAAAAATCTAACCAAATAATCTTACGGTTTGTGGTAAATATTTACAGTTCATTTGGCAGATGCTGTTATTGTTGTGTGTTGATCTTTGATCGTAAAAATTCTATCTAAGTAACTTTCATCATCTATCAGGCGTCGTTCTCAGCACTTTTCGTAACGAAGTAGAGCTCATATGTTTTTTTGTATATTTTATTATTGATCCATGTACAGTATTGAGGTTACGACATTTATCGACAAACCTTCAGCTGGTTTTACTTCTATATCGGTCATAACTCATTTAATTTTAGTTTTCTGAGTGGCGAATTTCTCATGGGAGCTTGCAGAGACTTTCACTGTGTATATACGTGTGAGGAACTCACAAGGGATTCTGAAGTCTTCAAACCGATGCAATAAAGTATTCTAGACTTTATATTTCGCGGTATGTTCTACTAGAAAGTTTTGTAATATAGTCTGAATAGTCTGTTGCATTTCAACTTTGACTAAAAATTCCCCCGCCCCAGTAGTAATCAACGCAAGAAATTCATAAGCTTTTCGACTTATCCAGGAAGAAATTTTAAAAAGTCTGAAATGATTTTTGCTTTGCATTCATGCAAATTAACAGACTTTTAAAAAGCAGACTATACTGAAAGCAAACTGAAATTTTTCAATTTGTATGTCACTAGCTTCAGTGTCACATTTTTTAAGGGAGATCGTATTAGTAGAGTATGCCAAAAGTTCTAATCTAATTTATTTTATTTTATTCAAAATTTAGATTTTCCCGTCGATTGATTAAAACGAAGTGCTCGGTCTCAGGTTGACATGTCAGCTCCTTGTGCAGATGATTCAACGATGTCTGGTCATGTAACCTGAAGTCAATTGGTTGATTGTGAATAGTAACCTGAGACCGAGCACCTCGGTTCAAACAATCGACGGGAAAATCTAAAATTGAATTCAATAATTAATATGACCCATTGCACAAGAGGCAGTGGCTGTCATGGTTCAAGTGGTCTAGTGGATAACTCTTTGGCGTCTGAAACTACGGGCAGTGCGTTCGAGCTTCGGCGGGAACACCATCACTGACTCATTGGGAATGCAGGTACATCCAACTGACAAGTCTCAAATAGGACGAAATGCGCGTTATCCTTGATTCCACTGGTAGTCACCACCAACCAGTTGACTAATTTATTTCAGTTCGCCTTAATGGACAAAATAAAAGCCAGTAGTGTTTCCTCTAATATTAAAACATAATACATAGACTAAATAAAACAGAAATTAAATATCTGGAACCCTGACATAATTTGGCACCACTGTATATTGTCATACTTTAGTAGAATCATCACACTGAACCGGAAGTCAGTGAACGAAAAGAGTGGTTACAACCGAACTTCATGTAGAAAGGACAGTGACTGGTGTGTAATAAACGGTATGCTTTCCAAAATAGGTCGGTAATAACGCTTGGATTTACTTTCATCATTAATATCAATTTGAATTACATCCTCTAAATATTTCAGCTACATGATTTTAAACGGAACTAACGCGTGAGATCATTGAAACAAAAATCCGAATGGGAAACACCAAGTTAAGTGTCTGAGGGTGACATGGAGGAGATTGTGTGAGGGGAAAACGAAAGCTTATGGGCAGAGGACTGGAGAGAACAGGATGAAACGTAGGTGTGCTGCTGAAGACGCATGTTACAGTCGAAAATCAAGGGAATGATAATAACTAACAGAAATAACTACCAGCTACTTATTCCCTTACCTTCAGGTATACACATTTTTTGCTATCGCCTTCCCGTCAAAGTGTTGGTGCTTCAAACGAACTTAACTAATATGTTATAAGTTTCCAGATCGTAAATGTTACGAATTTTCTGGAATAGTTTGATCGCCGAGTCAGATTGAATCATTATAAACTATTTACAATAATTTCACCGTGTTGAAGAAAAATTCGAAAATATATTTCTCTGAACGGATTTAAACAACCATCAAAATATATATTCAAAAATTGCATAAACTGAAGTTCCTTTGCTGGTCAACTGTCGACAGATATTTGTACCAATAGAAAAATGTAAACAGTCATCACATAGTTGTAATGACTAATGTCAAATTATCATATGTGAATATTTGTCTGTACCGATGTGTGAGTGTGTATGTTGTTTGTTGTATGGGAAACACCTCAAAACATGATATTTCATCGTGGTCATAATATACGATTGAATTTTTTTGTTTTTCTTTCCCTCATCTGTTTTGCTTTATTAGAGTCTGCCATATAGGTGATAAGTCTATACCTTCTCTTCTATTTACTGCATTTGATGTGGTTGAAGTGTGCAAGACTACAGAGGTCAGTCTTTCTTTATACAAATGAAAGCCTCTTCATAGAATTTCGACATTGACAAAATCAGTCTTACGACCGCTGTCTATAACATATGCATTGCAATAGCTGATCTTTTTTCTAGACTTTAATTCTACTTCATTTTTAGGTGAACGTTTCTTGCACAGTCTATGTTCATTCACTCTTGCCTTCACCTGTCTGCTGCTCTACCATATATAGCAAGCTTCACATTCTGAACACTTTATCCTATAGACACAAATGTTGTTTGACATGAAGAAAATAAAAGACAAATTCAGCGAAGAAAATTTTCTTTATCGACGAAATCATCTTCAGAGGCTGTACAGTCGATCCACTACTTAAAGGAACTACTATTAAGGTGCTTTTTAAATGTCCAATTCAAGTTCAACAACACGCTTTATAGACACAGAGATGGAGTGGCAGTGGGGTCACCACTGGGTCCTTTACTTCCAGACTGCTTTTGGAAATTTTGAAGAAGAGTATGTTACGGCCTACTATCTATAGTTTCCATTTGTACCAAAGATACATAGACGATACTTTCATCATATGTGACGAGAATACCGACATCGAAATGATAACTAAAGAGTTCAACAGCTACCATCATGCCATCAAATTCACATCGGAATCAGAGATGAACTCGGAATTCCATTTTTTGGATGTTTTCCTAAAGAGAAGACCTGATGGTTCTACAGGAAACCAACATGGAATAGTCAGTGCACGAATTTTCACAGTTGGGTCCCTTTGAGAAGAAAGAGAAACCCGACCCACTCCTTATCCTCAAGAATAAGAAGGATATATACCAGTGATACAATCGACGGGAACTGAAGTGACTCAGACAAGTCCTCACAGAGAATGGATACCCTCCAAAATTTATCCAGAAAAACATGAAGTTAAGGGAAAAGCCCGAAAGAACACAGACGGTGCCGAAGAAACTGCTATTTACGAACGTTGAATTTAAAGGTGATACCGCAGCTGAGATCCTGAAGAATCGCTTATGCAGATCACTGAGGAAAGCCTTCTTTATGGCTGAGCTACGTATCAATTTCTACAGCCAACAAATGATCAATGGATGTGTGAAGGATAAACTGCCGCTCTGGGACACTTCAATAAGTGTTTATAAATTCACCTGCTCGTGTGGAGCCAGTTATATTGGCCGCATAAAGCGCACACTTTCCAAACGCATCTCTGAACATTATCCAGCATGGTTAGCAAAAAGACGATGCCAGACAGTTACTAGCTCAATTCTAGAGCATTTGGTGAAATCAAGCCACGTAGCTCCACCAGAGTCGTCTTTCATGATCATCTAGAAGATGACGCCAAATGGTACAAAGGGCGCCAGGTTTCGGCTTTTGTGTATGGCCGAGGCGCTGGCAATGCCTCAATACAACCCCGAACTCCGTATACAGAAAAAGTTTATCCAGTCTCTTATTCTACCTTGGTCTAAACCTCTTCACTAGTCGTTCCCTGCAAAAAATTTTAATTTTTTTAAAATTTTACTTTTAGTTTGCTTTTATTTTAATAATTAATTCACTATTACTCTCATATATATGTATATATATATATATATAATATATATATTAAACCACTGATTACTGAATAAAGAATATTCTTTTCAGTAACTTCATCATAGGAGCATATAGAAAACTTGATCTGCTATTCACCGGCATTAAAAGTTCTCTAAATTGACTTTCTTAACTTGTTGATAACATCTATGTGTAGTATTTCACTTCTGAATTTCAGTCTCATATAGAGTGGGTTCTGGCTAGCATATACAGAACATTTATGTGAGGCTTTCGGCGCCACGTGCTTTTTTATGAACTTCTATGGATAATTGTTTATAGTTAGGTTATCATGCACAGTCCTTAGTTCATCCTAAACTAAATTTTCAGAACATCTACTTTCACTCTATAGTTAAGTGTCACTAAGTCATTTTTTAGTTTGGAAAAACGAAGTGAAGAAACCAGTAGATTTTTCCTGTCTGCATACTTTTCTAATGTAAATTTATTCTTATTTTACCAGAGGATCTTCTTGTGAGAACGACATCCAAGGAGGCAGTTTCCTTCTTGCTTGATATAGCCTATTGAGTTCAGCTATTATCGCAAATAAGTCCTCGTCACAAGGGATGGTTGTATCGTCCATAAAGCATAAGTTTTTTGATAAACTTTTCTAATGGACTATTTTCTAGTTTAATTCAGAAGAAATCTGCCAATGCTCTTCAGAAATTTTCAGTTGTTAGAGCGAAGATTCATATATTTTATTTATGGCATACTGAAGAACGGAATGGAATGGATTGAATAATAGTAATGTTTGTAATAACAACTATGACTACAATCTCTGACGATGTATATTTGAGTAGGCTGGGTAAATACGTCAAGCTAACATACATACATACACAAAATCTAAGCCTGCTGATTCAGCATGTGCATTGAAATGCATAGGCATTTACTGTCATGAATAAACGAGATTGACTTTACTGTGACTTTGGACAGTGTTCTATAAGAATTGAAACCAGCATCTGAAAATTCTTGCATTACTACTTAGCAGTTTTGCTGTAAAAGACAGCCATAGTCCCTGAACTCGATATTGTTCAGCAGGTTTAGAAAAAATCTAGAAGTTGCAAAACGTCATTCCATAGTTTTCATTGATTTATCTCGGATGGAATTTATTTCTAAATAATACTTACTGAGTTTCAGTTTTATCCAGAACATGAACAAAGTTCCTCATAGAAATTTTTCCATTTTATTCGTACCTTTTTCTACTTGACTATTTTCCTTAACCATTAAACTGTTAAATTCATCTGTAGATATTTTCGCGATTGTTACGTTTGATACAGAAGCTGAGGTTTACAGGTAAATAGTGTTGATTTCATTTGCTAAACAAAATAAACTAAAAAATTTGATTTCATTTTTAGATTAAATATATTTGCTGAAGAATCTGTTCCCTTTTTTGGACCACCTCTTCATAATCCTCCAGAATTTAAGAATCCTCAAGAATTTCGTGAATTCCTTTTAGTGAAGTGTAAGAATATACAAGTTTTGTTTTATTCTCTTATTCTGAAATATTTTAAAATTAGAATACAGATATCGTGGAAATACTCTGCAGCATTCCCATGAAAATTAAATCATGTAGAGCAGAAACCCGTGAAAAGATAACCTCGAAGTATGTTAGATCTCACATCATAAATAAGCGATGCGGTTAGCCTCATTGGTGTTTCACTAAGGAATCGCAGTATGCTGTCAATTCAGCCGATGAAATATTGTCAGCAGACCCCAGAACAGATAATGACATTACGTATCATGTGACTGGTTATATATATATATATATGTTCCTACCTTGGACCCTCTTTTAAATCTCTAGAATGACCAAAACACAACGTACAATAAAGTGGGGACAATTACCTTAAGCGATGTACGATATTAATTCATCACAGTTTAAATTCGACATTCATAGTCGTTTGAAACCATATATGTCCTTGAGTTGAACTAATTATGAATCATACTGATTTTTTTTTCTGTTAGACACTATATTATTTAGTTTACATATGTTTTTAGACCACCACGGTCTACGAATTGCTAGTTAAGCGCTCATCCAGCTGAGGTACGAGATTCAACTAATTGTAGAGGCCAAGACCAGTAATTTGGAGGTTGCTGGTTGGTGGCATCCTGTCACCAGTCAGAGTTTCATTTCACCTTTAACCAGCACCACTATCACCACCACCATCACACACTACATCAATCACAGTCTGTTAACACAAAAGTATCACAAAAAGCTTCACTCTGTAAACCGATCACGTAAATATCAGTGTGATTTTCTTCTAAAATTTTGTCAACATCATCAAATAAGTGCAAATCGCATTGAGCTGTGAAATATTTTCCATTTAATAAAACTATAAATTTCTCCTCCTAATAAGTTTATTTCATTTAAGACGCATTTTATTAAGGTTAAAACAGAAATTAGAAAAAAAATATACAGGAACAGAATTTTTATATTTTAGAGAGAAAATTTGAGTTGAAAAATTATTTAGGCCAATGAATTTCATGCCATGCTTCTTTCTTAGCACAGTTTTATTTTCATAGTTTGTATCATTAATTTATATATGAAGGAAGAAAATTATATTATGTCCTCAAAATATGATCATTTAAATTTTTTCTGTTTTCTTTTTTTGAAAATTCAATCCTGCTTTATTCCATTTGACCTAGTTACATTTTGTATCAATAAATGAAGCAATGAAACTAATAATTTTCACCAGATATGTGCCTTTTATTCCATCCATTCTATAAAATTACACTCATCTTTCTTTTTTGGAAGTCAATTGGCTGCTGGTGACTAGCAGTAGAATTTAGAATAAGGCGCATTTCTTCTCATCAGAGACTCATCAATTGGATATACATACATCCCCCAGTGAGTCAGTGATGGTGTTTCCACTGAGACTCCAACCTAGTGACAATAGTTCTAAACGTTAATTGGGCCATGAAGGCCACTGCCTCTTGTGCAGTGGGTCTTATTAGTTATCTAATTCAATTTAAATTTTCCCGTCGATTGATTGAACCGAAGTGCTCAGTCTCAGGTTGACATGTCAGCTCCTTGTACAGATGCATCAACGATGTTTGGTCATGTAACTTGAAGTCAATTGGTTGATCGTGACTAGTAACCTGAGACTGAGCACTTCGGTCCAATCAATCGACAGGGAAATCTAAATTGAACTGAATAATCTTTCTATTTTGTTTCGGTATACAATGAACTAGTAACAGTTTGAACGTTAATCCCTATTTATCTTCATAATGTCTGTCTTGTTTTTTATTGGAATTGTACCTTTTGAATTTCCCCTTTGTCTTGATTTCACTGTATAAAAATGCTCAGTCTATGCTGACCTGCTATATAGTACAAAGGCTTCGATGATGCCTGAAGGTCAGTTAACGTAATGGTATTTGGCGCTGAAATCGTGTTTATACGGGAACACCGTTACACATTACATTTGCAGGTAAATTAGTCAAACAAGGTCATTATCAACCATACAGCATTGTATATCTTGACTTACAGACTCTGGGGTTGTAAAGGCATATTTTATTTCCGTTTAAAGGTATACTTGATTCAACACGGGTAGTTGTTTTTACATTGCACACTTAAACATGAAGTTTAACGGAACTGATAACTTGATTTTACACATGTTAATACTCTTTACACTTTCCTTTTTATTTTCTCATATTTTTCCTCTTCATAAATAGTAATCAACGGTGAAAAGGCTGCATTCAGATCCCCAGTGTTTGCACAAAAACGTCAACGAACATTAGAAATGTTACTGAATGCAATTTGTACAACATATGCAAATGACACCAATGTGAGTAAAATTCTTATTTTTCTTCACATGACGTCTGATCGAAATTTGACCTCAGACTAGTATTTGTAAGTCTGAGGTCAAGTATTGATCACACTTCATACAATTTTGTTTATTATGTTTTAATATCTGTTTATGGCTCATATGACTGGACAAGGTGTCTAAAGACAAGATGTGTCCTTTCTTTCCGACGACAACGGAACATCCTGTTGGTTCTACCTATATAGGTGTCACCGCAGCTGCAGGTGAACTTGTAGATACAGTTTTAAGTAGAGTCCACAGAATTTCGTCCATTAATCGTAGGTACAGGGATCGAAAATGTTCGGCAAGTGAGAAAAAGATATGCGGCGTAGAATGTTCCAATGTCGTCGGCTACTAAATCATATAGAGAATCCCAATGCTAGTAATCTGAATAGAAATCCAGCATCATCCATTGCAGAACACTTATTAATGTCAGGTCACATGATCAATATTAATGACTGTTTCACAATTATTTCACATAACTCTAATTCAATGTTGGTTACTGAAGGTGATGGAAGCACTTTGGATTAATCACAAACAGCCTAAACTGTGTGTACAAAAAACAACAGACTTCAATCTTCGCCTACCATGGACTACATGACCTTTTAAATATGATTGGTCATTAGTATGTACTTTTGTTTTTATTTAACTGAGTAATTGTCATGATCTTTATTTTATTATTGTTAACCATGTTAGTTGTAAAGCGGTTGTAAAGAAACTACGAAATGAAGATATCATCTCGCGAAATTTGTCTTCTTAATGCCTTATTCAAATATATATATGAGTTTAATCAGTGGTGTGAGACAAAATGAATACTACAGAAAATAAACCAAAGAATAGGGTGGATTAGACATAAGTTCAAGGTTGAAAATAACGATAGTAATCATGATTGTAAACTACTAACGATGATGTGATCCCAACTTAAAAGTACTATTGGTGAACGATTATCAAATAATAATAATAAGGAATTTAGTGAAATGAAATGAACAGGATTTTGTAAATATGATAACAAGTTAGAAAAGTACTACTTCAACATAAGCTAACAGAAATCATAAGAAAGGTCATGAAATCGTAAAAGGTAAGAAATAAACGTTTGTCAATGTGAAACAAAGGGAAAGAAGAAGAAAAGAAAAAAATTGTGATAGGAATTTAAAGTGCTAATGTTTATGCAAGATTTGTTGGCCTTAATGTAGGCCAAGGTAAGCATAGCGGTTGAAAACACTTCTTTTGTTTACAAAGAGTCGGTCTTGGGGTATTGACTGCAACCGCTACAGCTACTGATAGAGGTTTTATCGAGTGTCCAGTGTCAAAACTAACTGACTATTGTTGCATCCACAACACATTTTTGATATGATTCTGATATGATTGCCTTTACTGGCTATTGTATGTTTAAATAATGGATTCATAATTGTAGAGCCTGAAGAAGAAACTGGTTGTTTTCCCTGAAGTATTTCCAACCAGACTGCCGAACCCAGAAATACAGGATGTTAATGAAAGAGCATGGATACACGTGTCCGGAGTAAATTATGTAATACGTAGAAAGAGTAAATAAAGGTCTAGTTAAGGAGATGTTACTAAAATGTAATACAAAAATTCAAAAAAATTCAAAATAGAAAAGCATTATTAACAAACAAACAATTATATAACGAGAATAAAGCCTTAAGCAACTCTCTACAACAATAATATTCCCATGATGAAAGTTGAGATAAGACAAAATTGTCAGTTGTAAATAAGGGTTAACGAGACGGGAAAGTATACCGTTGGTAGAAGAAACAATAACAACTAGGCAATAACAAATGTAGCGCGTCTAGTCGTAAGTGCTGACTAAATCCTATCAGTCAGTCAAGTTCACTGTATGGTCAGCAAACTAGGTGAATCGACACTGAGATACACCTTCAACTAACGTCAGATAGTTGCAGAATATTAACAGGGTATAAATGATACTATAAGCTTTTTATTTCTATGATATTCGGAGAGCGTACTTACGAATTTATACGGGGCTTTCTAATTTTATAAGTTTACATCACTGAATTCATTTGACAGAACTCTTAGTAATGATATTATACCTTCACTTCTGCTTAACTGATTTAAATATAAGCCTGAGATTCCTAGACAAACCCAGCAGATCATATAAAGCAAACATGTATTTTTTTGGTGAATCTAAGTAACTGCTGATTTCTTTAGACCAATAATGTAACGACAGAAGGCAAGACTCAGGCAACAGATTGTTTATAATGAAAATCAACACATATTTATAGATTTTCATGTACATTATCATAGATTACTGTTAACTGACAAACACAGTTTTCTGATTGGTTGTTTCTCACTAAAAGTTAATCTTTCATTCATATCAGTAAAAAGTTTGAGGATTGTGGATTCCAATTCCAACAGTGGTGTGAACACGGGCAGTAATTTTGCTCGAAATATTACCAATAACAAAACTTATAATTGTGTGTAAACTATTGAAATATAATTATACTTTATTTAATCTTTCATCTCTTTGTTGCTGTCTCTTGAGTGTCAGATCATCTATCTGCTAATTGTATCCGCCTACGCAAAGTCTGCTGTCTGTCTTTGATCTTGTTCTCACATGACTAATATTTGGGACATAAACATTGACGTCAATTACTGTCTACCAATTTGGCTAGCAGCCATCTCTCACCACAATAATATTTGATAATCATGATAACTACTGATTAAAAATGCCCATTAAATTTTTTTTCAAAAGAATGGTTACTGAACAAAGAATATTCTTTTCGATAATTTCATCATCAGGTTCTACAGTTATATACACATAATAGTGAATGAATTAGTGTTATTAACAACATTAATGTTGTTTACATAACACCGATTCAATATGAATAATAATATCAATGGATTAGAGTTCACCAGCGTCAACATAATACTACAAACTGAACATCAGAAAAATTAGGAAAATAATAATACAAATTCATGAATATATAGTCTTCACTGACTGCCAGCCAGGACAATATTAGTGGCTGGCTGAACTTGCTCCTTCTGCAGACAGAGCCCCGGTTGTTTAATATGAATCGCGGTAGCCTCTGCTGCTTGGTGTATGCGGTACCTGGATATTTTTTGGTACCCGATAGATGATGACGAAGGATTGTTCAATGCTGCCTTTTGAGCGGTTTGAACGAGGTGTTCTAATATGGAGTTGTTGATGTTTCTAACAAAGCCTTTATTTAACCACATGCGTACATTTTGTTAACACTGTAGCGACAGAATACAAAACCAGGCAACAGATTGTTTATTGAGAAAATCAAGGGATATTTACAGATTTTTATGTATATTATTATTAGCGTTATTGTTAGCAGGGAAGCAACGTCTTCTGATTGGTTGTTTTCTTGCTGAAGGTGATTCCGTACTGCTTGTGACCGTTTCTCTGCGAATCCGATTTGCACAAGTTAATTCTTCTGTGACTGGTTGGTGAGTTCCTCAAGGTTAAGCTTTGTTACTGTTTTTCTCATGACCCCTATTTGGGACGTAACATTGACGTAAATTGCTGTCTATAATTTTTGACCTGCATACAGCTCTTACCACAATACTATCAGATAAGTGTCTGGAACCGAGGTGTTTGAAGAAAAATACAGAAGGCAGTAACCAATCAGGGCTAACCACCGTTCAAGGATGACTTTTTATTTTTATAAAATCTTTTATCCAACATTTTTAAGCACTGTAAATCTGCCTGGTACAAATAATAAACATGAGAGGAATCAAAGGACATTCGCTACATTAAATATCATTATACCAAAGAATATCATGTCATACATACACTATGTTGGTTAAGTACATTTTTACCAGCTACTTGATCAGAATGTCAGGTTAATAATAGACTGATAGTGTGGTTGTTATGGCCGCCTGTTAAACATACTGACTAAATAATCTTTCACTTTTTTACTTTCATCTGAAAGAATGGAGCGATTTACAGACGAGCATTCAGTGATGTTGTAGTGGATTCTTTCAATGGAGTAACAACAAGTAAAGAACAAAGCCGTAACGATGCATATATCAGATATGGACAAGTAAGTTCCATGGTTTATTATACGAAATGCGTGTTTAACTTAACTTTACACTCTCTCTAGATTATTCCACTAGGCGTATTATATGACAGTATAGGCCAGAAATAATGTTTTCGGTTATCCGTCTCTATTAGTTGTATGAAAAAATCCAAGCTATAAAGCCCACTGAAACATAACGTAAAGCCTATGAAGTACAGTATTCACAGTCTTGTTTATACCTATACTTTAAACTAGAATATCTAAGTGAGATAAAGAAGAAGTAGAAAATTAACTAAGCATTTAAGGAATGTAGAATAGATGCATGTATTCATCACATGTTCACGCTTAAGACTAACTTCGGCTTGTCTCATTCAAACTCACAAACAATTCTACAATTCCAAAATGCTTTTCAAGATCTTATTCAGATAACTGAAATTTCACTTCAGACGTTTGAGATGTATTTCTGTAGGCTTTTAGAAATGTCGTTTTTTTAACAGAATATTATAGATAAATCGTAGGATGACACGGGGCTCGACAGTGAAGTCCTATCATGATACACACCACCATACGCTAAGCAAGTAAAGCTTGCCAATCTAATGATTAGCGTTTAGATCAAGTCAGGATATCCAGAAGCTATTAATCAGTGATGTGGATACTAAAATCACACATCCTTTTATTCCATGCATTATGCATCATACTTCAAAACTTGATGCCAGCTTACAGAATCAGTACTTATTTATTCCATGGTAATATTTGGCCTAAAACTACGAGCTTCGAGAATGAATAATATCGTCAAAAAAGAAAACATAATAATAACACTGTATCTGTTTGTATTAAAACAATCATATGATCATGTTGAAAGATAAAAAACACGTTTATGTATTCCAAAAGGATTAGTTGGAAGACAATATTTAAAAAATTGGTATTTTATAATTCCAGGGTTAGAGTTAGATATTTATCACCAATCCGCCTGTGTTCGACGTTTTATTTTCAAAAAGAAATGCCTACAACTGGTCTGAGATTATTTATCACTGACGCAATTATTCATGTTGTTGAAAGAGAATATAAATGCTCACACAACAAGCATTTAATCTTGATTAACACTTTGTCATCTAATGCTTTCCAGTCACATTTGCATATCATCCCTGTAAAAAAGGAATAGAACTATTGTAGGAAATCGAAGGATATTCTCACTGATGATAGTACAAAGAATAAACGTACATTACCACTTAATTCAGTTTACATTTTCCCATAGAGTGATTGGACCGAAGTGCTCGGTCTGAGGTTGACATGTCAGCTCCTTGTGCATATGCTTCGACGCTGTCTGATCATGTAACTTGAAGTCAATCGGTCCAGCACTTCGGTCCAATCGATCGACGGGGAAATCTAGGTTGAATTAAATAACTAATAAGACCCATTGCACAAGAGGCAGTCGCTTTCGTGGGCCAATCGGTCTAGTGGATAACACGACGTTTGGAACTATGGGCTCTGGGTTCTAGCCTCAGTGGAAACACCATCGCTGACTCACTGGGGAATGAACGTGCATTCAGATGACGAGTCCCAAATAGGATGAGATTCGCATACTGGATTCCACCACATTATCATTACTATTATTCCCTTGGGTTTCGAGTAGTACATGGGGCCTCAGAAATACATCACCAGTTCACTCTGTTCTCTGCAGTCTTTCTTGTATTGCTTCATGATTGTGCATACGCCTTCATTTCCTCCTCACAACATCTCCTCCATGTCACCAGCAGAGCAACGCTCAACTCGTCATTTTCCTATGACTGAGTGGTCAACGAGCTCACCTTGTGACTTAAATGTCCTGGGTTTGAACCGTGGTTGATACACACTGCCCAAGAGTCTCAAACAGCTGTCCGGTACTTCTTGGTTTTCGAATGGTTTTCTAACTGATCTCAACTCGTGAACTAAACCTATAACCCATAAAATCCATGCGAACACACACTTTACGATTTTAGAATAATGAAAGTCTGTCTTGCTTTTTGATCTGAACCCGCTTCTGATATTCGCACCCATGTCGCCTGCATGTGGAAGGAAGCTGCCTAAATAAGTGAAAAAAGTAATACAGCTCAAATGTCCTCCGCTGACAGTGGCTGATACTTGCTTTTGTTAGTTACGTAACTTCACCTCTGTTTTTTCTATGTTCTATACTCTCTGTTTCTTTTGAAAACTAGTCAATCTTCGCCTGCTGCTTCTTTATTAGTAATAACCTATGAATGTCCCATAAATCTCTGTTAGATTGTGTTATTGAAATTAATTACACTCAAATGTAACTGGAAACGGAATTTTACTTGCTGCTATCTCTATTATGATGAATATTTTTGTGAATGTGGTGTTTATAAGGAAGAGATTTCCAAAGCTTCAACTCAGAGTGTGTTCACTAGACCACTTTACTAGTGCGTTTGATGAATTTAGTCATAATTTTGTCGGAACAACTTTTTATTTATGCCTTGTCACGTGAGTATATCACGAACGTTAATTATGATTAAATTTGTTTTCAATTATTAAAAAAAATGTATCCTCTTTTAAATGAAAAGTATTTCTTGCACAATGAATACTTTTCAGACCAACCTTGTTTAACCTTTCTGCCTAGCATTGCTTCATATCGAAAAGTGAGTGACCTTCAAAGACATTAAATTTGAAGCGTGATCATACATTAATTTATATTTAGTTAGTGAAATAATCTGAATTCATTAAATTTAACACTTGCAGATAGCTGAACTGTGATAAAGACGTCATTTGAACAAGTCGTGCTAAATATTTTCAATATGTTTTCCTTTGTTCCTTTGTGTTTCAACTAGTAAAGGTTTAGACGTGTAACGGGGCAAGACCTTTCTCAAGTATTAAGACAAATCTTACCGATGAATGGCGAAAAGCATAAAAGTGTTGTTAGAGTTATATTCTAATTAACAAACTCATTCAAACTGATTTCATCTCAAAACTCCGCTATTCAGCTTACCAATTACATTGTTGGCTTATTCGTTAAACTTTATCCAATGAAAGGATTATGCTAATTCAGTGACTACTCACATGCTAATTTAAAATCTAATCTATGAATAAATTTCAGATGTAATTCTTGCCGTGTTCAAAAATAAAAATATCGGCTTGAACATTGAAAAACGATAAAAGTCCATCTTAATGGCACAAGGGGATGTATGAGAAAGTCAGACAAATATTCAGGTTTAAAAACTGTAAGGATCAGCGCACTAAAATATGACGCTAAACCGGTGAATAAAGAATCTAATTCCGACCGCGTAGTGGAAGTATAAAGTAAATTCTCTTCAGATTTGCAACTGATAACATACAGACTTGTTTCCCTGTGAGACTTTGAAATCCACTCTGGAGAGAATTTACCTGCGTAGTTTGTAGAGTAGATATAAACAGAGATCTGATATACTAAGCCTGATAAAAAAAAACACATATAACTATTCTAACTATTCATTAACTCACTATTACTGAAATTTAACACGTCAAAAATTTAATCAGTTTCACTTAAACTGTAGGCATAAATCATTTTCTTTTATTATACCTATTTTTAAATTATTTCTGCATTATTTTCTACAATTTTTATCAGATGTTAAAGTTGAACACAATAATCAGAGGTGATGCTCCAACAAGCTCAATAACTAGTGGGCAATCAAAAAAGAATGTAAGTTAGTTATACATACTACTGATAAGTAACTTTCTTTCATACACGATTATTTCAAACATTTAGCGTAAAAATAGCAACTTTATACTATATTTATGGTTATTAAATTACGCAAGAATATCAACTACTAGCCATCAGTTTTCTAACAGATTATATCACTGAAAAACAAGGAACACTGAACGACTGCTTTTCCTAATTTAGAACTCTTCATCACTGCATGTCAACATCTCCAACAGGAATCAAACCTAAAATCTTCAACCAAAGAGCTGACGAAATTGGACACTAAGTAACTGAGTTTGGATTCACTGGCTATTGCATTCTAATCCAATGAATAAGTGGTCGAAAACTAAAGATTTTTGGTCTGATTGTCGTTGGAGTCACGGGGTGCTCACTGATGAAGAGTCTCCAACTAGGATGGAACAGCAATCCAATGCTTCCTTGTTTTCGATGTTTCTCTAACTTATGTCAGTCTGTGATGAATGTAATGTGTCATTCCCCTGTATGTGTTTTAATAACTGTTCACATTACAGAAACGTTTTCTTAAATAAATAAAACTAAGCAATGTTTTTCACTTCATTACTTGACCATCTCACATGTAGAAAATAAAATCACAAACTCAAAGACTGGTGTTTACATGAATAGGTTGAATTTTCCGTATCCTTCTAAATGGAAACTAACTTGAAACGTGACAAGTGGTATCATCACAGTCTCCACCGGATTCGAGTCACTTTTTATTCATGACTGTGTGTTGAGGAAACTATCTACTAACCTCAGTTGCATGTATTCAATCCATGAAACATCTTAGTTAGTCAGTATTTGCATCTTGTTGTGATTACAAACTTAAGGAGAGTAGCTTCTCCTAAATTCACAGCTCGCCTCAATTAATTTCCAAGCTACAGAATTGAATCACGAGCTTTTTATGTCACTGCTGGTAACTACTCAGTTAAGTGTCTAACTGTGATAGAGTCATGCCAATCTAAATGACTTGATGCTCAGTAGTGTACAAATTCAAGCATGCCACTGTATCGACTGACGTTTAACATGGAACATAAAAGTTGATTAATAATGAAATATCTTTCTCTCTCTCTCTCTCTCTATATATATATATATAATATATATATATAATACATACACATATCCTTACATATATACATACATGTACATAACTATCGACTACATGAGAATATGTTGGTCATTAAAGCGGGAATTATGCAAATGGCTGAATTTAAGGATAGTCGTATTAAACGATTTTATCTAATCAATATTCATAGAATGACATAAAAACTAATATGATCTGCAAGCTTTCCCCCTTTTTTATAATTTACGAAACAAAAACGACATGTATCAGGTGCTTTCATTGTACTGTGAAGTAAGTAGTATTTTTACTTCTAAAAATACTGATTACTTACAATGACTACAATAAGTAAATCTATTGAAACAGTTTTAAAAGGATGGTGTTGGATTTGAGTTTCAGCGGGAACAGGCTTACACACTAGAACACTGGAGCATCCAGATGACGAGTCCTAAATAGGATGGAACGTGCATCCTGAATCCTCTTGCTAGAAATCATCAGTCGAATAACATTTGGTTTAAAATGAAACTGAACAAGAAACAGCAGTTTGTGTAGTTAACTATGCCATTTATGGTTCACATAATGTGTTGGAAACGATTTATACAAGACTAATCGGCATAACTGGCTTAGATAGCAAGGTTCATTATTACTATTATTGTTATTTGGTGTTATTGTTTTTCACTTATTCCGTTTATTTTGCATTTTGATGGCTTTTATAACCTTACTCTTTAGTAAAGTAGTATTTTTGGTTTCCTAAAGAAATCAGCATAAAATTCAACTAATATTTTGTAATTAGTAGAATAATTTTAACTTTCATTAGAGTGAATATTCTTCTTGATGATACCATCTTACATATTATATTCGATATTTTGAAGTGGTTTTCTCACCTCAATTTGAAGACAGTATATCGGTGATAAAATATTCACCTATTTACTTTACAACTGACATTTGAGATAATAACTACATGAATGGAACAAATTAATGAAATTACGAATGAAACTACTCTTAGATGTCAATATTACTAGTTCTAAAGTTAACCCTAATACCGAAATATTTCTTCCCCCTAGTGTTATAAATGACATTAAACGAAACTGAAGCAACAAAGTGACGTGTGAACGCTGGATATCGAACGCTGCATATTACTGACTATATGTTTTTTTAAGTGAGATGCAGTCTCTGAAATTAAAATTTAATAATCACCTTATTTTTATTTCAGCTATGGCAACCAAAATTAATACACAAATGTACTCAGTCAGAAATTATATGTGGTGATGTTTGGGGTAAGATATGATTAATGCATATAAATGTATATTTAAATCTCTGTTACTATGATACTTTATGCACTTTTGTGTAGTATTCAGAGTCAGGCTATTAAGGTCTTACAGTAGCCCATAATGATTTGATCAGGAACTAAAGGTGGCGAAAAATGAAGTAATAGCGAACCCTCACCTTGAGCTAAGAAATGAATAAGTCATATTAAACTGAATTACTTTGATAAGAAGAGAGATTCATCGATAGCACTTTCATCTTCCAAATTATAAACAGCTACATTATAAATATGCATGTACAATATGCCTTTGTCTTTGACTCAGGTGTTTCACTGAAAATAATACCTGAATAGATGCTTAAATCTAAATTGGCAGGAACTTGCTGTCTAAGAATAACAAAATAATCAAAAACTGTGTATAAATATAAACTAAGTAGCTGGAAAATAAGTAGCACTTTTCGTTTATGCTGAAATTTTATTTTTATTAACGATTTTCATCTTTCAAGCATCGACAAAACGCCATGGGCAGAAAAGGTTGAAACAGTTATAACTTAGAGCACCTTTTATTCTGATATGATTGCAACTTTACAAAAGGGAGTGAAATAAATTTGTCTATAATTTCTTCAGATATCTCTAAAAACAGTTGATCAGCGTCAAGCTATCATAATTTCCAGGGTGTATTTAAAACCTCTAAAAGGGCTAATAAAAGAGAATACTTATAAAGCGCGGCACTGGTAACACCCCAATACTGTCGTGACAGGCATGTTAACCTTTGGAAAGTGCTTTATTAGGAAACGAAACAATCGTAAGTAGTGTTCTGTTGTCATAAATACATTTAAAGATTAAATACTTCGAGGTATAATTACAAAGTAATTAGCTTAATTAGTGTCAGAAGGATGTATAAGTCTTCTTTGGGTAGCTATTGAAATGTCCTCAACTGTTCAGCATTTTTGTACTCTCAAGTTTGATGACGGATTGATATCATTTAGAGGACCCCATTAAACCAAGGAGTAATGGATAACTGATTCATTTTAGTTTGGGACTCATTGACAGTGAGCACCCACTGGGTTTCGAACCCAGGAACTTCCAGTTACATGTAAAAGTTTTAAACCAAACAAACTCCTGAAAATAACTGCAGTAAGCTGCCTGATGCCCAAATATATCATCAGTAAAAGATAGTTACATAAATACCTTTACAAATACTAGGGGAAGACAAGGAAAACAACTTGGAAGGACATGCGCAGTTTGACCTTGAAGCCAGGAATTTCATTTCTATTGTTTCTTACATCAGGCGTTTCAGAAATTATGCATATAGTGAAGCATAAATGCAGACATAGCATAATCTGAGGCAACCTTCACGTCATTTGTGAAAGAAAAGTGTGGTAAAAATTTTTTCAAATTCCCATTTAGGCATTTAAAAAAAAACAGATTGAGCGAAGAAATATATTCCTTTCAATTACTTCCTCATCATCGGCTCTACACTAATACCTAGTGTAAGATGTTCAGAAGTACATTTTGACACCCAAAGACATAACTGAAGAACAGTTACCTCATGTATTAGAACACGTTACCATCCACAATCAGGCCTTTCCTGAAGTTTAGTAGAAACTTGCAAATCAGGAGCTGGTAAACATTTTAAATACACAAGAGTGTATAGTACCATTCGAGGTCATATCTTATTCGAATAAAACAAAGTGAACGAGAGAAAATATATGCAATAGAGAGATGGAAGTTTTTGGTAGCCCAAGTTTTAAGCAGGTATGTGAAGTATATGTATAAAACACAAAATAATCGAGCAAAGAATATCCTTTTCGATAAATTCCTCTTCTGGCTCTACAATTATATATATGTTTATATTTTTTTTTATCCTTCACGTTCCACAGTGGAACATAGGGCTTCAAGCCACTAGCTTGAAGTTTCTGTAGCAGTGTTTATTTTACAGGATGGGGTTGCTAACCTCATGCCCAACCTTTCCTCTTCACCAGCATTATTTCTGGTTTTAGCGAGGCAAAGGAGTGCGTCGGCCGGGGTTCGAACCCCAGACCATGTGCATGGTCGGCGAGCGTCTTAACCGCTATGCCACCGACGCCATATGTTTATATACATAGAATATTCTAGATTAGTAGTCAACATCAATTTCAGTGTTTTCTAAATAATATCGATTTGTAAAGTATGATCAATGCAATCACAGTTCATTAAAGATACTTAAATTAGAATAGTAATAAAGATATAGTAGCGAATAGAATATCAACTAAAATTAGGAAAATTCCACAAAAATTCAGGATCATTCAAACCTAGATGTCCGAGGTAAGGATAATGTATGAACCAACTTCTTTTGGATGCATAAATTAGGCTTGTTAATATGGATCCCCACAGCCTCAGCAATATTTAGTAGTCGAACTCTTAAGGCGAAACTGAGATCTGTTGGTATGCGATAAATGACCCTGAAAGCATGGTTAACGTCAGTCTTGTGTTCTGTATCCACAAGATGAGATAGAATAGCGCTGCGAATAGATTTTGTTTGTCCTTTGCTTAACCAGGCAGGGTGATGTTCGGAAATTCGACGAGAAACACGCCTAATTGTACGGCCTGTGTAACTGGCTCCACAGGAGTCAACTTTTCACATCACTTAAGTCCAAATTGTTACCAACCTATTTTTGACTCTGTCCGTAATAATGCGTCATCTTTTCGCTAAGACTATATCATTATCAATTAGCCTGTAATACTTTTCCCACTTAGACTGACGAAAGTAGATTACTGAAAGTGTGGGAATACGATATATTCACCTAACATATCTTCAACGGACTAGAGAAAAGAAAGTAATATTATGAGCCTCATAACGCAAATATACCTGCTAACATTTTATGGGAAGTTATAACCGTCGCTAAAATATTTGCCTGTGTGTATAAATCAGTAAGAAAAATAAAAAATAAAATAAATTATCTAGTAGAAACAACAGAAATGGAGGTGGAAGGGCTTTCAGTTTACACATTTTCGGCTCAACATTTTATTTTAGAAAACAACTTCTGTTATGTTTATTGCTTTTGCTTTGAATTTGTCAGGTGACAATTTGATTATAAGCACTGAGCAAGGCACTTTTGGATTTAAAGGTGAGTAGAATTTGTTTTTAGCGTCTCTCGTCGAGTGTTCCCGGGATATTTTTTCATTCATTCATTTCTTTAGAAACAATAAACTTTTTTATGAATAACAACAAACTTAAGCCCACAATGAGTGGGTATTGTAAATTCACTTATAACACAATCATTATATCATGTTTCAAAAAATATTTACTTGATAAAAAGACATCTAAAGTAAAACATACACATTATGTCACATGAAATTTACAGACGCGTAAATCATTTGTCTCAAAATACCATCGTGATTAAGGTCACATATTCGGCGGATTCAGAAAGTCTTTCAAATTGAATTGCCAACATTTTCTCTAGGCAGTGTAAACTACATGTTGTTTTCCACGTACACATTGTTGGAAGAAGTAAGCTGTATAAGTGCAAAAGTCATACAACTTTACAGTAGCTTGTTGAAATCATCGACAGTCATTTGTTTAGACCTTTTAGCTTCCTTAACAAGTATGTCTATAAATTCACTGACATTAGGTGAATGGTAACAAAAGACAGTTCTAACAATAAATAAACTTCAAGATGACTTTGTGTATAACACGTTTGAGATTACTATGTAAACTGGGCGACTCACTTTCTATTCCGAAGCTATTTCAAGTGCATTGGAAGGCAATCGACAAGACTATGAGGGAGATAAGAGATTTTATTTGAAAAACATCAATCAGATTTGCATACGTGAGTCTCTACATGGTTCCTTGAAACGTCAGATAATTACACTAAATTATGTTTACGATCTGTTAGTACAGTAAGAAAAAGCACTTCATTTTTACTACATTTAGTGACATTCAGGACATGTTTTATCTGAGTACTATTGTTTCAGAAGAACTAATTTTTTCAATAAATCGTCAATGATCCCCTTAAATCTACTTAGTTGATATTTATTAATTCTCATTCTTCTTAGATTTTGTTGACTGAACCTTTCTATTTCTTTTTGGAAATTGTAAATATCCGGTTTTGTGTTAAGACATAAATACCATTTTCATTTTATTTTTAATTAGCTAGAAACTGAAGCAAATGATCTGTTAACTAATTCCAATCTCATTATATTTTTTTATATACGAATAATTCATGCTGAAGCACAAAAGCAGGGAAAACAAATAAGGAGATAAACATCATAGAAATGACACTGAAATATAAACATCAGTGCAAAATTATGCATGATTTTTAAGCACTATGAGAATAGTGAGCAATAGTGAAGCAATGCAATGAAGACTAAGAGGCTATAGTTTAAAGAAAAGCAAGCAGTAGGCGACTTGGTCTCCTCTGTAAATCAGATGGGATTCTAAAACTTTAAGAAGTGTGATGAACTGCTCCAGATGAGCATTAATGAAGCAAGCGTTAAGTAAGTATCTCTTCTTTTACTAATGTAATATAATGAAAGGCCATATTATTACCAAAAAGCCAGAAAGTAGCCGTCCTCTGGTGAAAGATACAACTTTTAGCATTGCGTAAAATTATGTTGTATCAGCGAAAAATTCATATTATTTTGACATGAAATGGTTCAAATGCAACCTAAAAACAGACTGGCATATCTCAAAGAAGAAATCTACTTTTCTACTGGCGGTTTTTGAGGATTAGAGAAAAAAGCTATTAAAATTATATCCGATACGCTGTATGGCAAATATCTGTACCGCAATGCTATAAAACTTTGAGGTACAAGTGGGTTAACACTGACAAGATATTCACATTGTTTTTTCTCTCTTTGTGTAGACCATGAGCCGCCTGTTCTGCTGATCGATAAAAGCGTAGAAGTGAAACAGTTGGAGGTCGCACAGTTTGAATTATTGATAATTCGATATGATAAAGGTAACCTCAATAAACTATTTGTTTTTAAGCATTTGATTTGTTTTGACCACGGAATGATATCAGTTAGAGAACTATTGAAAACCAACACTACAGTGCTGGACAGCCAACTGTATCCGCAGCCTAGTTTGAGACTCATTGACAGTATGCACCCACCACCAGGAGTCGAACTCAGGACACTTCGGTTACAAGCCAAGCTCGCATACCATTTAGCCACTGGGACCCGATTCATTGGCCCATGTTTTTAGTTTAATTTTGCACTTGCCGTTGATTGATCATGGGGGATTGAAATGTTTGGTCTTTGTTAACATGTCGGCCCTTGGTATAGACGCTTCGATGGCGTCTAGGGATTAACATGAAAGTAACTGGTTGGTGGTGAATAGCGGTGGAATCCAGGATGAGCATTTGGCCTATTCTGGATTCTCCAGATGGTATTTGTATACCAGCATTCCAAGTGATCGATGAAGGTGTTCCTATTGAGACATTTAAAACGACATGTTCAGGGTATGAATTTAAGTGGAAGCACTATCACTTAGTGCGATTGCAAGTACATCCGGTCGACGAGTCCCAGACAGGCCTAAAAAGAGATCCTGGATTGCATTGCTAGTCACTTGACACCTAAAAACAATATTAATGATCGTTCAAGTACCATGTAAACATTTTACATTTGGCAATCTGAAGTAATCCGACTTGTGACAATCCTAATATGAGAAGTGATTTCGTTACTGACAATAGGGTATTATATTACACAATATGTAAACTATATGATTCGGTTTATACTCAATCGTGCAACAGAATACATTTTGAAGGTGTCGCTCTTTAGCTTAAGTACCTGACTTTGTTTCAATAGGTTCTGGCGTCGAGCCCTTGTCCACTTACTTCAGCTGGGACATTTTAGCGTCATAAGCCTTCAGAAAATAAGTGTGATTCACAGCCTGATACAGTGAAACTTTAATCCAGGTGGCGATAACAACAACTGGATGAAACCGTGAAGGAGGTAGCTTAAAGTTTAAGCGTATGACTATAATCAAACAGTTTGTGCTCCTCTTCATTCTTTATGGAATCTCTTTTATATTTAGAGTTTAAATAAGAAAGCAAATAGTAGTATTAATGTACATAAATACATTAATTGTTCTTATTATTTTGAAATGAGTGAGTAAATGTTACTTAAATGGATATGTGAGGTACATTTGCTGTATTATTAACTCTCTGACGTGCTTAAGTCACCGATTCCGTAGGACACTGTATGTATGTTCGAATAATAACTGTTCTACAGTAGTATGTTTCACTTCTGTAAACCCAAAAATATATTAAGGTGACTTCAGAAAATCATTCTCTCCCTACATATATAGAAAGAACAAAAGATAGGACTTTTGCACACACACACACACACACAAATGCCTTACATCAAAGACACACTAACCAGTGTTGATTAATTGCATAAAACCCGAAATTACTCGATGCCAGTATCTTCTCAAAAGATCAAAATAATTGAAAACTGAAGACAGAAAACCTTCAATCTATGCTGCGACTATTGAAATGGTTTGTTTCCCTTCTTTTAACTGATCCGTAACATACCAGAAAATCTAACGAAATCGGTTTAATTGGTTTTCTTGGGGACGACGACCTCAAAATTAGTTACATAGACAGAAATCACTCCCAGACGCCAAATGTCATCATCATCATCAAAAAAGAAGAAGCTTAGTGACATTTACTGTTACACCTATATGGGCTAATTATTTTCCCTCCACTATCAATTTTTATCCATTTCTTTTCCATTAATCGACTACTGATTTCTGTTTCTAACATCTAACACTTTTTTGCCATCTTCAATCAATTTTCCGATCAAATAAATATTTTCATTTAGTTTGTTCTCAAATATTTACTTTTCATTTTATCCTTCTGTTCAATACACGCATTCATTATTTCCACTGTTTGCCTTAATATTATTTATCATTTTCACATTTCTTTTATTTATATATCTGAGAGAAAAGAAATAGATATATGGTAAAATAAATCTAAGTTAATTAGTTTTTGATTTATTTGTCAGTTTAAACGAAAAAATTTTCTTTTCCATTCAAGTGACTTGGTTAAATCAGAGTGAGATGTGGAGAGGTAATTGTTGATCTTATTCTGTTGCTTTTGATTGCCTAGTTTTCCTTCAACAATTCACGTCAATAGTGACGGAAGCAATAATACGCGATTTTATCACCTATTGGTTGATGGTGATTATAAGTGGAATCCAGGATGTGTATTTCGTCCTATTTAGGAATCGTCATCTGGATGTACCCACATTCACCAGTGAGTCAGTGATAGTGTTCCCACCGAGGCTCAAAGTCAGTGTCCACAGACTCAAGAGGTGACTTTCGTGGCCCAAGTGGTCTAGTGGATTACGCCTTGGCTTTTAAGACTATGAGCACTGGGTTCGAGCCTTGGTGGGGGCACCATCACTGACTCACTGGGGAATGCAGGTACACACGGCCGACGAGCCACAAACAGGACGCATGCACTAGTCATCATCAACCAACTGACTTCGAGTTACATGACCAGATATCGTTGAATCATCTGCACAAGGAGCTGACATGTCAACCTGAGACCGAGCACTTCGATCCAATCAATCGATGGGAAAGTGTGAATTGAATTAAGAGGTTTTGTCATCTCTTTTGAAATTATATTTCAGTCTACCAAAATAATTAACGCGTAATTAAAAATAACTTTGTAAAACAGATAAATAGACTACGGATACTCTTAAAACAAGAGGTGATTACCTTCACTCAGTAACCTGGTAGGGGACATTTTGGACTACTGAACTTAAGTGTGGGTAGGAACATCATCACTCACCGAGATGCATGTACATCCAACTGACAAGTCCGAAATAGAATGAAACGTGCATCCTGGATTCCTCTGACGATAAACACCAAACAAATGCCATAAATAATAACAGTCGAAACATTAACACAATGGTCATCCCAAGTGCTACCAAATGATAAATTTAAAGAGATCATAACATACCATAATAATGCCAAAACAATATTTCTTATAAAAGTACGAGAGGGAAACTGTTGCATGACAAAATTACACCATGTACATTCGCAAAACTTTCAGTGAAAATAAAAATAATCAAATATGATAACCATTTATATTATCATATATTTCATTTGATCTGTTTTGTGTAATTAATATCCATTTTTATAGTCCGAGGGAAATGTACCTCAGATTTCTCTTCGCTTCCGATTAATTTTTTCTATAAGGACTAACAGTACATAGCATGTTGTTAATGCATTCAAATATTCATTCATGCAAGAAGTAGAATTTGAACAGATTGATTCAAATGTATTGGAACAATCCAGCAGTATACCTTATACCTTTAGCACTGAATATTTAGTTGTAAATTAACTAACTAACAAATTCATCCATTTTATATACCCTGAAGTAGCCAGTATGTTCGACCATGACACACTGAGGTGGATGCTCATCGATGACGTTGGTTGACGGTAGCGTTATACTACACAAGTTGTCAGGAAATCAAATCCTCGGGGTCACTGAATGGTCAACGAGCTTGTTCTCGTAACCTGAATATCTTGTGTACTATCCTTGGTACGACAAGGGGCTACACACTGCCGATGACTCTTAAACTAAGACAAAACAGCTCTTTATTGCTTCTTTATTTTTAATGATTTCTAATCGGTACTTTGTTTCGTGACGTAATATTCATTGAAATTAATCCATCTGTGAAGGTGAAGAAATCTAAAAGTAATTGCTTATTTTTTTTGTGAAAAGTTGATATTATCTTGAAGAGATGAAATCATCGACCACTTTTTTATTCTTTGTTCTTTTTCTCACCTTCAAGGTCGTGAAGCAAAAGTAGCTGTTTTACAACTTAACTGCTTAACATCCACTAAACCGGTGGATAGATCACAGGCAAAAAAGCTCACCTTAGAAAAAACAAAAGGTAATAATACTAATATTTTAACTGAAGGTTTTCGGTAATATTTAACCTTATTTACAAAATTTTAATACCTCAGTACTGAACAAAGTTTGTGTTATGACAATTTTCATGCCTGCATAGAAATCTCTACTAACTGACGCATCAGCTATTATTATTGTGTTTAATTAAATGTATTCTATTTTACAAATCTGTTACTGATTAACACAGACACATGCAATCCCTGAATTTACATAGAGATCTAGAAAATACTAACCAGCAGTACTCCACTTGTTAGATGACATCTATCATATAACATACTATGACCGCTTACAACGATAGAATTATAACATAAATGCCAATAAACTGAAGTTCGTTTACATCTCTGGAGATGAATAGAGCTATTCGTCAAGAATATCTTCGTTAAGAAAAGAATTATCCTCACACTATTGAGATTCACTTTTTTGAATACTGGTTTTGTTCACATGATATTGTATTCAAGTGTAAAAGATACTTAAAATCAGATGAATTTGAAAATATAGGTGGGAGGTTATCAACTTGTAAATACCAAAACTCATAATTATTGAGGAAGAGTGGTCATATACACCAAAAACTGTATATGATAAAGTTTTTTGGGCCGCATTAGTTTATCGCTTTGAAATCTATTTCAGAATGCATAGAAATGATGTATAATCTCATATATGAAGTAGATTATCTTAAGATAGCATTAACAATTAACGAAAAGTACTCATTGAATATCACACTTTATTGTGTTATTGAAAGTGTCTGATTAAACGTTATAACACCGAGTTCCATAATAATTACTATCTACTAATAGTACCTTGTTAAACGCCGTAAATAGTTAACGAAATTGTGAGGTTTTTTAACATCTTTCTATATTACTTTAAGAGGTAAGCAGAATATGACCAAAGTTAAGTTATATAAGTTTGAGTGGATTCCGTTTAGACGATGACTTTATTAATACGACTGACTTCATTGGAAAATCCTAAGATACTTCCAGAATAAGTGTCAAATATCCAGATCGCAGAGACCCTAGACCTATCGCTGATTTCAGAAGACTAATCTTAATACGCAGAACACTGTGCACTTTAACCGGCGCAGAACAGCAGAAAAGGTTTGGCAACACGATTGTTTATTTTTCAATCCATAACGAAGCAGATTTACAACGGTTAATCAGTGCCAAAGCCTGTAAATAAACATTAATATAATGTACAACAATACTTCTGATAGTACTTCTCCAATCTTACGTCAACCAGTACACAATTAAGCACTGACAGTCTTCTTGTCTCCCACCAATGGACACCAGCTAGAATAAACAAACTACTCAATGTTCACCAGCACTGACAATAAGTTTTAAGAAAGGCATATTTTTAACACTGCAAACATCATGTGAACATTTAGCCGAAAATTTTAGCCGTTATTTTCAAATCATATAGTTACACACAGTGGTCTCTGGAAACGGTAAATATTCAGATCAAAATATGTTTTCTGCTTCATGTCACCACGATCTGCATAAATAGCAACTGATGAATATGACTTTGTGTATTATCAATTCTCTAGATTATCTGGCCACCTTATCGGCTGTTAGAACTGACTTAGCCGTCTGAGATGAGTTCATCTGTGCACCCCGCTATTCAGCCTAGTCCAAAATGGCCATCTAGTGCTTACATTACACTGATCTTCTAAGCGAGAACAAGCGTTTCACCTCGGTGATCTCCAACTACTGATATTATTCAATAATATCCACTACATTGTAATACTAAGCCTGCCTAAATGACTTCACAATGATAAAATTGATCTCTGTAAAATAGTGTACTATCCATACTGCTGTCACACACTAGTATTGTAACGAAAGAAGACAAAAGACTTAGTAAAGGAAATGTTTATTTCCAATTTACTATCTTTATATAAACAAATTATGTACACCTTATCTTCAGCTCACCATTTGCACAAATCTGCCGTGTTGTGCTACTTCTGCCCTTCCTTCCGACTGTGTTTCTTTGTGTTCCTTTCACGTCTCCCATATATCTGCGCAACACTGTATCATTCGTTTCCTCTAATATTAAATCTCTTTCCTTGTCATTTGATGTTTTTTGTGCCGATGAACATTTCTTTATATATACTACTGATAAATTTTTCAGTAGCACACGCCACAGTATAATTTTTATTTTTCTTTGAAATTTCAATCTTTTAGGAAGTCAACTGTTCACAGTTAGTAAGAGTCCTAATCATCCATTAAGGTTAGCGATTGCAGTGCATCGAAGAATCATAGTCTTCCAATGGCATTTATTTACTGGACGTTCTTTATCATCATGGAATCAGTTGGCTCAACCAGATCCCATTGAAAACTTTCAAATTATGCGAGTAAGTTTCAGTATCCCTGAGTTAAATTATCCGCTTCTACTGTGATGTGCTGCTGTCTTTTCCCCCTTGAGTTTCTGAATAGTTGATTCCTTTCAAAAACATTTTCCGTCTAAGATTGGTATCAGCCGCTGTGGTTACAAAGACGAATCAGTGAAGTTTGATGGGGAACATGTTTTTCATTCCTTTGCGTTCTAAATGGGACATGCGGCTTAACGATAATAATAACAATAATAACAACAGCTTTATTATGCACAACAGGTTTATAGAGTATGTATAATTTTCAGAGTAGTTTATTGCATAATATTTACTCTTCATCCAGGAGTTTCAGGTAAAAACAGTCATCTCCAGTACACCATGCTACACAGTGATTTAGATCTGAAGAATAAAATAATCCACTGCGGTATTTTTCTTTGGTTGCCCAGAATTTGAACAACAGTAGGTTGTAAACCAATAAAAAAAGGCTCACGAGTACAATTGGAGACCCACGGATATAACTGAGTGGTTATAACTACAAGAACTAAAAAAATAAAATACATTGTCTCTGATGGAAGTTCAGGTAGCTCATTGATTCAAGTCGGCCTCCAAGTTTGAGTAGAGGTGTTGTTTTTACGGGGTAGGGTAACTAGCGCCACTCCTAACTTTCTCTGTTTTCTAAACTAGCTAGGTTTGGGAGTTGGTTGGCCAAGAGTCAAATTTGGAACTACTGCGTGGTTGGCGAGCATTATACCAGTGAAAAACCGACGAACCACAATGAGTATGATTCATCCTTAAACCAAGACTGTGGAATATTTTCTGTTGGATTTATTGTGAAGGAGTGATGATAATCAACTTATTTCAATTTCATAGTTTTGACTGAATAAAGTTTACTGATTAACATGACTGGAATTAATGTTGAGCTTGGAGGACATACTCATCTATACTGACCACGGTTAGCAGATATCATACTGGCATTAATACCGTCATGCAAAAGCAGATCATTCGATACAACAGACAGCAGTAATATGTTGTCATTACGTAAGGTCTATACAGCAAAATTCTCATTTATTTGCATACGACTAACTCATATTTTGACTGAGTCACTAAACACGCATCAGTAGGACTACTATGACCTTTTCAAGGATAAAATGTATTTAGGGCAAGTCTAGACAGTTATGACTTGTAAAATACAACCTAAAAATATCAAGTACGTTGCAATGATGCTCAAATATTCATGATAGTGAATGAATTAGAATTTATGTCATTTTGTGAACTGAATTACTTGGTAAAATACTCACCACAGTCAGCTTATTGGCAGATAATATTGGCTGAAGGTATGCGGCACTGTCTGACCGTAAACGACATGTTCCTAGGCTATGCAAATACGTAAGAATAAATACGGTTAAATACTGGTTCACTCATAGCCTTATGTATTCCCATTGAGTCATATAAAAGAAAAGGAGTTCAGCGAAGAGTTTTAACATGTGAATCGTCATTGCTTCTGAGATTTGAAGAAGTTTGATTCGTACTCTTTTAGCAAGATTCTGTGGATGGCTTTGTAGCTACTTTGTGGGTTTGCTTGGTGTCCTGAATGGATCGATTGTTCAAGAATAGAGCTTCGGGTTGACCTTTATTCTCCTTTAAAAAGCCATGACTGTGGGTAAGTGTTTGGCGATACGTTTGGATGGCAGACTCTTGGTACGGCTGACATACTTAGCCAGCTCCACACGAGCAGGTGAATTGGTAGATGCACAGTAATGAGACCAACAGTGGTAGTTTATCCTTCATGTTCATGAAAATAGTTGGTTTCGTAGAGAAGGTTAGTCGGAATTCAGCCGCCTGTCTCGCTCACTGAACAAAACCTGAACTCTGCATACAAAAGAAGTTTGTTCAGCCTTTAAATCTAGAGCGAACCTGACCTATCTTAACACCAAATACGTAATTTTTGCTTCGTCTTTTTTGCACTTGTTTGTTTCCTAATTGTATGATATTTTCTTCCCCCACCGCTTATTAAATCTCTACCTCTTATCTCCACTGCTGTTAACTTGACTTTTATTCAGTTTTAATTTTCGCTAAGCTCTACTCAACCCCGTCAATTAGATTACGTCATTCAGCTTGCTAATTTAATCTTATCTTAGTTTCTAACCCATTAACGCTTCCTACATCACGTAACTTGTTATCTAAAATTTACAATTCAAATGACACATCTCTGGAAATATTAATTTTGTCGCTAAAACAGTTTACTATATGTGTGTGATTGTACAGCTTGATAATGATATCGCCGAGAAGAGTAACTCTTCGCTGAACGTCTTTCTGCACTGCAGTTCAGACCATAACCAGCGTATTTGTTAGATTATCTTACTCTTGAATATGCAGATCATACCTTTCTCCTCAACATAACTCATCATTACCAATATGCATATGAAATATCTTTGTCCGAATACGATTCATATCTGCAGTTTCACTGTCAAGTATGAAAACTGAGAAACATAAGCTAACACACTTCTCATCGGTTTCTTCCTTTACGTATCATTTGTTTCCTTTTAAACTGTGTCTTCCTAGTGACCTACTCAAGGACTGATTACTTATTTTGAGGACAGAATACACAGTTTTGTGTTATATCCCAAATATATCTCCTTGTAAAATCTCTATTAATCCCTTTGGCATATTCTGATTAAGGTGATATTGATCAAATATACTAATCACGATGCCAGAGTTTGAATGGGAAAAATTGAAGTACAAAAGGTTCTTTAACAGAGGGACGATTTCTTCATGTTGGTAAAATATATTAATTTTTAACTCTCGAAACCCATAGAATAATACATGTATCTTTCTTACCTTGCCCGAACCCAGAGTAAATTTAATGAATTATTTAGAATTCAACTGGTGCATTTGGAAATACGATTTATTTTATAAGTGATTCCGGAATGATATTCACACCGACAAGCGGATTCAAATGAGAATATAGCAGAAGAGCACTTTGAGGACTCCGTACACTAATCATCATAATGTGCTGAAATACTTTCTAATGGAAGTAAAACTATAAATTTTGCTTTTAACAATAAGATTCAGTGGTTGAAAAAAAGCTTGGTTCTGTTATACCATCCAGAAGACTAATAAATTTTATTAACATACTGATCCAGGATGAAACATTTTCCTAGGGAACATTTTAGATATGATGTACGTCTGCAAAAACAGAAACCATCTAAAAAAATATGCATACATTTTTGACTGGACAATAATTAGTAACATGTGTCTAGTCCTTTTGTTTACTGCAGACTGAATTCTATTCCTACCGATTGCTTACAACCATCTAATAACGATAATCCTGAGTGTACCGTGATGGCGAGCCACCTAGATTGCTAGCCACATTTTAAACTTGATTGATAGAATTCAGTCTGCACCAAAACTAAGGACCAGGCACATTACACTAGTTACTGACTGGTGTCCAATCAAAAATATCCAATACACTCCTACAGGAGGTCAATCACGAGTCTGAATAGCTGCTCAGTGATAACGTCTTTAACTGCAGGCGGCACTGGTTGACACGGGTCAGAATCTCAGAAGGGATGTGAGTTCCTTGAAGATTGCAGATACACCTTTCTGACTGGTGAATGCCAACAAGCACGAAACCTAGGCAGAGCAAGGCTTCCTACCGATTACCTCCAACCATCTAATAACAATATGCATTCATTGCATATAAACTTATGTATGAATGTTAATCATTTACAAATACACTTTGGATTCATTACAATCACTTTTCTGGTTTTTCTCAAGCATAATTAGCCGTCTATTATAAAAAAAGTCTAATACAAAAATTGTTAGTGAATAGGTGAACGCAAATAAAAAGAACACTCATATGCAAATAATTTCATATAATACGGGCTAACAATGACAAAATATTCACTGTTAATTCATTTTCAGATTATCATTTTCATATTCACCTACTTTTTATCTGTTGAATAATTTGCTCAAACAATAATAATAGTAATAATAATAATGATAATTTATTTTTATTTTCTTTTATAGGAAGTTCATTTAATTGAACCAGTTCAAACGTTAAGCTTTGTAGAAGGTATTCCTGGAGGAAGATTATGTGTAGGATATAGAAATCAATTTATTTTAGTTGATGAAAAAAATAAAGAGACAATCCAGCTATTTCGTACAGAAGGTAGTCGAAATCAAGTTGTCTCAGCTTTAGAATTATGGGCTGATGAAGAGCATGAATTATTATTGTGCTTTACAAGTAAGTAGAATCAGGGGAAAAAAATAATAACAATAACGTCCTTGTTCCTCCTAATTTTTAATTATTTTCTTATTTATGATTAAATTATACAAATTTCAGTAGAAGAAAACAAGCATTTTTATTAATAAACCCCTGTGGATATTCTAGAAAGTGTACTCAGCCTGAAGGCATCTTACTGGCATTTAAAGCTGGGCAATTAAGAGCAAAAATATAATAAAATAAATAATCAGTACAAAAAATGTTACAAGTCTAACTGCTATTATCTTTGTTCAACTTTGATTTTAAGTTGATTTTGCATTTCTCCTTCACTGATTATGTTGGAACGAATTGCACGACCTGCTCTGAAAAGTTAGTTCCTAGAAAGAATGCATCCACGATGTATCCGAGTGTAAACGCGAAATTATTTTCCATCGTGACGACTAGCGGCAGAATACAAGATGGGCGTTATATAAAACATGCAATATTGATTATTTGTCTTGTAAAAATAAACATTCCTCTGATAGAAAGAGGTGGGGAGAGAGGGAGAGAGAGAAAGAAAGGAAGAGTGATTCCACCAGCAGGCTATTAGTTAGAAAATTAACTTTCATACAGCATAAATTGAAGTTTAGTTGATGTGATTGTCACCTGATATATATATATATATCCAAGGTTTTGATAATAAATCAAGACTCTTAGCTTTGATTACTTCCTTAACCATTTTCAAAGCAATTAAGACCAAAGAAAGGACATTCTCATTACTGATAAATTACAAATATTTGGAGTTGTTAGACAAAGCTGTACAAATTTTAGATGATGGTGACAAGCCCTGGAATCTAGAATAAAACACATCATCCTATGTGACCCTTGTGATCTAGTGGACAATTGCTTTGCTATTTGAAATGAAGGGTGCAGTAGACATCTGTAAAAATTACATTTGTAAAATCTCAGCAAAATTGAAATACGTAATTCTAACGTCTCCTAAGTTGGGCAAACTGGTCCGAACTTCTTCAGGGAAATTAATCGAAATTAACATAACAGAGGTTTACATATAAAAATGACATCTCATGTTTTTAAAAACTTTTTCCAATCATATGAGTCGTGAAAAAGGTATCAACATGTATAATAAACAAAATTGTATGTGCTGTGATCAAAATTTGATTTCAGACTTTCACATATTAGTCTACTTTTGTTAAACAATTTAAACAGAGTGTACTTTTTAGCACACCCCTCTAAATGTAAATAACATGGGGCGTAGACGTAGTTCCATTGACTTCATAATTTCGTCTGCACTTGAAGGACAGCGAGCACTGAGTTCGTCATCAGAACGAAATAAATTACAGATGATATTTAAACAGTCATTAACGGGAACATTCGTGAATAATGAATATACATCGAAACTTGCCATTATGTCATGTTCTTCCATATGAGTCAAGTTTATTTTTCTCTTAAATTCATGCTAATTCTTCACTCCATGTTCCACTTTCATTTCATATGGGCTTAGTATTCGATAAATGTATTCATAGAGTTTGCAGTTTGGAAAACTAGTGAAATCCACAACTGGACGTAATAAAACTGCTGGTTTGTGTATTTTTGGTAATTCATAAAATCTGCAGTGCATCGGTGGCATAGCAGTTAGGACGCTCGCCGACCATGCACATGGTCCGGAGTTCGATCCCCGGCCGACGCACTCCTCTACCTCGGTAAGCCAGAAAAATGCTGGTGAAGAGGAAAGGTTGGGCATGAGGCTAGCAACCCCATCCTGTAAAATTAAACACCATGGCTACAGAAACTTCAAGTCTCTAGCTTGAAGCCCTATGTTTCACTGGGGAACGTGAAGGAAAAAATAAATAAATAAAATCTGCAGAGGCTGCAACTATTTTGTAGCCAGAGTAAACCAAAGTGATACACTGAATATGGAGTGAAGAATTAGTATCAATTTAAGAGGAAAAACAAAGTGGGGCATACTGAAGAAGATGACATAATGGCAAGTTTCGATGTTTATTCATTATTCACGAATTTTCCCGTCGTGGCACAGTAGTTAGGACTCTCGTCGACCATGCACATGGTCCGGGGTTCAACCCCCTGCCGACGCACACCTGATATCTATGGTCAGCCGGCAAAATTTGGGCTACCGATATCACATGCTGAAAATTTCATGCCTGTACCAAAAAATACGGTGTGGAATCAAGCTGTAATCAAAAATAAAAAAATAAATTAATTGTTTAAATATTATCTTTATTGTCTATCTATTATCTAGTTACTGAGGTGGAAGAGATCGACAGGAAACCAAAACTGGTTCAGTCCACTCTTAAATCAAGTAATTATCCCAAAGCCTTCATAAAAGATATTGAAAATGTAAAGATGAGGATGGATAGAAACTTGTAGCTAAAAATTGGGTTAGTACAACGGTGATTCCTTACCGCAGAGAAACATAAGATGAGATAAAGCGAATCCTTAACAGTCACGACATAAGAGTGTATTTTCGTTCAACTAATACCTTACGCTCATCACTAGTGAAGGTTGGGATAAAGTAGAATTGTGTGTACTAGATCAATTGTGGGAACTGTGACGCCGTATGTGTAGGAGAAACTTTCAGACAGGTAAATGTAAGAGTGAAAGAGCATAAACAATGTCTAAAAGTGGTTCCAAAGACGCTTGCAGGCTTAAAGAAGCTAGATAACGGATCAGTGATTGCACTGTATTCGAAAGAAACGGGACACAAAATCGACTTTGATAGGACTAAGGTTCTACAGAAAGGTTTTGGTTCTTATGAAGAAAGACTGAATGCCGAAACCCTACATATATGGGTGAATCCCAACAGTTTAAACAGACGTGAAGGTGTGATGTCAGCTGATGCATGACAAATTCTGATTAATAAATAAATAAAGGATTTATTTCACTAATTAATGATACCTGGTCGAAATTCCCAATTGTTTATATCTTCTTATGGAGTAGCTAACATATGTTTCACAACTGTATACTCATACACACACCATTGTGTACTGCATTCACACATATATTTTCATATTCAGTTATCTACGACCATGAACTTTTAGTCAAACGTATTCTGAAAAAAGTACACTCTGTTTAAATTGTTTAACAAAAGTAGACTAATATGTGAAAGTCTGAAATCAAATTTTGATCACAGCACATACAATTTTGTTTATTATACATGTTGATACCTTTTTCACGACTCATATGATTGGAAAAAGTTTTTAAAAACATGAGATGTCATTTTTATATGTAAACCTCTGTTATGTTAATTTCGATTAATTTCCCTGAAGAAGTTCGGACCAGTTTGCCCAACTTAGGAGACGTTAGAATTACGTATTTCAATTTTGCTGAGATTTTACAAATGTAATTTTTACAGATGTCTACTGCACCCTTCATTTCAAATAGCAAAGCAATTGTCCACTAGATCACAAGGGTCACATAGGATGATGTGTTTTATTCTAGATTCCAGGGCTTGTCACCATCATCTAAAATTTGTACAGCTTTGTCTAACAACTCCAAATATTTGTAATTTATCAGTAATGAGAATGTCCTTTCTTTGGTCTTAATTGCTTTGAAAATGGTTAAGGAAGTAATCAAAGCTAAGAGTCTTGATTTATTATCAAAACCTTGGATATATATATATATATATCAGGTGACAATCACATCAACTAAACTTCAATTTATGCTGTATGAAAGTTAATTTTCTAACTAATAGCCTGCTGGTGGAATCACTCTTCCTTTCTTTCTCTCTCTCCCTCTCTCCCCACCTCTTTCTATCAGAGGAATGTTTATTTTTACAAGACAAATAATCAATATTGCATGTTTTATCTAAATAAATAACTTGTTTTGGGTGTGGTTAACAAAAAATAACCTACAGATTACTGTGACTTCTACTGGAAGTAATGATACGTACCATGAGTATATAATAAAAGCAGTGGAGTTTGTGGGTAGGGGGTGGGGCGTTATTCATTTCATTTCTCTGTCTAAACAGTACAGAAAGAAGATTGAATTTAAAATGAAAAAAAGATTTTGATTATATGTTTTCAATTCTGGGTGGATTATAAATAAAAATTGGAGAATAGAACACTTTAATAATTCTGTCGACATACCTATTTCATTTCAGATAAATCTGTTTTTGTTAGAGAAACACTGGAAAGTAGATAAAATACTAATTTCAGCAGTTTTTTTCTAAATGTTCACTACTAATAAATAGTGAAAGTAGTAACAAATGGATTTGAAATATCCATGTGATTTAATTCACACAAGTCAGTAAAGCCATCTCTTTTAGTGACTTCACTTCAAATTTGTAGAACTATTTGGCAGTTTATGCAGATACAGTGTCCATTCAGATATTTAGAAAAAAACATTGGACAAAGAAGATCTTTCTCGATAATTTCCTCTTCCCGCTCTAAAATTATATATATATATATAAACAGGATATTCTAGAATAGTTGTCATTAACAATATTAGTGTTTTTGGTCTAAATAATATCGATTTGTTAAGATCACAATGGAATCACCACAGTTCAAGAAAGATCCATAAGTCACAATAATAAGCATAAAAATATGATAGTAAATATAATATCAAATGAAAATAAGAGAATTTCCACTACAAATTGAGGAATGCGTCTGAACCAACTTCTCTCGGATGCATCATTAGTTAGTTTTCTTGATGTATATCCCATCAGCTGGCCTCAGCAATACATAGTAGGCGAACTCTTAAGATGAAGCTAAGACTAGTTGGTATGCGGTAGTTGACTTTGAAAGCGGCCTCGTTGATATCAGTCTTGTATTCTGTATCCGCGAGATGAGATAGAATAGAGCTATGAATGGATCTTATTTGTTCTTTACTTAACCACGTAGGATGATGTTCTGAAAACAATGGTCGGAGGTTATTGTCCGTGAGTAACAAAATATATAAGAAAGTGTACGAGAAATAAGAATGTGTGAAAAATGGTGAATAATCTTACTTGATGAGCAATCATTTGCAAACCGTTGACAAGAAACAAAGGAACAATAGATTGTAGGGGGTTACAAAAGGAGAAATTTATAAAAAATAAAGGGACTAAATACAGTTTAGTATACAAAAATTCAGAAGAACAAAATTGACACTAAGGTGTTGGTAGTAAAAGAGATTGAACAAAGACTTCTTTAAACACAGAGTTCAGATTTTCTCTTATGGACTGCTAACGCTTCGACTGCATAAAGATGTTAGCGAATTCCTTTTGATTGATTTAATCATACTTCATATGTGACTCTGAGTGAAGTCTATGCTAATACTGCGTAACCAGAAATAATAATATGCTTCATAATCGAGCTGTTGACTGTTCTGAATTCTCCTTTTGACAACCATACTGGTAAGTGTTTACAGGTATGTCTAGGCAGTGAAATTCTGGTACACTGGATGTAGTTAACTCTACAAAAGCAAGTGGACTGACAAATGCACATTCAATTTCATGCAGTAATTTCCCTTTGATATACCTGGACAAAACAGGAACAAAAAATTTAAATTGACAGACATTATGATTATAAGACATAAATCCTGCTGAAAACGTCATCCTGTTATTAATATTGCATCACTTTGTGCTATTTGAATAAACTTATCTAATATGGAATTATGATGTTATCTTATTTCTTCGATTGTTCCCATGTGTATACATTCTAAAGTAGTTTTAATCTAAATTCACTAGGTGAATATATCCACATGCTTGAATTAGTTAACTTTGAAACAGAAGCTGTAAATATTGATTAACTGGATAGAAGAAGAGTTCAAAGTATCAGAATTACTAAAGATATTTATAGAAATGGATGCTGTTAGGCTTTTCCAATATTCCCTCCTAACTCTAGAATAATATTTATTCTTCTATATTTACTAATAAGCCTACTAACAACTCATTTAATTTTTATCCTTTCATCTCTTAATCTGACTGAATTAAGTGATCTTAAATATCCCGTTCACCAGTTAATAAAGCAAATTATGTGAGCAGAAAGATTCTGTGTTAGACTAGCAGCAGCCCATCCTCTGTAAAAGTAATGCTACTGAAACTTAGTAGCTCATGCTTGAAGTCCTATATTCCACTCGGTAAGCAACGGAGTAAAGAAATGTGATTGTTCTAGCTTGTTCATAGTAAAATTGTTTTAGATTTGTAAGCCGATGACAAAAGCGGATAAAATAAAATCGTATTGCTGTTCTAATCAAATAACGAATTATTTCAAGAGACTACTGATAATAAACTTCTGTGTCATAATCTTGAAAAATTGGCTTCCCTTTTCAGCCTATTTTTGAGTTATCTTTGTAACTGATGCCATGCCCAAACTATAATAAATTAGAATTTTCAAAAAAACCTTTTCCCAAGATATGCAACTGACTGCAATCGATAAAAGTTTTACTAATGTTTCATGTCTACAATTCTTTAACCTACAAGAACAAATATCGATTTAGAACTTAAAATAAGAGTGTAAAAATATTAAAGCCTTTATATTCTACAGCATAGAATAAAGAAAAAACTAATTAAGTCAGCTTGCTGATGAAGCTCTCTGAGATTGTCTTATTTTTTAGAACAGCACTGATATAATGCGCCACTGACTGCAGATGTTAAAAACTCTAGGTCATAGCAAAATGCTAAGCAATGACCAGTAAGTAATACCAGTTCATACATGAAATGTTTATGCTATGCTCATTGTGAAACCTCTCTAAATGATAACATCTTCAACACTTGACTAACAGACTCAATATCCTGAAGACCTCAAGCAACTGATGAACTCTTTTCCTAGTTTCCCACCCTGACCAGCAATGATATATTTGGTTAACTCACTTTAAACTTCTAAAAAGATTTCTAAATTTTATTTGTAGGCTTTTGATAACAGTTTAAACTTATTTGATAAGCCAGAGTTCATCATTCTGTTAGATGAAGAAATGGTTTTTGAAGCCAATTACACCAAGGTATTTGATGAAAGTATTAAAGATTTTACTTCTTTTTACTATAAACACTGTCACAGGAACCTGTCATTTTCAAAAACTTTATTTAACTTCATCATCTGGTATCGGAAGTCGTCGTCAAGCTCCACTGATCAACAGCCCTGTTGATACAAGTTTTAACTGGAATATGAAAACGACTATGGAAACAAGCGCAGTCAAATCATCACCATCTTTATCTCAAACACAAGGGTCAAACTCAGTAGACTCACCTAGTCCAACAGGTGGACCAATAGCCAGAAGTTGCTCACCAGATCCTCTGTTTCATCCATTGAATATCAGCGCATCATGTGAAGAAAAAGTGAAGACAAGTGACTTTGATTTTGCATGGAACTTTGAACCACAACAAGTTGGTAAGTTACTGTTAATAAGTTCTTTTTCATAACACAATAAATAACTGAAGAATATAAACATGCCATTCAATTCAAATATGGCCGGAAAGAATCACCAACAAGAAACTATGGGAACGAACAAAACAAGAACCAATCGCACAACAAATATGCAGGAGAAAGTGGAGATGGATTGGACACTCGCTGAGGAGGCCGCTGGGTGACATCGCGCTTCAGGTCGTCGAGTGGAATCCGAAAGGGAAGCGACGAGTGGGACGTCCAAGGGTGACATGGAGGAGATCGTGTGAAGAGGAATTGAAACAGTATGGAATAACATGGGTGCAGGTGAAAAGTACGGCAGAAGACAGAAGCAAATGGAGACGTGTAGTTGAAGCCCTATGTTCCACTAGGAACCCAAGGAAATAATAATAATATTCAATTCAAATAAGGCATTCTTGCAGAAGAAATGAGTCATCATTATTCCTTTATGTTCGGAGCGAAGCAGAAGACTTCAACATCACATCTCCACTTCCTCCTATTTTCTGCTGCCCACTTTAAGTGCCCATTGTCTCTCTTTTCCTACTCAAGCGATCTTCTCCATGTCACCCTCACATCAGCACCCAATCGTCTCTTCCCATACGGGTTTCAATCGAGCAATGACCTGCATTCCGTGCGATGCTATTCGACGGTCTCCTAAGCGCGTGTACAATCCATTTCCATTTTCTTCTACATATTTGTTGAACAATGGGTTCATGATTGGTTTGTTACCATAGTTTCTTGTTGCCACACAGAAGAACTGACTGACTTAACATTGGTGTTGAAAATCCAAATTTTGTTGTTTATGCTGCAGAGTGCAGAAAATTTCCACACTGGTCTTAGAGTGATGAAGGTCTGTCTTGCCTTTCCGATTCTGGCTGACTTTGACATCTTCATCCAATCATTTGGCCTGTATTTGAAATGATGCTACCTAGATAAGTGAAGAGAGGGTCCTCTTTCAAATTCCTTCCAGTGATATTGATTGGTGCTGGTTGTTGCTGCTGTTGACTGGTTGTTTTCATCACCTCCGTTTTCTCCACGTCCACTTGAAGTCCTGTCATAGCCGGCTGCTTCGTCAGCCATTTTGTTGGTTTCTACCTGCCTGTAATTCTCCGAGTTTGTGCGACATCAGATATAAATCATTCAAGCGCGAAATCCACATCTTCTAGAGTCTTATCATCGGTCAGTCCGACCTATTCCTGTCTTCTCTTTCCCCACGTACAGTGTGCCACATAATCCAGTCCAGTACAGTTAAGAATATCATCATTGATGATAGTCAGGCAGCCTTGTGTTACTCCTGTATTCACTTCAAACGCCTTACTGAGTTTTCCTTTGTGAGTTACCTGACACGTGCCACTGTCACACATGTGTACAAGAAGCTGTTATCATTCAGGTAATACAATAATAATAGGGGTGGTAGGCGTTGATATCATCATGACAAAAATTTCGGAAATACGGAAAGAACAGATTTCTTTCAATTACTTCCTCATCATCAAGTCTACACTAATATATAGTTTTTTCACATCAAAATACTTTACCAATCAAGTGGTTATTTTAGTTAATCAGTTCTAGGTATACGCGGGTGGGTGGGTGAAATCAAGAGGTTAAAGGTCATCAAAACAGTTTACGAATAGATGTTAGTAATAAGATACCTAAGTTTTGAGGAGAGCAGGGGTGAGAATTAATTACGGGATTCAAGATGATTCTTAAACGTTAGCGACAAGTAATCACAAAATCAAGAAATTTGTAATGTAGCAATGATGACTAATTTTCTATAGTTTTGGTTTGTAAGGGTTAGTTATGTTTTTAGGAGTTGATCACGGATTGATATCAGTTAGAGAAAATTATTCTGATGCTCGCTAGTGACTTGCTACAGGATGGAGTTTCCTAGAGTTCTAGTGAGAAGTCGTGACCAGTGAGGTCCATCCAGATGTCACGTGTGAAGATGGATATCCCACCGACGACACTGGTTGGGGTCGCGCTAAATCACGAATTGGTAGAAGTTAGAATTCATGAGCCGTTGAATCGGGTGCCAGTGGCTGAATAGTATACGAGCTTGCCTTGTAACCGGAAGGTCCTGGGTTTGAACCCCTGGTGGTGGATGCGTACTGCCGATGATTCGCAAACTAGGATGAAACAGCTGTCCAGTAGTCCAGTGCTGGTTTTCAATGGTTCTCTAACTGATATCAATCCGTGATCAACTCCTAAAAATGATGACTAAGCAGAAGAGGATGATTCAGAAGAGTTACGTAAAATAAAAGCAAACAAGTCAATAGAATTAGCTAGAATTGTAGAAATTAACAAAGTCAAAAGATAGTTACAGGGGAAAGAGAGAAAATCATTTTTAAAAACTTAATACATATTATGAAGCTGACTATGGCAAAGAAACGGGCTGTAAAAATTTCTTTCGAGATGACGCAAATATTTGGCTTGTTCAGATAAATTCCGATAACCTCTGATGTATGTAAACGTCGTATTCGTAGACCATGCGACGAAAGGTTGGGTGATATACGATAAATAAGTTTAAAAGCTTTGTTAGAGTCGGCTTGATGTCAAGTCAGTATCGGTGAGATGAGCTAGTCTGAGCTTCGTATAGCTTTATTCGGACTTTTGCTAAACCAAGATAGGAGGTGTTTAGAAATTCGACTATGAACTTACCTGACCGTACGCCCAATGTAACTAGCTCCTCAGCACGGGCAGTTAAACTGGTGAGTACACATGAAAGAGGCGAAATAGGGCAGCCTGTCTTTATTTCTTGAACTAAGTATTGGTCGACTAGTGAATACACAGTATAGCTTAGCTGCACAGAAAGTCCTTTTGAAGGCGCTTCGCAGACGTTGTGATAATATATCGCTATTGATATCACGCGTGAATTGTAATCTTAGGAAGACTGGCGTTTTGGGGACAGTCGGGAACTTCGACTTTTTACTTCCCGAGTTCATGAGTTTGTTCACGAATTTGGTTGGATATCCGTTTCTGCTTAATAGATCGCGAATATTACCGATTTCTTCGTTCAGTGTCTTATTTGAACAGATAACTCTAGCCCGTTAAACCGGACATCTAACCGGATTACGTTTGTACTGTAGAGGTACGAATCTCACGAAGTGAGCATATTGTCCAGTGGAATAAAGCTATAAGCACGTCAATACTAGATCATCTCGTCGATACTGGACATCAGATCGACTCTAACAAATCTTTTAAAGTTATTTATCATATGCCAACCAACCTCTCGCAAACAAGACTAGTGAAGACACAACTGATAAAATTCATGTTAACTAGATAATAAACCTCAAAGTACTTTGTTGGTTCAGTGGTAAAATGCTCGCCAACAGTTCATGTTGTCCAATTACATAAGTATACCAAGCGCCCTCAAACACACGTAGCAAGGATTTCATTGTCTGCATATAATGTGATATATTATTTATTGGGAGTGTTTTGTCTTTTCTGTTGTGTTTCTTGCTAGTTACTTCTTGTAACTCTCCATAACTGCTTTTTTATTGGCTTTCACACTATTATTGCAACTATAAAGACATTACTCAACATAATACTTACATCCATTGATAAATAGTGCACATTACATTATTGCTTACAATTACAGTTTCATTCCGATCTGTAATGTATCCCTAATACATAAACTTAGAATTCACGCCACCAATGTATGTAGATATTCGTCAAAGCGACAAAAAATCTCTTAGGTTAAAAATATAGCTAACATGCTTGCTTACACTTTGTCAAAATATAGAGTTGTTAATCATGGTTAGAAACATTTTCATTCATGTATATAAATCTTTGTTTTCCTCTAGCTGTATGTTTCCCATACATTTTTGGATTCAATCCAGCTGCCATTGAAATACGTTTATTGATCAATGGAAGTTTAGTGCATACAATGCTAGTAACTGATTGTAGATTGATCACGGCTAAGGTAATGTCACGTTTTGTTTGCTTCTTTTTTGTTTTGTCTTTTCACGTTAACTTCTTATATGTGAGGTAGATCATTTAACTAGATATATACTTCAAAAACACATCATGTTTATTGTTCCTTCTTCATTGCATATTTTTTGACAGTAGTTAACCATGCGTTATTTTACAGGATGGGTTTGCTAGCCTCATGCCCAACCTTTCCTCTTCACCAGCATTATTTCTGGCTTAGCGAGGTAAAGGAGTGCGTCGGCCGGGGATCGAACCCCGGACCATGTGCATGGTCGGCGAGCGTCCTAACCGCTATGCCACCGGTAGTTAACCATGCAGTATAAGCCTATAAATAGCAAACACAAATCAGTACGTGTTCCAAAGCAGAATACTTTGCGTGGTTTTAAGTAATCTCGTAATCTCTCAATACAAGTTGTTTTAACGTAGTGACTTTGTAATAAGTAGTTGTAATTTGTATTCCCTTGCTGTCTATACATTGGGTTGAAGCGTTAGAATATGATGCCAGCAAGTTGCATTATAAGTGGCACACTGTTAATAAAAAGTTTGTTTGCAGCGCCAGACATGTTCGTGATTTATTCAAAAACGGTGAATAGTTTGACAGTTAGCAGCGTCTTCGAAATCGTTTCTGTGTAGCATAAAAAAGCCAGTCAACCTGTATTGAGCTTGATTATGTCAATTCTAAGATGAAAAAAGATCACAAACCAGTAGTCTTATGCGTTTTAGATGCCCACCCGAATAAATACTGCTGTACACATATTGGCCGAATTCTGTGACTGATTAAAATTTGTGTTCCGACTATAGGTAATTATGATTGTACATCATAAAATTTGTGATTTCTGAAGAAACCCTCCTTTTACAATACAATATTTGGTGCATTCTGTAGCTATTGTTCATTCGTTGTGAGCACTGTTATCTGCCTTAAAACTGGCACTCAAGCGAAATTTTATATGATAGACGTTTTACATACAAAAGTGTTAGAAATAATAATAATCAATAGGTAGAATATGCTGCTCATAATCATATTATGATTATGATTTTGTGTTATATGAGATAAATTTATGTAATGCTTTGAAATAATGGAGAAGATTTGTAGATAAGGTAGACAAAATTGAATCAGTTGTGTTCTCTGAAGTTCTGGTCAATTTAATTGCGACGGATTTAATTCGTCGTCCATCTAGACAACATCTTCAGTTCAGGTTTGAGTATAAAATGAACTCATGCAAACAAATTGTATGAACTACAATAAACATTGCATCGTTGGTCAAAGTGGGCGTCCCTTTCGAATCCGAATCCAAGAACACAAATTGGCTGTGAAAAGGCACGACATGCATTCTGTCATATCGATGCATGCAGATAACTACACACACCAATTTGGTTGGGATAATGTAGAAATTTTAAATAAAGGAAACACCCAAAGTGCCGCCAGGGAATTCCTAGAAGCCAGGTACTCAAGTGAGTCAACCAGCGATTAACAAACACATTATTATAGAACAAATTCGCCAGCTAATAAAAAGTGAATCACACGACAAGAAAGTTTGGATTCCAAGTCAATAAAAATGATCAATAGAGACGTAAATTAACAACCAGTCAAGACAGTGGTTACCAGAAGACACAATTACATCATTCATGGAGAATTTAAATGAGTTCATTTTACGCTGAAACCTGCGCTGAAGCGATGTTGTCTTGAAGGACGACAAATTGAATCAATGTCAATTAAATCAACCAGCTCAAAGAACACAACTAACTGAATATCTATTGTTTATTGGGACAACATACAATGGGCGACCAGAAAACCATAAGCCTAATATCAATTTCACTGTTTGCTAACAACGTCATCTGTTCTCTGATTGGTATATTCTGTTCATCGTTTCCTCTTGCCTATTAGATTCTTTTAGGCTTTTCATCTTCTTCTTCTGATATTTCTTCTTCAGTGATTTTGCCACTAAAGTATAAATTATCATTGCTTCCACAAGAATACTACACGATATACTACTTACATTACAGAATATCTCATTTTTTCTTTTTTCTGATACACTTCGGAAATTAACCACTGTTGAAATCAATAAACAAATGAAATACATCGAAGGCATTCAAAGCAATAAATTAATGTACGAACCATAGTGCTTCTGTGAGTCGGAAAAAGCGCGACAATTAAAAGCATTTATGGAAACAGCAGTTTTATCGCACTCAATTTAATTATTCTGAAATTGCTTATTGGCAATTAATAGAGTAAAATTGGAATTCACAATAAATACACCTATATGTGAGTGACTTGACATGATTATGAGCAACAGTTTGTGCTCGAAACGTCATCAGTTAATATTACTGCATAACACTGTGATTTATCTTATCTATAATGGAGTCAAAACACTTCAGGCTAAAACGATCAGATTTATTTAGCTAAAAAACGCCTTAAATGAATCCTGTATCTTAAATCCCCGGATTTTCAAGTTCAGTTAAATATAATTTAAAAATTCCCGTTATGATAGTTATAGAACATGATTTAAGCAAATATGTATTTACAGTAAATTATGATCTGGCTTTACATTTACATTATAATAAAATATTAGTCATAGGCATTTGAATTAATGTTGTCAATAGAATATAGGATCAGAGGTGTGAATTCATGCATAACAATCGAAGTGATCATAAAAATAATAATAATAAGGATAAATTCATTCAAGTGTTCATATAATCTAGGCAACGGTGAGTGTGTAGCTAGAATGTGCATAGTAGTAGTTGTCACATATCAATTAGGATAATATAATCCAAATGATAAATTGTGAAACCGAGAATAAAACGTACAACTACAATGCAGCAAGATATTGATAATACAGTTAGCGTTACAAATGAAATATAATAAGATAATATTTACGGTTACTCGGTGTCACCGGGAGAGATAACTATTTTAGTTTTAAGGCGAAGGTCGAGGGAGGGAGGGAGGGAGGGACATTAAACAAACTTTCTCTATTGGGTTGAAAAATTATTAAGCCATACTACCCTAGCTAAGCTTAGCAACCTAAGACATACCAACCTAGGGAATTGAGGTGGCAAGCTGTATAGAATTGTAAAGGCTGAAATTTTGTCAGTCTTGTGCTCTGTATCAACTAGGTGTGCCAGAATGGAACTTGTGACTGACTTTACGACTTCTCTACCTAACCACGTTGGACAACGCTCCAAAAGACGACGATGGGCTTGCTGAGTTGTCCTAACTATGCGACTGCCTCCACATGAACAGTTAAATTTATAAATGCACATTGGAGTAGCCAGACTCGGTAGCTTATCCTTCACTTGCGTTGGAATTACACAACGAGTGGCGAATTTTAAACACAATGTTGCGGCAAAGAATACTTTAGCTATTATTTTTTGAAGTTTCGATGCCAGCAGTTCAGTTGCTGCGTCTCCTTTGAACTCTAAAGTCATGCATACGCGTTTCTGCTGCACAGTTTGCAAGCATTTCTTTCTGTCTGTTCTCCTCATCGAGACTTTGACGATTTTTTCGGGGTATCCATTCTCGCATAAAAGGTCTTCTGTTTTCCTTATTTCACTGTCTAGAGTGTCGGTTGTGCAAATTTTTCTAGCACGATACATCAATATACTGATAAGATTTCGTTTGTATACAAGAGGAGCAAACGACTTGAAATTAGTTTGTTGTCCAATCCATGACTTCTTCCGGATAATTCCCCTCTGAATACTGTTATCTTGTCTTCTTGTTAGCATTACATCAAGAAATGATAAGGTGTTGCCCTTCTCCTTTTTATATGTGAACTCATTTTGTGAGTGAATCATACTGAAAGTTTGGAGAAGGACCTTGGCATCGATTCTATTATTATGCAAGATAAAATTATGGTCCATATATCTACAGTAGAACGAGAGTTCGTTCATTACGGTTTTCAGTGGCCGATTCCCTAATTTCGCCGTAAACATGTCGGGTAAGAGATGACCTAGAGGGAGGTCCATTGCCACGCCCTCCACTTGACGGTAAAATTCGTTGTTAAACTGAAACTGCACAGTTAAATATAATGCTCAGCAGTTACATATAGAGGTCAAGGCAACTTACTAATTGTGTAATTTAAAAACTACCAAATTATATGAATAAACTTCATGTAAACATTACTTCATAAAAGGAAAGTAACTGATATGCAGAATAACAAATACACTTCAGGCAACAATAATAAAAATAATAATTGAAACAGGGATGAAGTAAAATGCAGCGGATATTCTGTTGTTAATGCAGTCTGTTGAAACTTCACAACACTGTTATCATTTCGAGGACTTTCAACGTTTCGTCAAATTTCTTTCTAATCTTGTTAAAAATAAACTATCCGCTTAACAGTTATTCATTGAACAAATTTGTTGGCTTTTTTTTCAAGGGTGATATATACTTCACATCAACTTCTGAAACACTGGACTATGAAACTGGTCCAGCAGTCAGCAATACTAATATTATTAATAACAGTAGTAATGAAAACCAAAATAGTAATAAATCCTTACAACAAGATGATGGACAGTCTATAATTAAAGCATTGGATCAAATGAATTTAGATGATGGACAAAACAGTAACTGTAAGTTTGAGCTTGTTATATGGTTTTGAAAGGCAATATAGTTTCTTATACATTGTATTCAAACTATCGTGCTAAATATAACTGGTATTGTCAAGTAGCTAACCTTTTAAAAAACAAAGGGAGGTACTTAAATCACTGAGCTAACTAAATTTTCAATCCATCTAGATATATTGCATTTACTCGGATTCATATTTGGTTTTGTTCATTCAATTACATCTTTGAATCATAATCTGCTATTATTGTTATTTCCTTGGGTTCAGAGTGGATAAGAGGGCTTCAGCAACACATATCCACTTAGTTATATTCTCTGCTGTCCTCTTCAGATGGCTGACCCCACGATTGACCATAATCTCTCATCTCTTCCTCTCCACATGATCTCCTACATGTCACTCTCGGGCACACGCCCAACTCGTCACTTCCCACTGGGATTCTACTCGAGGAATGGATGGCCTGCATTGCGCACGATGTCATTCGACAACCTCCTCAGTGTATGCTCAGTCCATCTCATAGAATCATAATCTATACTCATGTACATTTTTAAATAAGTTTCAGTCAAGTGATATGAAATTTTTGTAGGAAATGGAGTAAAACATTGTACAGTATTAAAGCATGCTTTGGATGGAACAGTGTTTCAAATTATATATTGTCAATTATTGTATTGCTTGAAAATTCTGCACACGGCGTAAATACCTTGTAAAATAACACTGAAAATTCTCGGCTGCATGTAAGCGCATTTCCCAGAATAAAGCAGTTATTTTTAAAAAGTATTTAAGCAGTACTTTAAAGGTAATTTCAGTCATTCATTCTGAACTATAAGTAGGTTAGCAGGGCCCTTATTTTCCAAGCAAATAATATGAAGTACTATTGAATGTACTTTCGACTGGACACTAACTAGTGTCATGTGTCTAGTCCTTCTGTTTACTGCCGACTGAATTCTATCAGTCAAGGTTCTTTCAAGATTCGAATCCCAAAAGAGACATGAATTCCTTGAAGGTTGTAGATACGCCTTCGCTGACTGGTGAGTGCCAACTAGTACAAAACCTAAGTAGAGCAAGGCATCCTACCAACCATCTAATAACTACTATTGAATGTTCCAGGGATTGATTAAGCTCTAGATAACAATAATCATAAACTCTGATTGTCACTTCATAATCCTTGACTCTCAGTAATGTATGAGGAAGTCTCATTTCGGCCAACATAAGTATTAAGAGCATTGTAAGCTTAACTGATATTTGATATTCAATCATAATGCGTTTTATTGCAGTCAACCTTCAAGACATTTTCACAAAATGAATTACTAGATTAGTAGTTGTTGAAATCATCGAAAAACAAAGCAAGTAGTTCAGCGAAGACTCTCTCTTCGATGAATTCATTCACTTAGCTGTACAATCACAATTATATATATTAATTTTTGAAAGTGTGTTTACATTAGCTTTGTCAGACAGTAATAAAAATTAGTTAAAGTTCTTGTTTACGTCATCAAAATATTCCGAAAAATGTGATGAATAATCAAATTGTAACTAAGGGATGAAGAGTAGTATGAGGATAGTGGAGACGAATTGTCAAAAAATAGATGTCAGTGTTAGTCAATGCATAACGGAAGTTGAATAAGTGCATTGTAGTTGCATAATAAGATGAATAATTTAATGAGTGAGTTTTGGTTAGGATGAACATAGACACGAGGGAAAATATGGAATTATGTAAGACTTGTGAGGAAATGCATATTTTATAAGGAGTTAGAAAAGCAGGCACAGAGACACCGAATCAATAGAAATCAACACGGTTGTTACCATGATAATACAAGTGATTGAATGATTTTATATTGTATGCATAGCTCTGGTTTTTCCAACTGAATGGTTAAGGCTTTAGCAATACAAAGGAGATGAAAGCGTATTACTTTTTGGTAGGTTATTCTTTACTCTGTAGATTACTTTAAAGAAGGAGGCGTTTGTTGAGATGAAACAGTTAGTGTTGACAAGGTGTTCGATGATCGCACACCTAATATAGGCACTGCTACCTTTTTGCAGACGCGCAGGATAATGTTCTCGAATCCTTTTGGGCAGGATACACGTCAAACGACCAATGTACCCGGATCCTCAGCAACAGATGAACTGGTATATACACACAGAAGTGGTATCGAAATCATCAAAGATTGACATCCATTTTAAAAATTATCTCACATGGTGTACAGCTTACGCAATCAAAAAGCCATCATGATTGGTAACTCATATTATATTGCTAAAGCTAACCAAAATTTACTTTGTTACATATTAAGAAATAGGACAAGTGGCACTGAGTGGTTTTATATGCAAACTAAAGTTGATACAGTTAACTGAGAAATTACCTTAACAATAAACCATATATTGCTGTCGTTAAATTCATTGTGTCCTTAAGGTAGATCATACTGTCACTTCCCCCTAATCTTTAACAGCTGTTAGAAGTTCGAATGTTTTTTTCAGTACAACATGAGTTATTTTCGAAGTCACAATCTACACATCCTTTTTTAAAAATCCCAGTCACTATCCTTCTGTTCACCACTTGGGCAACCTTCCAGTGACTCTGCTAGCCTGTTGATTTCCCTAAAAATCATCTATTGGCTTATCGGTTAGGGAATATTAAAAGTGATTCATAAAGTGTGACGACTTTAGATTTGAGTAATGAATCAATTAAGAGTCGTCCAACGGTAGAATGCTCTCCAACCACTCAAGTAGTTTAGGTTCGACTCCCTGCTGATGAACTCCTCAACCTCACCTAGTTCAGTCAGTAGTAATCCTACGAGTAAGGCTAGCGACCTCACGCTGTGAAAAAATTATATCATCCATGCCGAAGTCAGTTCTTCTTTACGGGTCAGAAAATTGCACTGTACGTCACGAAAAGCATTTCTAACAAGCAACTGCAGACTTTGATCAACACCTGCCCACTTCGCTGTTTGGCTACATACTGAAGATCAAACCACCGACCAACCAGCCAGCCAGAAAGAATTAGCAACAAGAAACTCTTCAGTGGAACAAACTAACAGGCGATAGCCGACTGCTCAACAAATATGCGGGAGAAAATGGAGACCGATCAGGTGTAAACCAATGAGAGGGCCATCGAATGACATCGTGTGCAATGCAGTCCATCGTTCGATTGGAATCCCAGTGGAGATGGACGAGTGGGTTGTCGTTGCGAAGATGACATGGAGTCAAGGAGGAAGAGGGGGTCAGCCATCTGAAAAGGACAGCAGAGAATAGAACTAAGTGTAGATGGGTTGTTGAAGCCCTATGTTCCACTCGGAAGAAGAGGCCTAATGCAGAAGCTCCAAAAGCTTGAAGCCCCACATCCCACTAGGAGAGGGAAGGAATAAAAAAATTGTTACAGAAAACTAATGATTCAAAGACTTATATGTTGGGTTTTATCATATATCTGAAAACTTATACAAGCAGTCCAGGCAAAAAATAACTTATTCTACTTTCATTTCAATTTTCAAGACATAATATTAATAGTGATAAGTACTTCCTTGATTTTTTTCTGTTATTATTCTCATTCGTTGAAAAGTTTTATCAAGTTTATTTTACTCCTGTTGAACGCATAAATATTTCTCTCGTTGTTTTTAATTTACTACCAACATACAGATTTATCAAATAGCGGCATAAATGGTGATATACAGAAAAATCCCTCTCTACCAGTCAGACAATATTATCAACGACAACAACAAAGTGAACCACAGTCAAGTACATCTTCAGCTGCCTCTATCACTTCTTCCGGTTCAAGTATGAATTCATATGGTGGTTTACCTGGTTCTGTTAGATTTTTCCCATCAAACTCAATAGCCAATACATCATTATCCTCAGTGGCATCCTCCTCGTCGATAGCGCATATATGCAGTTCGGTTAGTACTGATCTAAGTCAACTGCAAACAAATTTCATCTATAGAATACCAATTTATAGTTTAAATAAACAAATGAACAGTAATGAGAATAAATAAAATATACAGAAAAAAGTTGAAAATTTATTGTGATAAATTGATTTTTTAAAAAGAAATATTACTGCTATTATCCCGTAACACTTAACATTATCTTTGTCTATGTCTTCTGAGCTCATCGTTTCCTCCATCCCCACTTACGCCTGATGACGGTTACTTTGATGGTGGAAATGAAGAAGTCCAGAAAGACAAAGAATTGTTGAATAAAGTGATCCATGACATTGACATCACTTATGGATATTATTTTACGTGTAATATCTTCTACAGATAATACTAGCGTCCATATTTTACAACAATCTTTACACACACACACACAAGTGCATAAAACTGTTCATTATTCTAAATCCTAACACTATGATAGACAGACAGAGAGAGAGTGTGTGTGAATACAGATCAGCATTTATAAGAGAAATTATTCCTCTCTGTTATGTGCATCTTTGATCTTCTTCTTTGTCTCAAATGCGAACTAACTATTTACCCCTAAATTACTGTGATATATGTAATGATAAAGTGTTGTCAAATAATTAACAAAAAGAAATAATGCAATCAGATTACTCAACACTTATACCCTTGCACATACTGAATAATTCAGTTGACAAAAAGACGAAAGAATACACACATATGTCCCCTACGTGTTCTTTTCTTGTTTTTCATACGTTTTTTTATCGATTGCGCAAAGGGAGAAGAAGAAGAAGTGGTAGTCGAAGCAGTAGCAGTACAACTATCATGCATTTATTAAGTTTTGTTTTTTGTGATGAAAGCTACTTCATGTACAATCTTCAGTAATGAAAAAGGTGAAAACCGCTTTGAAAGGGAACTTAGGTTGCTTTGTTCATCTATAAAAATGTCATCTTTTGTTCTCCTTCTGTTTTCCTTCATTTCAAAAGTGTTTCAGTCTTGTCCCTTGTCTCTCGTGTTTTTTGGTTTGTATAATTCGGCTAAGACACTTTGTCGGCTTTCTCACCTGTAAGTAAACCGTGATTAGTCTGCTATTTAATTAAATCTTTGATTTTACTAATTAATAAATAGTCAACGTGTAGTTGAAACTGTGTACTCAAAAAATAAAATAAATAAATTGGTTTCCTTTTTTGGAAGCAATTAAAAAACCAACACATTTCTTCTGAATGAAATCTATTAAAAAAGAAATAATGTTTTGCAGATTCTGTTGGTTATTATTTTGATGAGTAGTCATTCAGACGTAAACTATTAATGATCCCCGTGGAGCAAAAATCTACAGATGCATGGAAATGGAGTGAGAATAACGTGCGACACATTCCGGGAAGACCATTTTGGAATACAGCAAACCTCCAGGTGTAATAGACAGCAGTTTCCTCCTTGTTCGGCTCCCCTGAAGAGTACGCACCTTCAACCTCACTAGGGTTTGAAACCAGAACCTTCAGGTTACAAGACGAACTCTTTCACCACTCACCACTGGGATGCAGTCCAATGGCTTATGAATTCAAGCTTCAACAATTCATAATTTTCGGCTCCACTGCAAGACAAGGTTATTGGCAAGTTTTTGTCCTCACACCAGCGGTAGTGTTATAGTCCGTCAGTTGACACTAGTTAGAATTCATGGGCCATTGGATTCCGCCCCACTGATCTGAATCCTCAGTGTAGTCAAGGCTGCGTACCGTTAAGGAAACCCAACACAAGGATGGAGCAGCTGTAAGGTACTCCCCACTTTCCAATGGTTCTCTAAATGAAATCAATCCGTTGTCAAACTTGAAAACAGTAGACAGTTTTTTGAGAAAAAATGTTTTGACTTACCTAACTACTTCAGCCTTTTTCTTAACGGAGTAGTAACTTCCCTATTATACGCGGACGGATGGACTGGCGGTTAGCATACGCATTTACCAATTTTTTACAAGCTCTGGCTATTTATAAGGTCCTAAAAATACTGTGACATTCATGTCATTACTTCTATAGAAAATCGAAAAATATGTTTCTTCATGATCATGGCAACTGAACTACTTAACTAAGTTAAGAGTATCAAAAAGTGAATAGAATTCTGTTCCTAGAAAATGCAGGTCTTGTGAAACACAAGTTTGTCAAATGATAAAATTACCCATTTAGAATTCAGCAATTCAAAGTTATTCATAAAATAACTTAAAAACTGTACTCAGAGAAGATTATAGTTATTTCTTCATTTATTTTTGTACATTCTATTGTATTAACATATTTAAACACCACAGTTTATGCCTAACAATAACACTAACACTATATGCAACAGTTTTTTTAAATTTAAATTTATTGCATTAAGTTCCGAGTGGAACATAGGGCTTCAGGCTGGAGCTTTGAACTTTCGGTAGCAGTGCTTTATTTTTACAGGATGGGGTTGCTAGACTTAATTTCCTACATCTCATGTTTAAATGTATGTTTGTATTTCTCTCACCCCACTTATTGATTTATGACCTGATTTTCTTTCACCTAATCATGATCTTTGAAGTTCTATTGGTAGTTCACTGTTTTAATTCATCAATGATAATAGTGATTCTCAAGGTCGTTTTAAACAGATATGTACTAAAGCGCTGCCAACATTTTCTGACTGTTGTTTTGAAAGAGTAAAAAGCTGTCTTACCAACTTCCAGACTTTTCTCCTGTCTCTGCCTGCTGGCCGTGTTGTTGTCATTGTTCTTACTGACGTGCGATTGGGACAGATTAGTCAGTGCATTAAGTTAGTATTCGGTCATAGTCTACTAGGTTGTAGTTCCGGTCATAACATAGACTCAAGGCCAACCTTTCTTCTTTACCGGCCTTACTACCAGCTTAGTGAGGTTTAGGAGTGCATCGGCCAAGAATCGGTCTCCATACCATGTGAGTGGGTGGAGAGCGTTCTGCCGCTGAACCACCGACGCGTATGCAACAATGAGTTGGAACTAAACTAAAAAATATATCACAACAAACGTTTAAGTTTCAACCCCAGTCATAACTTCTCCATACTTAACACCTACTCTTAGTAACATCTACCTCAGATAGCCTAATAAATTACATTTCACCCTATCAGCAGGTAAAGCAAGCCACAAGTACAATAGAAATTTCAAGTAACACTTCAATGTAACAGGTAAAAATGAGGAAGTATTTATCAAGTTAGTTAACACCATGGAATACATGAATTCTGAGTTCAGTTCACGGATGATGCACTCCTAAATCACAACTAGAAAGTAGTAAACCGGGAAGAGATGGAAGGTTGAGCATGATGCTAGCAAACCCATCCCATAAAATTATCACTACTACCGTAAATTTGATGATTGATGCTTCACTTCTAAAAAATGAGAATACATAGATAATATTCAATTATAACGAAATGGTAGAAGGCGAAGACTTGTTAAGTGAATGCTTATTTGGAAATTGGCATCTCTGTATAGCCAAACTGTGTACACCATATGTTCAAATCCCCATTTGCACAGATCTTCCGTGCTGCACTACTTCTGGCCTTCCTATTGTGTTCCATTGTTCTTTTCACGTCTCCCATTTATCTCCGCAACGCTGTATCATTTAATTTCTCTAACATCAAATCTATCTCTTTGCTAGAAGATATTTTTATGCCAATGGACGTCCCTTTATATACTACTCATAAATCTTATCAGTAGCATTCGCTTCAAAACATGGTGAATATTAAAATAATTAAGTCTGTAGGGATGTATTTAGTAGTAGATGAAGTCTGAAGTCTTGCTATGTCTCATTATATAAGAGGTGATTGGATATGAACTTGTAGTTATCAGAGTTACTTAGAAGCTCTATAGACAAGTTATTGCAGTATTTATTTTTTTGTTTCTTTCCTAACTTATTTATTTACTCTAACAATATTTACTTAAATTTAAATATATGTGTATCCTTAGAAAAAAGTAGTACTAGGTAATACATCACATTTCACAACAACAGATATATTATCATAATGCAGAATCACGAAATGACTTCATCATAAATCTTTTTCTTCAAAAACATGAACTCCTATATGAGAATTAATTTATTGTTTTTTCTTCTTACGAAGAAGTGAAAAGATATCAATAAAGTAAGTCTGGCAAAACACTCCTGGTCACATAAAAATAATTATAATAAACAACTAAGTAATGTTTACATAAATTATCTTCGGTTATAGTGAACACCCAGAGAATCAGGCGGATGTGCTCGCTCCATTACTGCAAAAGATTTCGAAGGAAGGAAAGGTGCCTAGCGACTGAAAGAAGGACTACCTAGTCAAACTACCAAAGAAGGGCGACTTAGGCCTGTGCAAGAACTGGCGTGGAATAATACTCTTGTCCATGGCAAGTGAAATACGAAGTCGCCTCATCTTGCAGAGAATAAAATATGCTCTGGATGCAGAACTCCGCCCCACCACCAGAACAAGCTGGATTCAGGCAAGGCAAATAATGTGCTCATCAAATTGCAACTATACGCATCGTCATCACACAACAAAGCATAGAATGACAGTCAAATCTATCTATCTATCTATCTATCTCAACTTCATCGGCTTCGAAAAGGCCGTCGACAGACAGTGTTGACCGAGAAGTAGTTTGGAAACTATTTCAGCACTATGGCGTGCAGTGACCAAATCTGTATCAACCTCATTCAACATGTGGGTATATGACAATGCCATGTGTCTGGTGATCCACAACGGTAAACCCAGTGAGGCGTTCGAAGTGAATACAGGAGTAAGGCAAGTCTCACTGTCTGAATACAAATTGCCTTTTTCAGTTCAAATAATTGAATTCTTATTTTTCGTCTGTTTGTAATTTCTTGGTGTCTATAATTGCACAGTGTATATAATTTTTAAGAAAATTTTAAAAACATTTTTCGTTAACCAGTGGTCTTCCGTTTTCTAATCTTAACTGCCCAAAATATTTGTTGACGCAATTAGACGAATAGATGACAAAGTAGTGTGTCCTATGGATGAGAACCATAGTCGCTTTGCTTTGGATTAATATCATGCGTCTAACTGTTATAACATTATAGATATAGCTTTTTCCTCATGGTACATTACGACAACTGTCCTCGGTAGTTTTATTTGTACTTTGTTAGTGACTGTGAATAGTGAATCAGTTTAGGTGTTGTGGTTATAGGATGAATAACTTTTAACACTTTCGCGGAGATGTGGATATTTTTACTTTCTTTGGCGAGAAGATAGTCTTTTTTATCGAGAAAGTTCTCAGGATGCCCACTCTTACTTTGTGATTCAAGGATGAGGTTAAGTTGCTCACTAAGGTAGTAGCTTTACCGGAGATTATTTTAAGGTATCTACGTAGCTTTAGGTAATGCGTCACAGCACTAAGCAGAGTAAGTCAATTATGTCTAAATATATTAAACGTTGTATAACTTATTAAATTGTAGTTCTTGCATGCTTTACTAGATAGTCTTATAAATAATGAATGAACAGCACAAGCGTTTATTTCGATTCGCATATCTGGCTAATGTTGATCACGATTACGTGTGGTATACATTGAAGACTGATACGCTGTGTGGTGACTTCTGCTACTTTAGTGATTAAAGCAAAAACACATCCAGCATGATAAATTGGCGTCATTAAAGTTTGTTAGTTCTTGTTAGATGCATAAGATGCTAAATAATTTAGTATCCATAGAGCAGATATGCACAAACACCGCAGTTATTGAACATAAAGAGGATGGATATTAATTAACAGTACGTGATTTGACAATACAGTAGAGTGAAATAGACTTTGTCGCGTAGTTTTTATCTGATGATGCCATCTCACATTAACAGATCAATGAAGTAACTATTAACCCTAGGTTATAACGTTTACTTGTATGATATGAAGCAACAAACTTAGCGTTTAACAGTATACAACAGATGTCCAACTGGCTTTAGCTTATCGAACAGCACAGCATTATTGTTTAACTTGCTAAGAACTACTTATTTTTTACAGTGTGCTATGGCATAGAAACGAAACGCGAAATCCTACGAATGACTACAGTAACAATCTCATAATTCTACAATAAATCTAAATTCAATTTTTTTAATTTATTTTATTTTATTCCCTTTGCGTTTCAAATGGAACAAACGGCTTCAAGCTTCAGCTATGAAGTTTCAGTAGCAGTGATGTTTTTACAGAATTGGTTTGC